AAAGTAGTTACGCTCGGATTTGGTCAAAGCGCGTGCAACAAAGCTTACATACTGGCGTGCTTGGGTGTCAGGGTCAATTTGATACAAGACAGCACCAATACCATAATTCGAAGCATCAGTAGCAACGAAGAAAGGACGAGTGATATCAGGATGACTCAATACAGGAGCAGCGAGAAGTGCAGCCTTTACGTTATTGAATGCATCAAGATGAACATCCTGCCAAACTTTCGCAAGAGATCCATGGTTACGTAAAGCATCGAGAGGTGCTGTGAGCTCGGCAGCAAGAGGTAAGTGCGAGCGAAAAAAGTTGATAAGACCAAGGAAACGCTGAATGTCTTTTCCTGTTTTAGGAATAGGCCACTCATCAACGTTGACCAACTTGCGAGGATCAGGGCGACGACCATTAGCATCAATGCAAAATCCAAGTAAGTAAATGGACTTTTGAGCAAAATGACACTTGTCGGCGTTCAAGATAAGATTAACATCGGTGAGACGTTGAATAACAGTGATGACATGTTCACGGTGCTCGGCCATGGATTTGGAAAAGATAACCACATCATCAACAAAGGTAGCAACAAAAGGTAAATCATCAAGAAGAGTGTGCATGCATTTCTGAAAGACCGCGCTGATATGCTTAAGACCAAAGGGGCATGCTTGGAAGCAATAAGGTCTGTTGCGAAAGGTAAATGTGGTTTTGTGTTGATCAGGCTCATGGATCTTGAATCGATGAAATGCACTCTTGAGATCAAGCGTGGTGAAAACAGTGGCACCGGTAAGTGCGTGAAAGATTTGCTCGATGTGAGGTAAGGGATAACGATGTTCAGGTAAGAGGTTGTTGATATGTCGCGGATCAAGACAAGGGCGAAAATTGGTGGGATTACCCTGTGCGTCTTTTTTAGGGGCGACCGTCAAAGGACTATTCCATCCGTTACGAGGTGGTGCAGGAATGATAACACCGTCAGCAAGCCATTTTTGGATTTGCTCCTCAAGGACAGGTAAAAGATGTTCAGCAAGTGGATACTGAGGACGATAAACAGGTGGTGCGGCACCAGTGTTAAGGTAAACCACGGACTCAGGCATGGTGCAAAAAGAAGTAACAGGTATTTGTGCATTTTTTCTAAGAGCGGGTTGAATGGCGTGGAGAAGCTCATTGTGCTCAATAGTGGTGCCAGCGGGAGAATCGTTGGGCTTATCCATCTCGATGTTTGAATCAAGAGCAAAAGGTGGTGAAGGACGTTCCCATGACGTAGCAAGTCCTTGAATAGAAATCCCAAGTTTAGACATGAGATCAGTACCGATGGATACATCAGCGTCAGCGTTAATAGGAAAAACTTCAAAAGAATGAATAAAAGGTTTGCCATCATAAACAATGTTTATTTGAGAGGTAGTGCCAGTACGTGGGATGGATACCCCAGAGGCGGCCAAGTCAATTTGACCGGAAGTAGGAATGATGGATGTTGATAATTTTGATACTAAGGAAGGAGTGATGGAAGAAATGGTTGCACCGGTGTCAACGATGGCCCAAACTTTGTGCTCCTGTATAGTAATTGGCACGTAAATAGTGTGAGTAAGATCTGTAGAGACCTGTGTGGCATGGGAAGCCATGCGAATAAACTTACATTGTGTGCATGGATGTTGTGCATCAAGCATATCAACGTCATTGTTGATAGTATTATCCAAGTCAATAAGATTGTGCTCGACTGTTGGAGTCAAGGTGGAATGATGATATTGTTGTTGGTCCGAGACTTGAGCAGAGCGGATTGCCATCTTGGATTTGCATGTGTGACCAGGCTTCCACGATTCGTTACACTTGAAGCAACGTTTCTCACGGGACTTGAAAGATGGTTCAGGCTTTGTAACCTTATTGCCAAGTTCACGAGCCAAGGTTCTACATTCGCTTGTAGAGTGATGTCCTTTCTTGTGCAAATTGCAATACTTGTTGCCTTCTTGCTTCTTGGGTTTCTCATGGATGGCAGGACTTTCGGATGACTTTTGCTTGTTTGCTTGATACTTGGTAGCGGCCCCAATGACAGTGGCATACAGCCCTCTAGCGATGTTGGCAGCTTGTTCGGTTGTCGAACGTAACTCCATGGGCAAATTAACTTGGGCCAATCGAACCTGCTTGTATAGATCCGGAACCAAAGACTTGGTGTACACAGCGGCAATAGCAAGGTTGTCCTCCAAACCGGCTTCTCTGCGAGTCTTGTTAAATCGATCGGTATAGTATTCAACCGACTCATCGCGCTTCATATGCATATCCAGCAAGTCGAACATAGCTTGGGATTGTCGTTCACCATCATGAACGCCATATTTCTTGATGAGAGTCTTTCTTGCAAACAAGGTCCATGGAAGGTGCGTGTAGGGTCTCAAGTTATCATCGTACCACGAACGTTGTTCAGGAGAAAGCATACGAGGTAACAAGCGGCCCCAAGCTTCATCGAGATCTTGGTTATAGGAAATCACCACATCCTCGAATCGATTAAGACATTCCTCAACGGATCCAAAAACGAGCTTTGACTTGTCATGAACATTGCCAGTCCATTGAAGCATAGGTAGATCTTGAGGAACGACAGGGCGAGATGAATGATGATTGGATTTGTCCTTCTTCGACATCTTGCGATACATGCTTTTCAACACTTCAAGGTCCTTGCTGGCTTGTTGGGACTCCTGATGGATGACTTGACGTTGCTCAGGGGTGAGATCATTGGATGCCATTTGTTCAGCAAGATCCGCCAACTTGTTAATGACCTTGTCAATCGCATCGGTGGCCCTTTGCAAGCTTGAAGATGATGTATGAGAGGAAACAGTGACCACAGATTGGGCATCAGCAGCAGATGAAAGAGGCGATCCCATATCCATGGGGGAGTCTTGACGGCTTGATGTGTCCTCACGTTGGGGAGATGTCGACATGATGATAGAGATGATAAAGAGAATAGAGAATTCGTGAAAAAAAATGTAATATCACTTATAAGAGAGGAGACTAATAAGTCACGAGACTCAATAATATGATTGATCCTTTATTCAAGTGGTGGTTGTTGAGCGTATTTATAGCTTTAAGGATGATGGTGGTTAAAGAGGGTGTGTGTGTGTGTGTGCTTCCTAATGGAGTATACCGAGAAGGTGTGTGTGATACAACCATGCAACGGGTGCTACAGTGATGAAGCGTGTACGTATATAGCAATAGGTGACCAATGTGGATAAGGTTGGTGATGACAAGGTAAACCTTCATTCGGGTGATAGGGGAATTCCATCGTATGATAGAGAAAGCAGGTTGACAAACGTGAGAATGTGTGCCAGGATACAACAGGCTCGGCTTGGTCAACAGCACCTTGTGTGAAAGTTTCGCGTTCAATGTCGCAAACAGCCCAAAAAATATTTTTTTGGTCGTCGTCGAAAGAGGTTGAGCCCCAAATCCAGTTTGGCTGGTAGCGACATTGCGAAATCTGGGATCGCCCACGATGAACTTCATACTTTGACACAAGATTCCTTTGACCCCGACAAGCACGTTGATCTACTAAAGAGCCCACGTTTGATTGTAAAGTTTGGAGATACAGGCACCTTTATGTTTGTAAGCGTGATGCTATATGACAAGTGGTCTTTGTTTAATGCAAAGTAGTATGACTATAATAGAGCAAAAGATGCAGCAGACGTGTTTGTGTAACTTGAGTCATTCAGCACAGGCGATGCATGATTCTTGTACACTATTTAGGAATAGTTCAAAATGCCAGCTAATATACCTAGTCCTCCCATTCTCCATTGTTGTCGAATCCAATGCATACGAACGATTTTACTGCTTCAGCCCAGCATGCCCATCCTTCAACTTTCTTGATCCGAGGGGATTTGAGTGAAAAACGCTCAAACAAAGAAGTATCATTCAACATCAGCTCAACCTTTTTGATTTCCACTTCTTCCACTCACCGCATCTTGTCTCTTCCACCCATTCTCAACTATTGGCCCCAATCAAGTACAATTACTGCCTGCAAACGATTGACCTGCTTCAACCCATCATGTTAATCTCACAGCTGTCTTGATCCGATTCCCTATGACTGAATGACAAGTCCATCACATATACACCGCACTACAGCACGTGCCTCCCTTGATACTACACACTCTCTTGTACGCTTCTCTACCACGACATGGCATTCCTTCCAGCAGCTGCTATCAACAAGGGCTTTACTCCATTGTCTCAAGTTTACTTGCTTCTTCCTGGCTTGCAGCCTTTGTTACTTGGGCAGCAGATAACAATCGTATAGAAACAGCTTTATTTACGTGCAACGACTTGCTTCAATACATACAACTTCTTGTGGATGTATGTATATGATTATGAGTACATGAGATGGGAGGTTTTCGTTATATGCAAAGCGTGGAAAAGTATTCGTTCTTATGTATCCATTGTCGTCTTGGTCATTATGCATGATGATCTCATCCTGAACGATTGGTGGATCCAAGTATAGCTACTCGATGGCAGCTACTGTCGACCTTTTACAATCATAATCATCCAACTCCATGATTTGGCACGCCATCATGCATATATAGAAATCATCACCTCACATCCATTCATTCACCTTTGCCCACAGTACACCCAAAGGATAGAAACTTCCCATACCGATACCCCCCCCATTGGAAGCAACTTTTTGAACCTCTCCATGTATCTTGTATGAATGGAGTTTGGATTAAAAGGTTACTTTGGCCGATACTAGATTGTGCCTTGAACAAAGGTTGTATGCGTATTGGATAATATAGCTCACCTCCCTTTTGTGATTAGATCTTGTCAACAACGTTCCTCTCCTTTTGTGTTAAAAATCTTGTATTTACGATTACGGCGGGGGATACTATTTGACTGACCTGAGTATTCTATGTCTTGAACGTTTGAAGCATGATCCCAATTTTCGATGTGCATAATCAATGCCATCATCTTGATGTATCGGCCATCGAGTCCAATACAATGATCAACCCAAACATCTTAATCAGTTGCCATTCATGGTACTCAATCAGCGCGATGCTCATTGAACGGGCCCGTGGTTGAAGTTTAGAACAAGCCAACTCGTAGATAGGAGAGGAACAAAGATTGATTTCATTGTACTACATTGTTGCCATGGTGACGTTGCCATGCCAACATCATCTCATCGACCATACTATTCCACCCCAAATAAAGATCCAACGTGGCATCCAAAGTAAAAAAGTATTATTTTATTGCATACATCAGAAATGGAACATGTCAAATTGTGTGCTGCATGACTTGAACCTTGGATCGGGCAATGAATTAACTTTTACTGCACCGAGCAAGAAACGCTGTGTGCTCGTTTTATTCACAGTATCCAACCTAATGCAGGAGCACGAAAGCGACATTGCCGAACGCATTGCAGCAGCAAGGCGAGAAGCCGAGGCACTCAAGGATCGAATCAAGCTACGTAAAGAGGCACTTGCAGATGCGACATGTAAGCGTCAGGAACCAAAAGCGAGTATAAAAAGAAAGAACTCATTCGTGAAATCAGTGCAGGGAATGGCTAAAGAGGTAGTGGAGAATCTACCACGATGCAACATGAAGGCGAAACGTACATTACGAGGACACCTTGCCAAAGTGTATGCTGTTGGATGGAGTAGCGACCGACGGCATGTTGTATCAGCAGCCCAGGATGGCAAATTGATTATGTGGGATGCATACTCTGGACACAAGACCAATGCGATAGTGTTACGATCTTCCTGGGTGATGGCGTGTACGTATTCTCCTTCGAGTGATCTTGTTGCAAGTGGTGGTCTTGATAATGTATGCTCGATTCATCATGCTCGTGATCGTGATGCTCGTCCCATCCGAGAATTGGCGGGTCATACGGGATTTCTCAGCTGCTGTTGTTTCATTGATGATCGTCACCTTATCACTGCCTCCGGAGACAAGACTTTGATGCTTTGGGATGTGGATGCTGGTGTATGCCTGGAAGAATATAGAGATCATTCGAGCGGTGTTATGAGGTAAGTTTCATTCACAAATCATAAAAGTGCATCCCTATCTAAATTACTATCCTTCTTAATTTAGCGTGTCAATCCATCCGAGTAATAATCAAATGTTTGTGAGTGGATCATGTGACGCTACTGCCAAGGTGTGGGATAGACGAACTCCCAAGAGAAGTATCCAAACCTTTGTTGGCCATGAAGGAGATATCAATGCTGTACAATTCTTTCCTGGTGGTGATGCCTTTGCAACTGGCTCTGACGATGCAACATGTGCTTTATATGACATACGAGCGGATGCACAGCTGGCTTCTTTCCAAGATGGATCTATCAAGGATGGCATTACTTCGATTGACTTTTCCGTTTCAGGAAGGCTTTTATTCAGTGGATGCAATGACTTTAATTGCCATGTATGGGATATTCTCAAGGGCGAGCGCATTGGCATATTGAATGGTCACGAAAATAGAATATCGTGTTTAAAAGTGGCACCAGATGGAATGGCGTTATGCACCGGTAGTTGGGATGCGACTATGCGTATCTGGGCATGACATACATATCCTCCTTCATATTCCCTTTAAGTATATTATGTATCTTTATGTTGTTTGTGAATACAATGAATAAATCACTTGGCGTTGCCAAGGAAACGAACAATCAATCTATCCTGTTGCTTTTTTACATTCTCCTTGGTGGCAACCAATGACAAAATCTCCTGAGCAGATGATCGTCGTTGGAGTATGGGTGAACAATAATTGCTACTACTTGGGGATAATGATGATGTTGTTGTTGATGTGAATGATGATGATGATGATGACGATGCTGCTGCTGCTGCTGTCACTCGACGAAAGGATGCAGCAAGAGGATCCTCAAAATGGCGAATGTATCTGTATTCACGGTTCACTCGATCCAATTCTTTTGTAAGTCGTCGCATGTTGGTTGGATGATCCAGATAGTTCTTGTCATCTGCAAGAAAGCACTGTCGTTGAAGCATGAGCTTTTGTTGTGTTCTACTCATAGGCTGTTGCTGTGGTTGTTTCGATGGTTGTTGGGTATGCGTAGTACTAGTCATAAAGGAGGGTAGAGTGGATGGTGGTGATATCGCATGTACTGTGAAGGGTGTTACTTGAGTAGTGCTTGTAGCCGTTGCTGCATATCGCATATTAGGCTGACTCTGCATCGGACGTAGTCGATGGTGTGGTTTCCGCATGTCGGATGAGGGTGCATTGCATAGTCGATCGCTTTTCCCAGGCTCTGAACTAGGCAATTGGACAGCAAATGTGTTCATTGGAGAGACGAAGGCACTGTAAGAAAAACAAAGAAAAGGGGAACGGGGTAACAAAGAGAGGAGAGGATCGATCATGTGGTCAAGGTCATGTGCATCATCATCATCATCCTGTAAATAATCCAACTTGCATAAATTCATACTAGGATTTTACTGATAAGCAATCGTACTCTAGCTGCTCTCCAAAACTTGTTCATTTGCCCAATAATGATATACGCGACTGGACTTCCTCGTTGATAGAGCATCACAAAAAGAATAAACGCCATTGCCATATTCACCAGCGCATGCCTTAGTGCAGCCTATAGTAATAATTGTATCATGCATAATATTTAATGCGACAAGAACTTGACATGTATAGATATTCACCCTTCATCTTACCTTAGCCACCCATTTCCATCCTTCCCATACTTCGCTGTTTGCATCATCATCATCATCACCGTCATCAGCTGCATTACCCTTGTTGTTGGGTAATCTTCGTGCTTGATTTCGTTCTGTCAGCTCTTGTCGCAACCCATCGATCCTTTCATTCAGGGCAACAATCTCAGCCTGCAGCGTATCCAATGCCCTTTTGGTAGCAGGTCCCAAAGCAACCACCGATGTATATTGTTGATCCGTCAAGAGTTGATTATTAGAGGTGTCAATGGGTAAACGTGTCGCTGTTGGTGTTGCTGTCATTGAAGATGCTGCACTCGATCCATGATGTGGTGACCTCAGAGAGATTGAATGTTGTTGTTGTTGATGATGCATAGAATTGGCTGAAATGACCGGTGATGGCAATTGCATGAGACGTCCATTATCTTCATCCATACTTTGTCCATCGTCAATCTTGTATCGTTGAAGAGGTGGTGCCCATGGATTGACATGTGGATCAAATGGTTCCTCATTTATCATAGGTCTTCCCACTCGAGCAGCATCCATATGAACCTTGGAGGTTGAAGATGATGTAGAAGGTCGTCTAGTTGTCGGCGCTGTCCTTACTGATACTTGGCCGGATTGTGTTGAGGCTACTGATGGTGGTCGACGTTGTTGTGGTGGTGGTTGCCTAAGGCGATAGGATCTCGATAATGCAGGTGACACTGGTAACTGAGTAGTAGGGGTTGATCTGTTTTGCGTGTATGATGTCGGTGCTTTGTGATTATCACGTTGTATTTCCAATAAATAATCTCGTTCCTCAGCATCGGTTGAAGCAACGCTTGATTCTTTTATACGCAATCAAATTAGCACGACGATAAAGACATCCTCCTTCCTTCCTTCACACAAATTACCATCATTGCTTGTTTCATCCTCGGTTTCATTGTCAGCTGAAGGTTGCATAGTTGTAAATGCTTGTATGATCTGATGTGCCTGAACCTTGCTAGCAGGTTTCTTAAATGCCTAAATGGAGATGGAACTTTAGCATCTAAGAACGATGATTGATTGAATCCAAAGACTGTGAGATTATGTACCTCCACTGCAACTCGTAACAAGGCTTCCACATAGCGATGCTTCGCTTCCAACGAGGTTATCCCATGCAGCTTGTTCCAGGCGTCCCTTGAAAAGTGATACTATTATAAGCTTTCCTTCATGTCATGCATACGTATATAAAGGTTACTACCATTTTGCTCTCCCTACAACGTCGAAGATACCAGGTCGTTGGGTGTTCACATTGCCACTGACTGCCTGCTTATACAACGCATAAAGCTTTTCGTGAATGCTGTTAAATGGTATTGTCCTTGCTTGATGGTCACTTTTGGGAATACCTCTAACTTTTGATCCTTGGTCGGTTGGAAGCTCGATGATGGCGAGAGGTGCTGTACAATGTATAACGCCTTGTGGAAACGCTTGTTTACAAAACGATCCGAATAATGTGGAGGAACAGTCGACATGAGGGGAGCGAGAGACAAGCTTTGGGAAATCCCCGTATTTCAACAGCTCTCATCTTTATCCATCACGTGTCAAAACGAGGCATATGTCTTCATAATCTGTACCACTATCGCATTTGGCTGGGTTATTGGCATGACAACCCATTCCCTATCGAGCAATTCCACTTGGTCACCACGCCCCAAAGCCTATGTTGTATGTAGACAACCACCACTTGTATCACTCACTCTCGAATAATAAATCTTTTCTTGTTGTTGATGAAGATGCCATCTGTGCTTGATAGCAGCAAATTAGCGTATCACGTTTCGAGGAATGTCTTCTTTTTATGCATGCATGCACAAACAAGAATGTGCATTCTTTGTTCTCCTTACTTCAGCGATGTACTTGGAAGGAGCATTATACATTCTTCCACTATCCCATCTTGTATGGATGGTAATACCGTTCCACCTAGTGGGTGGTGCTGTTGCTTTCAGTGATCAAAAGTCAAACGAGTACGAGACTCACCCTTTGTCATTAGTATTATCTACAGCATGCATCAGCAAGCTATGATCCATTCTAGCAGCAGCCAGCACAAAATAAGGTATGTATCTCATCACGTGGATGCACGCTTATCCAGCTGAGCCCATTGCTCTTGAATCATGATATCAAGATCACCTCCTTATCTTGGGCTTTTGTTTGGGTTGTCATGCTTTAGTTTATGGGGAAACACGAAGATCCACTTGATTGATTGAAGAGCAAAGGCTTGGTTAATGTCTCTGGGGGCTTTCATTCCCCTCTATGTATCCTGCAAAAGTCTTCTCCATCAGCCAGACCTCTCGCACCAACCTGTCACCTAACTCTTGAATACAACAACTATACAATTTAAGAGCAAACATAGTACCCTCCAAAATGACATCCTCCCAAACAGTGTTCATTATTCCATCGTCAGCTGTGTCGTTTGCGGACTGAAAATTGTATCGTTTTTATTGCATAGCTGTTTACTATTACTTTCTCTCTTCCTATTACGCCAACAAAGCTCTTAATGCGACTTGTTTTCCTGAGAAAAAGAAACACATCTCCCCCTCCCACTTACCACCATGATGATATGATATCCAAAGTTGGTCTTGACCTTTGTTGTTTGGGTATACAAGCTTGAATGAGTATAAAAGATACACGCACATATACAAAATGAGGTGACTTACAGGAGGATCGGTAAAGATTGGCTTGTCTACATTTAGGATTAGCTACAAAGTTCCTTTTGTATCCTGCACTTTTAACTTACCGCAAGAGCTTGGCTGCAATGCAAATGCTATATGATAATAAATCATGTGTGAGATCAACTTGAAACGCTTTCCAAGGGTCACTCGTACCTGCATCCTGGAATGGGCCTACCATTGATCCACGTGCCATCCAACCAAGCGAACCTAGCCATGGAGATGGTTATTTACTCATTATTTTGGGATCCATGCTCAAGTAACGAACCTCCTGCTTTGGCTTTGTCCTCGCTATACATTTCGGCGACCTATTACAATCCATCCGTCAGAATTCAACACACACACACACATCAATTGCGTATTATCAATTACCTTGTCAAATCGCATGTTCTCTTCCTTAAGCTTGGCCATCGCTTCCATCACCTTTGATCGAGATATGGATGTCAATATGCATAGTACGATAGACATTTTATTCCATTACCTTGCCGTGCTTTTCGCAAAGGATATGACGGACCTATCAGTAGACGAGTCATTAACACCCTCGAATAAAAGTGGTTATGCATTCCAGTTTTACCTTGATGCTCTGTGCTGGTTTCAACTTGCCGCCCTTCTTGCCATCGTCACCTAAACAGCAGTGAGCATTGTAGTCAATGTTGTCATTGGCGGTGTGCATACCTGATGCTGCAGCTTTAGCTTTTTGTCCAGCAGCCTGTTTTCCTTTTGCCATGACGGGGATTGTATAAAAGAAAGACGCGCCTGTCGGGGCGTTGGGAGGGGGAGAAAGAATAGAATCATCAAATCACGTGCGCTCCTTGTCAAACCGTTTCCATGGATACGTCATTCCAAAAAGCACTTTTAATGTAGTTATCGGGTATGTACGAGGTTTTATTATAAGCTAAATCTCTAATTCAGCCATAGATTGATCAATGTGTTTAAGCTTTAAAAAGACGTCGCAACCGTAACCGTTCATGGATACCAAAGTAAATGATCCTCCAAAGTACCGTGCATACATCCTAGCTAATGGTAATCCGAATCTAAAAGATACATAGAATGAGATACGCAATACATTACAGCCACAAAATAGAGTTACCCCAAGCCAGCCAGTGGCCCACCGATACCACTCTGCAATGCCATTTCTGAAATGCCAGTAAAGATATTGTTGGGATCATGGTCATCAGATGCCTTTGCCACTGTAGTATAGGAATATTCGAATACTCGGTTGAGATCATTCTCAGCAACTCCACCGCCCTGGTCACGGATCCGTATCCCGATCTCTTCTTTTCCATGACTGATGGTGATTTGAATAGGAGGTAGTGTTGCATGATCATCATCATCATTGTCATTGACCGTACTCATATCACGTTTCCTCTTTGCATGTTCAATGGTGGCACGTTGAGCGTTCTTGATCAACTCGGTGAGGATGTATTCAAGGTGAACCGGGACATAGGTAAAAGTGGCATCAACATGGCCGTCTAAGATTGTTTCTGGATGCATCCCATAATTGAATTCGCATAATTCGGCCACAAACTCGGAGCACGATTTGGCAAGTTTGGCTGGATTGAGCTTTGTATCAATGATGCCAATGTAATTGTTGTTGTTTTCTGGTGAGGAGGATGGTTGCTGCTTTTGTCCAACAAGTGCGATCATTTGTTCGGCAATCAATCGAATTCCAATACGTGCATGAATCATATCATCAAGAAAAGCTGCCACATCATCGCGATGCATGTATTGTTTACATTCCAAGAACCCTGTTTATATACATTAGATCATCCATCTTGATAGGTGCAAAATGTCCATTTACCTCGTGCAAGTGTTGGGATGTTGTCGGCATGTCGATCCACAAGGTCTTTGAGCTTCTCAGAGTACTCGATATCATCATCTCCAGTAGTAGTGCGATAGTGGGAATATGGTTCCAAGCTCTCAAATGACTCGTAATACAACTTGTATATCTCCTTGATGTAGGGATTGGTTCCAACGATAAAAGGCAGCGTCTGGAAGGCACGCACTCTTCGTGCTAACCGTACTGGCAACTCCATACGAGCGTACTGTGCACAAGCATGTAGACTTTCATGGTTCAATGGTGGTTGTCCAAAGCGAACAAGTTGGCTCAAGGTCACCGGTTTGATGGGTCGATTAGCATACTAGTAGAATAGACGTTCGATATGAGCATTGACAAGCTAGCGTAAAATAAAACCACCATTACCGTTATCACTTTGTCATCGTAAAAGGCGTGTGATGCTGGCTTCTCGTATGCTTTTGTAGTGAATCGCCTTGCAATGAAAACGATGGGGCGGCCTGTCCGTCGTGTGTAGTGCAGCAACATGGCGAAAGAGGAGACGAGGCGTGGGAATGTGCTATGATTTGCTTATCTTTTATCTGACTCACAGCCGTAGATCCTTCTTTCCAGCAAAGAGGCAGGGAACGATATCAAGGTTCTAGATGTATATACAAGGAGCGTCTTTATAGGATGCTTTTTTACACACAAAATAAAATGACAAGGGATTAGGTGTTATGACTGGTTGCAAGGTCGGCATAGCCATTGGATGATAACCAAGAAAACGAGATCACCAATAGGCTCGTACAGATGACATCTATCAATGCAGTGCTACAATCACCCCCAAATCATTAGATACAAATTCCTCTGCTCTTTTTGACATTACTTACAGGTAGGGGAGTACATAATTATCAGGATCATATCCACGCTTCCAACATGCGAGTGTCATGGATTTGCCCATCTTGAGTGCAAGAAAAGTCTATCATGATGCGGGTTGTCAGCATCCACCATACCAAATACCGGATCATGCATTATTGTTATACTTACTGAAATCATTGATACGATGAAATAGGACAATGCAAACATGGCTGTAAAATCGAGATGACCCAAATTCAGGACCCAGATCAGCAATAGGAAGAGTGCTTGCATTGGAATGTTCATTGCCAGTAGCGTTTGCTCCACCAACTTGTAGTTTTCTTGTGATCCAGCATGTAAACATGTGCTAATTCTTGATGCATAAATGGAACCCAAATTGCCAGCCAGACCTACAATAGCCGGGTTATGCCTTGTTGACCCAACGTCATCCATGAGCACTTACCGCATAGAATAGGAGTCAACATGGCCAATCCTTTGTACTGCTCCACGTATCTTTCTAATACAAGGCCTGCAAAGCTGGAGATGAACATGGCACTGATAATAGGTGACCAGCCGGAATACAATAAATCCTTGACCGTTGCATTCTTCCAGACAGCTCGACCAAAGCATGGTATTGACATGATCATCAGCATAAAAAGTGATGGGCTGAGTAATGAATCTGAGACCATACGTATGACATTAGAAAAGAACATAAAAGGTACTTGGATGAACATACCCATGTTGGCTAATAAAGCTTGTGCGCAACCCGCCAAGATACCAAGAGTGACCACATCTCCCAAGGAAGAGGCCATCGGACATGCAATGTTATCTAAAGTGTGTGTGTGTGTGGTTTGTTGAGTTATACCAAATCGAGTCATTCGGTTCACTTTAGCCGTTGATCTTTACCAGGGTCGATACGAAACTTGCGGCTGAGAATGATCAAAAAGCACATAAAGACGCCAAGGACGAGACTCGATATAGCTGCTGATATCATGGAGCTTGTAATAATAAGAATGCTTTCAGAGACAGTGGCAGGTTCTTGAGGATGTTCAAGGATGCCAAGGATAAACGAAAATAGACCTGCAATTGATCCTGCAATCAAGGCTTGTACTTGGATAAGAGCAAGGTTTCCCCATACGAGAGGACTACGTGTTCCTGGTCGATCGAGTTCTCCCATATTTGCCTATAGGCCTTGTTATGGATCTTGGTACCACTAACATGTATACACACACACTTACGGATGTTGAGACACGAGCAGCCAAATTCATTTCGAGATTGCCCTTGAGATTGAGTAACACAGGCACAAGGATGAAGAGTTCGGATACTTGTTCAAAGACTTCCCAATGCTTTATAAGGCCCCCAATGGATCAGCATGGTGGTTGATGATTACACACGCACATACACACACATCCACGTTACCTGAAAAATGTCCATCATCCAACCTGCAGCGACAAGACCAATGACTGACATGAGTAATGAAGGAAGTGCCTAATTGATTCCTGTCAAACAATGTCTAAATTTTTATACTTGGTGTTACATACCTCGGCTGCCAAGCGAGTTGCACTATTGATATCAGAGGATGGTGCGACATTATGTGGTGCTGTGGTGTTGTTGGATGGTATAGGTGCTCGAAAATGGATAAAAGAGGATGAAGAAGCACTACGGCTATGTCGTCGAAGCGATCGATCGTTGTGATGATGGTGTTCCAGGTCGGCATTCTGTTCCAAGGAGGCAAGCTCGATCGTGTCGACGGTGGTTGATGGGGGCGCCATGACAATGAACGAGTATTATAAAGCTTCGAGTGACCTCGGTTTGAATAGGATAACGAGTGGTATATAAATAAAAATAAAAAGTAAAAGAAAAAGAATAGGAGCGTAAAAGCACTCTATACACAGACACAAATGGTCGATCTTTTGTGCAACATGCACCAGCTTATTACGGATCTAGTCTCGGCTCCGATGTAAAATGGTAATGCTCCAATGTTCTGGATGGATGATTTAAATTCCCTATGATCTTGTCACTGTAAACAAATATAAGCTGCTCGTCGACATTATGCTAAAGGAATTACATGCTTTCAATGTCAAGCTTCAAGTTTATTGCAAGAGGAATGAGACTTGTTGGCGTGTGTTGCATTCTAGTAGTGATCCTAAACTACGTAGACGTGATCATTGCCCTTTTCGGGGTCTTCAATCCCAGGTTTAGAAAAGACCTGTAACCCGGCATCCAACTGCTTCGTATATATAAAACTCCATATCCATCGTATTTGAATGAGTGGTAATACGTCATTGAGCAGCAGTAACTCCAGCTTGGCATCAGGGGATCGATGATGATTGGCAATGTTTTACTTACATACATGTGTGGATACTTTCAAATCCAGGGTTCAGTCATCCAAAAGACCATTGCTGGTAGTAATGCCTCGCCTTCATCCACACGCACACACGTTGGCATGTCGTACAAATCCCATGCATACACCATGTTGTACGAGGTCGGAAAGAAGCACCATCTTTTTAACATTGAGTTGGCTGCGGAAAGGTATTCGTATTGGCTTTTTTGTTTGGAGCAAACAAGATGGGAAACATGGATGGCATTTGCTGCTTTGTATCAGTCCCTATGTCAGCGGAATTACGTGAGCGTCTTAGTGGATCCAAATACGGTCTCCATAATGCATTGTTCTTTGTTGAAGACTCTGTTGGTGATGTTGACCGCGAAACCTATATGGCATCCATCCACTACGACGACATGACCTACGCCATATGCGATCAGGAGACAATCAATAATAATACCGTTATCTTTGTCGACCGGGAAACAAAGAATACCTTCAAGTGTACAACACAATCGGCTGCTTTGATTGCAGTCAATCTAGCATTAGGCAATGTCGGCTTCGAAGAATACCAAGATGAGGCTGATTCCAATCAAGGGATAGTTGACTTTCCAGAAGAGTACTTTTAAATAAAGCGTTGGCATGGTCACGTGATGCTATCTCTCCGCTCAATGCAGTTGCCATGGATACCTTCCTTATCACTGGCATGTCATGAGTCAACACAAGTGCGTGAAGGATCGTCGTATTAACCATAGGATAGCAGTGGGCATTCGAGCCGGGTTGCTTGTTTCGCTTGTAAACTTCTAGATGGCCTATCACTATCTATAAGGATTACCACCTCATAGTTTTCAAGACCTGGAACCCTTTGCCATCCATGGTTGCAACAAGAGACTACCTCTGTACATGATAAGCAGCCCTGGAATTTCCAATTCATAAGCTGCCAGCTAATAGAGCGCCCTCCTCCCAATTGCCCCTGTGACCAAACTACTACATGTGAATGATTCTCCTGCTCCAGTCCATCATTTCCATCATTCAATTTTCTTGACCCGAAAGGATTTGGCTGAGCAGCGGTCATACAACGAGTACATCATGTCTTGCATATATGAAGTAGACGGCCAAAAGCATCCAGGAACATGATGTATACATGCATAAGTCACCCTCACACATATAGATGATCGCCCATGACATTTAATGCAAGAACTATACACAAGTATTCCTAAAGCCTACTCTTCAATAGCATCCAAACGCCAATGACAATGACAAGAAGTGAAGCCTAAGCTTGTTCTTTCTTTTGATCCGTTTTCCCAGCAGATGTAATATGTTCATAAACGTGATCCACATGTCGTAATTGTAGCGCTTTGATATCTTCATACACTATTTTTGCGAATGGATGTTAACCCACTTCCATCTTTTTGCTCCTGCCACAAAATTACCTTGATCGATCAGTTCTTGTTCTAGATTGGGATCAGCTTGCAGCCATATTGTCTCCAAGAAATTCAACAAAGACGCGGATAGGAGTGCACCTTCCTCTGGAGGCCTGCTATCGATATATTGCAAGTCGACCTGGAATGGATTTCGTGGACCAGGTTTCTTCATGACGAGGGTCAATACTTCCAACACCATCTTCCATAAGGCAACATCTAAAGATGTATTGAGTGACAATATCAAGGGTGGGTGGATTACTAGTTTTACCTTGTCGACGCCAATCATCCGTTGTCTTGAGTGTCAATGGGTCGTCTGAATGAGTCATGTTATCTTGGTCTGGGTATGATCGAAACTACAATTGTAATCAGGGTAAATGCATGAAACAAAGGCGGCATCTCATCACAGCAAGCTACTTGCATAAACGTAAGGGCACTTGTATCTTGCGTATCCAGTAAAAAGTAGCACAGTACACGTTCGATGCCTCTATTAGCATAGATTGAGCTTCACGTGATCTCCTTGTAGTAATAAATGTATGAGTACCTTCTTCAACTGGTCGTCTCGTGGATCGAATAACGTGTCTTTGCTTGCAGGTGTACACAAAAGAAATTCTTCTCGGCCACGCATAAAGACATTAAAGTGCTTGAAGCCCTGGTCATAGATGCATACACGTAATCTGTCATTGACATTGCTTCGTTTTGGTTTTCTTGTTCATGAGCTTACTCGAAGGCTGGCAAAAGCACGACACTCTTGCAAGTAGTGCGATAGGCGAGCCGTGTCTCGTCTCAAGTCTCTCTGAATTTTGGGTGTGAAAATGAAGAAATAGAATGATATCAATGCAACCTTACTCGTGGGTCCGGTCCCAGCATGAATAGGGGAGAGAAAAGAGTGAAAAGATACTAGTTGTGAGATCCTCGGGGTTTATTTCACATCGCATGACATTGTAACACAAAACATCATCATTATCATTATCATCACACAACATCCATTATATATTAAGACTTGTTCCTATGGATAAGAAAACAGCTGATGGAGTGATAAAAGGTTGAATGGAAAGGATATCCAAGAACAGGTATAAGTAAAGGTTATTCACTTCAATGAAGCAAAGGCGATATCCACACGTTCCTTGAGTTTCTTCTTGTCATACATCAAGTGGGCCAACTCGTATAAGTCAATGCTGTCCAAAAGCTTGATCGTCACCTTTGGTGCTTGCTTGGTACCCGTTGCCTATGGAAACACTCATGTCAACACACATGTATATCCCTACCATCCCTTTTAATAACATACCTTGACAAGTGGAAAGAGTCGATCACCCAATTGCTGTTTCTTTTCATGGATAGGCTTTCCTTCGAGGGATTGTAGTATCTCATCCACGTTCACTTGATCACTATTATTACTGCTGCTGTTGGTAGATGTCTTGTTGGTGGTGGTGTTGGTGGTAGTGGGAGTGGATGGTGAAATAGGCGTTTTGGGTTCAGGAGGAGGTGCCACGATGGGTATTGCTTTAGACATGCGTGCTGGTGCTGTTGGTCTAGATGGCGTGGTAGTAGGTCTACAATATCAATCATTAGACTTGCAAAATGAAATAGGGTCTACTTGTACTTACACGCTCTGTTCAGGTTGAACGTTTTGTGTAATTGCCTGTTGCTCTTCTTCCTCCTCTTCCTCCTCCTCTCCTTGCTCTTCATCGTTGAACGTATCCAAAGCGATCAATGCCAGCTCGATCTTTTCACGTAGGAAATCTTGATTAAATAAGCATAGCGAACGCTCTTTGCGCTTGAGAGTCAACAGCATATCCACGATATCATTGACGGATTGTGAATAATCTCCGCATCGCATTACTGCATCTGCCAATCTTTGTCGTTGCATTGAAGCACTGCTTTCTGTCATAACAGAGCTGACTGATTCGAGAGAACCTCTACGTCGCAATGTGGGACGACCATTGCTTGGCTCCATTGATTGATGTTGTTGTGGCTGATGAGGATAAGGTCGTGGTTGGATGTTGGCACCTGAAGCCAAAGATGCAAGGGATGGTCCATTACTGCTTGCACCCGACATGGGCGAGCTTGAAAAAGGTGGAGAAAGGCGCAAAAATGGCTGTGCTAAACTTGAATCGGCTGTAGAGAGCTATACACATGCACATGTGTGAGTCTATAGAATAACAAATCTAAATGCATGATGACTTTTTACCTTTCGATGTACTGAATGTGGGGGTGATGGGCGTTTTGGCTTCATGTTGATTGCAATTTGATCCACGTTGTCTATTCCCAATCCATTCATTTGTGCGGGCCCTTGTATAAATTACTCATTAATCGATCCTGTATATTGCACTCTTAATGATAAAAGCTTACTGTTGGTCCTTGCTGGTTGTGCATTGATATCGTATGCATGCGTAGTGAAGGCCACGTTGGGATCAAAGGAAGAAACAGGTGCATGATTGTTGATATACTCTGGCATGGGACGTGACACGGGCACGGATGGGGTGCGAATGCCACCCGAGGAAGAGAAATTACTTGCTGATGCTGCCATTCCAGCTCTATTTTGCCCCTGTTTCTCTTGGCGTGGTTTCTTGGGTTCATGATAGGCGACTATCAACGGCTTTACTCCATGTGGTGGTATTTTGCCATTCATCTCTTGTAAAGCAGCCGCTGCTTCCTCAGCCTTGTCATAGCTCACAAATCCATATCCCTTCGATTGTCCTGTTGCTGGATTGCTCATCACTCTGGCTGATACGATCCTTCCAAACTTTTTGAATAGCTGAAACAAAGCGTCATTGTTGATGTGGGGTTCCAAATTCTTGATGTACAAATTCATGTAATCCACATAGCCAGACTCAGTCTTGCTAGATCCTGAAGCTTGAGGGCTTGGTGTCTATTACAAAAAATTCCATTAATCCACCATCCATACGCTCACAAGCGCTTTTTTAAAGTACCTTCTTTTGTGATTGAGCCGGCACTGGTGAAAATGGAACAATGACACTATTGGAAATGGATCAGGATGAGTTATTCAAGCATACGTAATGTATAGGAAGGACTTACAGCGAGTTATCACCCATTAATCGGCCATTCTATCCAATGGTATAAATGATTATGAGATACCATTTCCTCCTTTTTTCAAACAAGTACTTACAAGAATGTTTTGTGCTTCATTAGAGTCATCTTGGGAAAAGTACTGTACAAACGCTGCTCCTTGAAAAGACTTCCCGTTCACAATCAACTTGCATAAACTGAGTGGTCCAAATCCACGAAATAGATCATATAATCCGTCATTGTCGATGCTCAAGGGAAGATTACTGACTTCTAAAATGGGGCCCTTGGGTTCTGGATCGTATGCATCATCGAGGTGAAATTGGAGCTTGCCGCCGTTGTTTTCGAATCCAAATCCATTGTAAAGCGAATATACTCGATCGGCTATTACAAAACATGTCAACATTCCCATTCTACGATCATTGAAATATCACTTTACCTATATCCGCATTGGCAAATCGTAAATAGCCACTATCTCCATCCTCATGGATCACGACTCTAATATCAAGCTAGCTGTCAGTATCCATAGTGATCCCTTTCCCATCCACCTACCCACGCACCCACCCCTCGACTACCTTTACTCTATTCCCTCTCCTCTCATACCCCGTTTTACCCCATCTATCCACGATGGTGAATAACTTACTCAGTGGGATCATAAGCTTGCAATAGGTTGGCGAGTGCCTCTTCGGTGATAGAACCTCCCAGGCCGGAGAAACGCAACGTGCTCGAAACCAAGGTGTCAAGTGATGAGTTACTGGAAGGAATCTGCTGCAGCAAGGATTCTCGACGGATGCTGTTGGGACGCATAGATGATCTGTTGCTTTTTGGCAATCGAACGATTGGCTGATAATACGAAGTTCCAGTCATGATGCAAGCCAATGTATAAATAGGTGTGCTGGGGTACTGCTGGTGTAGAATAAAAGAAGCTCTTCTAGAAGCAAAAGCCATTGTGTTAGGTTGAGCATGTTGTCGAATGAGGTGTGTGTTCCCAGGGATACCGACCAAGTGTTTATGTGAAAGAGACAAGTGTGTGTGTGTGTTCGTGCGTGCGTGCGTGCGTGTGTGTACACCAAATAAAAGATAGCACTAAAAGAGAAAGGGAGGGAGCGGGAAGACACATTCGAAGCACTTGCCCCGAGTGGAATTGTCATGTGCACATCCAAGGATAAGCCACAGCCAACATCATTTATATCCTCTATACAGAATTATCATTAAATACCTCACTTGTGCTTTACCTATAGTTGTTGCTATGGATGTATTCAAGAATAGAAGCTAGGAGTCTTGCTTTTGCGTTCCTGGATGGATCGTTGCTGTGTGCTTTACGTTGATTGGTCCTGTTTCCCCTTTTCCAAGCATGGTGAAACATGAGCTCGCGTGCTTCGGGATCCACATTGTGTTGTCAGGAGACGATTTTTGCAATCAACTCAGTAATTAATGACGTGTGCAAAGGACGAACATCACAGTTAAAGAAACTTGACCTGTGTTAGCTGACTTTGTGCATTGCCTTTTTGTTTATTTATGAACCTTTGGGTGATTCATCCAGTTGCATGATACGTAATGGTGATCCATTTCTCTCTCTTTTCTCCCTATTACTGTACCTTTACTTTGTCATTGCATACCTTGTCAAAGGAAGTGTCTTTGTCCAATTGTAGCACCGACTCCGCTGAGAGCTGTACAATGTATGCAATATGTAATCCCATTCTTCTTCTTCATCGCTAGACATGGCATTCATTGTAGGGATTGGATGATGTCGGTAGGAATACAAGGTTTATTTGGTCCAAGCGACTATCTAGCGCTATGATAAAAGTATATGTGTAGCAAGCTCTTGGCGTATCATCATGCAGGCGACAATTGGGCTTCAGCGTAAGATCATGATCGAAAAGTAGTAGCAGTAGTAGTAGTAGTAGTGCTCTCACATTCCCTCGACATGCAGCCTTGACCTCCAATCCTTAGTAAAGCAAGCGTCCAGCTAAAGTCATAGATGATGCAATTGAGCTATCCAACGCATACCATAAAAAAAGTGAGCAAGCAGATCAATGAAGAATAGGGTATACATGAAGGCCATTGATACGTCCCTTATGTTTTAGCGTTGCTGGTTCAATAGTTTATCCCTTGCAATGTCAACGGCCATTGCGTCCAACACGTGTGCATTTGCAATGTGCAAGATTGTGGAGTGTCCCAGGCAACCTGACTCTTTGCTGCTACGGGGGATCCGGATCTTCTTGCTCTATGGTTTTCTCTTCGCCGTGAAGGATGCCTCACAACCAGTGTTCTCTTTGGTCGCATGGATACATCAACGACGGTCGTGTAGATGTGAAGAAGAGGAGAAGATTTGTGTCACAAGGAATCACTATCAAATCCGATTGACTCATACATGCAGCAAAGGACACGAGTTGGCTTAGCTATCCCCAGAGCTTTGATTCTTATCACAACCCACTAATAAATATCCGAACGTATGACATCAACTATGATTTGGCGTAAGGAATGAGATACACAGCTGCCATAGAACACTGCATCTTTTAGTGTAATGACCCTTTTATGGCAAGGATACCATATTAGTTAAGTACACGCAAGTGATCATGATTCAAACTTTGTACATAGGGAATATTTTCATTTGATCCCTCCTCCTCTCAAGCATTTGAGTCATTGCTGAGCGTGTAACGTGGTGGTCAATATGCATAAAAACACGGGACAATTTACTCCGGGTACTCATTGTTCTCTCGTAGTGCATGTGGCTAGGTCGCTGTTTCGGCACCTCTTCCTTGCTTGCATGAACCCCTATCGGCAAGGTTAAACTTGGATCCGCTCTCCGAGTGATGGCTATTCGCATATAAAATCCATACTTTGTTACCACGGTTCCATAGATCAAACATTGGTTTTTCTACTTTTCATCATCAACGCCATGGATCAAGTACTCAACGTTTACAACACTTACGTGTTCCCATTCTTGACAACACACAAACGACAAACGCGTGTCTCTATTTCAGCAGCCATCGGGCTTTTGACCCTTTATTGGGCATACGACAAGATATTCAGACCACCCCGTCAACTACGTGGTATCCCACAAGCACCCTTCTTTGGCATTCTAAAAGCCTTGTTCACAAGCACGCCTATCGATGAGCTTTCGAGAATGACATTGCCCATTGCTAACAAAACTCCCAGTGGATTATACATGGTGCGTAAAATAACATTGGTATCATGATCACCCCCCCATCTCATATAGCGGGATTCTACCACCACCTTTTTTAGCGCTTTGATCAAAATGGATGGAATGTGCGTATCACTCGACCAGAGTCTGCCAAGAAATTCCTTCTCAAGACAGGTAAAAAGAAGCCATGGTGATCGAAGAAGGGAAGCTCAACTTTTACTTTTGTAGATTTGTTTGTAAAAGATTCGGTGTCGAAATCACGTAAAGAGACATTGGGAGGCCGTTTTATCTTTAGTGCCGGCAATATTTTGACGCTAAATGGCCAAGAATGGAAAACGCATCGAAAGGTACACATACAGCATCAAGGTGCTCGTAAAAGACCATTGGCTCATGCATTTCATTAGATTGCTAATCCAGCTTTCCACCGATCAATGCCTGTTGACCTATTTGGCAAGCTCACAAAAAAGATGATCTATGCGATGGATCAAACAAAAGGGCCCATTGAGTTTCACAACATGACCTCTCGTATCACATTGGATGCAATCGGATTGGCTGGATTCGGTAAGTGCATGATTTTTTGCGTTTGCTTGGCTGACCCAACTCACTCACACACACCGTTTGAAACAAGGTTTTGATTTCAATTCTATTGGCGACGAGAACAATGAATGGACCAAAATGTATGGTGATTTCACAGCTGCTCAACGAAACCCAATTTTCTTCATGTTGACATGGTTGGATCGAGAGCCTTTGCTTCGATTGTTCCCTAAGCGCCGTAAAGCTCATCAAGATCTTACCAAGTTTTTGAACAAGTTGGATGAAATCATTATCCACAAACGTCAAGTACTTGAAGGCACAATCAAAAACGATGAACAGCCCGTTGATGACCACAATAAGGATTTATTGACGCTGATGTTGGAAGCTCAGCAACACGACGGCGAATCTGCCATGACAAATGAGGAGCTAAAGGTATATAAGAAGAGAGAGCGGAATGAGAAAGAAGGGTGGCTAACCTGTGTTGTACACATAGAGCAACCTATGCGTTTTCTTCCTTGCTGGACATGACACAACTGCAAACGCCTTAAACTTTGCCGTCTATTACATGGCTATGAACAAGGTAATTATACACGACGTCGTTATGGTATCAACGATCATATGTGTAACACGGGTAATCATATCACAGGATGTTCAAGAGAAGGCAAGAGAAGAAGCAATTCGTGTCCTTGGAGACAATCCAGAGGATGTGGTTCCTAATTCAGAGCAAGTGAAATCACTTCCATATATTGACATGATCATCAAAGAGGTATGTAACATCCCATTGGCTGAGAAGAAGGCGACATGCAGCAATGCTTATATATATACACCGCTCTATGTATCATAGACTTTGCGTATGAATCCACCTGCATCAGCCATCTTTGCTCGAAAGCCTACTGAGGACACTGATCTTGATGGTGTGTTCATTCCCAAGGGTCAAGCTGTCGCCCTTGATATCTATCAATTGCATCACAACCCAACTGTGTGGAAAGACCCTGAGGTCTTTGACCCTGAAAGATTCAGTCCTGGTGGCGAATATGACCAGCTTTCTACCACTGGAATGCCATGGCTCCCCTTTAGCTCAGGTAGCCGTATATGCATAGGAATGAATTTCAGTCTCGATGAGCAGCGTGTCGTTTTGTCTATGCTCTGTAAGTGTTGTTATTATTGACGAGTCTGATTTATGCCGATCTATCTAACAGATGCCAAACACGTATAGTGCGTAAATACGAATGGGATTTGCCGCAAGATTCTCCACACAGGAAGAGATTGATGCTTGAAGGATTGGGTCTCACCAAGGCAAAAAACATGTTTGTTCAATTCAATCGACGCTATTAGGTGCAAATACCTCACCTCTTCCTTTTCTTCACCTCAACCAATGTATTCAACCATCCTCATTATACCTCTCTCCCAGCAAATAAAAACCTTCAAATGGATATTCAATGATGATTTAAGATTACTCTACGCGCGTCGCCTCGTGTCACGGATCATTGCTTCATCGCTATGGCAACGTGGTATCATAGGTTACTATCATTTCTGTAAATGGCATACGTTGTTGTTTATTACGAAGACGTTGACAGCTACTGTATCCTAGCGATTGCCCACATAGGTGATACACCAATTTCAATCAAGGAAAGCATCGCATCTGAACACCCGTACTCGATACCATCGTTCATGATCCCACCAAAAGCTCATTATACTATACTATACCATCCACGGACACCTTCTGATCCCTCAGTATACAGTTGTGCTGATCATGGTGCAAAAAGTTAAAAGTCGAATGGGAAGGAATGTGCAAGTCGATAAAGTGACCCAAGCAAAGTGAACCTTCAGTTGTCTCGGGAGTATCAAGGATTCTTGCTAATGGTTTGCTCTGCGTCGACATGTAGACCCCACGACCAGCATCTCTCTCATCGCAAGGTCCTGTTTGAAACGACGGTTGTAAAAGAAAAGAAACAATTGGCTAGCGCGTTTTCGTGGGAAAAATATGCAAGATGAGATTCAATTACCTTTCGCGTTCCTTGTTTCCACACTCTTCTCCCCCTTCAACGCCCTTTTTCTTTTCCCATCCATCATGAGCTCGAACGACCAGGTAGGTTGGATCTATCTTGGATACTACTACAACATCATGTTTATTTCGACACGTATATAGAAACCTATTCTTTACGGCTATTTCCGATCCGGCACATCTTGGCGTGCTCGTACTATCCTTGCATGGAAAGGCATTGAATATGAAAACCGTTTCGTCGACTTGGCCCAACTAAAGAACGTAAGAAAGGATCACAATGGTGATGGTCACGTAATGATTCTCATGTGAAGCATGATTAGAATGAAGATGATTACATCAAGGTGAATCCTAGTCGACGCGTGCCAACCTATATCACTCCCGATGGTCGTGCCTTGACCCAATCCATGGCCATTCTTGAGTACATTGAAGAGACCCATCCTGGTATGTGTATGATAAATACGCTTTCTTTGCACCTGTATTCATTCGACCCATCTCCATTAGAGAGACCACTCTATCCCAAGGATCCCTTCCAACGTGCACAGGTAATCATCATAAGCAACATCCCATCCCGAAAGCTAATCACGCATTCAAGGTCCGAGAACTATGCAACGAAGTGGCATGTGATATCCACCCTATTCAAAACAACAGCGTACAAGCCTATGTTGCTGGTAAAGATATGGCCAAACGTGAAGAATGGGCGCGTCATTTTATTGCACGTGGATTCGAAGGCATCGAAAAACGATTGGAAAAAGAAGCTGGCAAGTTTGCTTATGGTGACGAAATCACTATGGCGGATGTGGTCCTTGTACCTCAATACTACAATGCCTTGCGTTTCAAGCTTGACATGTCAGCGTTCCCAACTATTGAACGTGTATGCAAAAATGCCATGGCAGTCCCTGAATTCATCCAAAGTAGCCCCCAACAACAGCCTGATTGTCCTCCAGAGTTCAAGCAATAAACAATCATGGTCATCATCTCTTTTTATAAAAAAGGAGTCATAAAAACGTTGACTATAGCTTAAAAGTGGTGTGCGTGTGTGTGTGTGTGTTTGTGAATGCATGCAAAATGGGATGTGTTGTGTGTAAAATATATATAGGGTGAGAGTTGTTTTGTGAATGTTCGTCTTGTAGGTAAGTAGGTGGGCGAGATGTATGCTTGAGAGAGCGAGAGAGCGAGAGAGCGTGTGTATGTATATGGCAATAGGATCACATGACATGGCCTTCTGTACGTTGCTGCAAATCCTCAAGGTTCCCACCGGCAGCAGCAGCCATCATTGGCCATTGATCCGAACCAATCATTAAATCTGACATCATGGCAGCATCGGCAGCGCCACTTGTAGGTGGATCAAGCATCATCATTGTACCCGTTGTATCCATAGGCGTACTCATGTCTGATTGCGAAAAGCTGACTGATGCATAATCCGGAGTCGTACCATCCACGCTCATCATTGTATTATCACTTGCTTGGCTGTTGTCATTGTATGGGATATAGGGTGTAGCTGGTGGTAATTGATCTTGATATTGCGATTGTTGTTGCATTGAACTTTGTTGTGTACCTAAGGGTGGTTCACCAGGGATAGAGATCGTATGTCTTCGATGGTGTTGTTGTTGCTGTTGTTGTTGTCCCATAGCAACCGTTGCCATGGATGAAAAAGGTGATGTCTGAATTGAGGTAGGTGGTTGTTGCTGTGGCAACGGTGGCGGAGGATGAGGAGGAGGCTGTGTATGCCGGTTACGTGGAGGCAAATACTGTTGCTGCTGTTGATGACGTTGTGCATAATAAGAAGGCATCATAGCTGTCATGGATGATTGGCGTCTCAATTGACGGGTCATACGTGGTTGTTGATGATGATGCTGATGCTGATACATCTTATTCATCATTGAGTATCCATCACCTGGAGATGGTGGTGTTGTTGGGATATCTGAGAATGATGGCGGTGTGCCTGGATATACAAAGTCGGGTGGCAATGGTGATGAGCGTGCATGTGCAGGTGGGAAATTGCCAGTGTTGATAGGTTTGTTCATGTGTGCTCTTCGCATTGAACGTAAATCTTCTTGAGAATACGACATTGGATGGCTAAGACGTGATTTGCGTGGAGGTACATATGGATGTGGATTGCCATTGTTGTTCATGAATGAGGGTGTTTGATAAGGATGTGCATGCTGCTGCTGTTGCTGCTGCTGCTGATGTTGTTGTTGCTGAATGTGGGGTAATGGTTGTTGATGATGATTGTAAATAGGCATGTTGATACCACTTTGCATCATCAGTGAAGCAAAACGAGCTGGATCTGCAATGGCAGCACTTGAATTGAATAATGATGCATGATCCATCATATATGGCATTTGACCCGCTCCAAGGAGTTGTTGCGATGATGATTGTGTATGGCTCCAGGGACTTGACACGTGATTACCCATATGCATCACTGGTGTGCCTATGTTCGTAGAAGTAGCAGAGGTCGTATTGATGGAAGGCATACCCGCCATTGTATGTCTACGATTCTTTGGCAACATGTACGTTTGCTGTTGTGGTTGAGGTTGTGGTTGTCGAGTTGCCATTCCCATTGTTGATGGAAGAGTGGGTGATGATGATGTGGAGGAGACATCGGATAAGGCTCGATCATTGCCAGGCATGTGTTGTGGTGCAGATGAGGGCATCATTGTAGTTTCCGGAGACATGGATGCAATGCTCATGTTAGCATTTGTGGTATTGCTGCTGCTATTACTATTAATGACATTAGTATCACATGCCTTCTCTCGCCCTGACCCTATTTTGTTTCATACATTTGCATCATATCGGCCTCCTTGATTTGTGCATGGAATTCCATTGCTGGAGATTCAGTAGCGAGACGATTCAATACTTGAATTGTTTTGGCATGTTGTTGCTTGGCTGTCTCTGCCATCGTCTTATCAGAGCTGGACATCAATTCACGGTGTACAGTGGCTGCCATGGTGATAAAGTGGATTGTTTGTTGCACACCTCGTGTTGGATAACTAAACACGTCGACTGGATGGGTCTCAAGCATAGTGTCTACAATGGTTGTAATATTGGAAGCTGAGCTGGCACATAAAAGTTCGTGTTGATAGGGTTCCAGTTCCATTTCACAATCGGGCAAAGGATGCAGCACATAATGTCGGTGAAGCAAAATGACACTGAAATGGAAAGTCATGTGAAGGAATCCTGCAAAAACGTTGCTGATGGCTTGCTTATCGGCAGGGTAAGCGGGTGACCCTTGAGTAGGTGAGTATCCAAGTGCTGCTGGTAATTCATGTACAAAGTTCTCAAGATGGGTGTGCAATAGAAACAATCGACCATGCTCCTCAATGATTTGGATCTGCGTACGTTGATCGCCTTGAGCACTTTGTCTTGCTGCCACACGCCGAATCAATGCATAAATATCAGACAAGATGCGAACAAGCTGAATCATCAGGTTGTTGTTGGTGACAACTTCCTCCAATAAGGGTCCTTCCTCACTTGTAGCCAAAGGATATTCGGTGATGCAATCGATATTGTTGAAACATGGTTCACGTCCTTGCTCGATACTATAAAATTCATCGACATTTTAGTAAACCAAATGATCCCTTTACTTTTTGCCAAGAGCTCATTCTGCAGCCCGTGCGTCAATGACAACTTACCTCATCATGAGATCATATGTAAACACCATCCAGAATGTACGTTTCTTTGACTCGTGGTCTTGGGCATCTTCACCATTCCGCGGAGATCCTTCAAGTTTGGACATGCCGAGATCGTTACACATCTTGATAGCCATCCCCAGATAGATACCAGGTCGATGAAAAAAGCCGAGTCGACGATAGTATTCTTGATACTTTGTCAATAGTAAAAGTGCTTGAATGGTGGATAAACGTGGTGCATCTGAATATTCGTCAATCTTTGCAAATGCTCGTTGATAAAAGATAAATCCAGGCGCAATAACACCAGGCGTGGGATGGTGATTGTGTTCGCTTGTCCAACGTGATGCAACGGCACACATGGCGTACAGCAATAATGGCGAAGGTGGATCATTCTTGTTACCCATTTGCTTGTGAAAGAGAGGATTGTGAAGCATGGGTATATACTTGTGCAGCTGCGAGAAAAAAGTCTTGATAAGAGACATTGGAACATCTTGTGGCAATCCTGCTGGCGTTGTCGTGGTACTCGTTGTTGATTCATTGTCGGTATCCATGGCATTATCCATTTGACTCGTCTTTTTGTTGGGTGATGCTTGTCGACTACTACTACTGCGTCTCCCAGATAAGCTGGTATCATTGCTGGTATAGTTGCTGCCATCCACATCACCACCACGTCCACCAATTTGGAGGCGATCAATACGTGCCAATTTGTCGTTCACATACATGGCTTGTCCAATCTCATTGATGCTGAACTTGTCGGCCTCACCGATACCATTATGATTGAAAGTTGATGCAGCTTTTACATCTTCCTCTTCTAATGTAGCATGATTAGACATGTATAGCCCACCAAAAACATGATGTGAAACCCTACCTTCTTTAATGATGGGTGAATTTCTTCCATCCTCGTTGATACTACTCGAAGGTGATGATGATCCTCCTCCTCCTGCTGCTGCTGTTGTTGCTGCTGATGATGATGTTGTTGTTGATTTGAGTGATAAAGCTTCATCCAAAATACGTCTTGCAGGGCCATCAATGGTACGAAGTGCCTTTTCAATCAACTGAAGACGTGCTTCGAGTAATTCGATATACTGCTTTGGTGGACCACGCTTGGGAGGAAGTTTGGCAAAGACACATTCAATCTCTGATTTGCGACATTTAGCACACGGTTGAACACCATCGCATTTGACCTGAATGATGGTGATGATGATAACAACATGTAAATGATCCCTTGTATGCTTATCCCTTGTTGTGATTTACCTTGCGTTTTCTACACTCGTCGCATGCACGCATACTCTTATTACGACGATTCTGTTGTGGTCCAGCAGCCGAGTTGTTGTTGCTATTGTTATTGTTGTTGTTGCTAGCTGCTGTTCCTCTTGACCTTGTGTTCTTTTTTGTCGGCTCGGAAGACGTGTGAGTTGACGATTCCGGGGAACTGTGCTGATGTTGCTCCGACAAAGAGTCCATCGTGAGAGAATGAAGTGGAGGAGGTGGGGTAATGGGAAGAGTGGTAGCGGGGGAAGGGGTATAATATATACAATCAGAGGAATTGAAGAAGCTCTTTTTTGGAGCGTGGAATAAGAACAGGTATAACCAAAGAAAACAAGGAGAAAGAAGAAGAGTAAACTAGAAATCAAGTAACCCCCCGGTGGCAAAAAAGTGAAAAGGGGAAAAGATACGAGGGGTAATAATGACGAAGCGAGAAAAAAAAAAGTTGGGTGCAGGAAAAGGAACACCAAGATCAGGGCTGAGTTTTTTCATTCTCTCGGTCGTCTTTTTGCAGATTGAAACTGAATGGATGGAGCTGTGCCATGTACATACATGCCCTGCCTTGTTTTGCTAAAACATATCCTTAACCTTCACGCACTGTTGTGCTTCTTCCCAAAATTGGTAAAAGGGATGACCTCGTTTGAGAAAATTCACTCTATTGTCGATCGTTCCTTTACAGACAGCAAGCACCCTCATTGTCTCTCTCTCCTCCACATTTCCCTCCCCCTCCCCCCAAAAAAACCTAACTACACTATCGCTACGTTGATGTATTCATACATTTATTGAAGATCTCTTCGTGTTGCTAAGCTAGCTCTTCGTGGATAATGGCTCGTCTCTGCACCAGTGCTTCCCACAATCACTCGAGAGATATCTGTCATTGATATAACGCCTATAGGTCTACCCATATCATCCGAAACCCACACGCGATGTGCTCTTGTAGCTAGCATTTTGGCAATCGTGAATCCCAAAGTGGTATCCAATCGTACATCAAACACTGGCAAGCGATCCTATTGGTATAATCACGGGCCACTTTAGCCATCCCTGCCGGTTCTTTTTTTCTCATCAATGTACGGCACTGTACCTGTCCATCTTCAATTCCTTGTTCGGTGCGCACCATGCTAACAAATTGGAAGCAAGTTATCCACAAGAGGCTCTTCTTGAAACCCTTCATCACATGCTGTTGAACAAAGGACACATTAGTTATGCGTGGAAAAATGTACCAATTCACATGGGCTAATGCATGTCGATTTCCCCCCCTCCTCTCTCCCATGCTATTACTATCCCGCTTTCTTGTTTGCACACTTTACCTTAATATCCGTCATGCTAATGTTCCCCAAAGCAACACCATTTGCTCCAGTGATCACCACCGATGATACTCCATATTGGCCTATGCGTGTAAATTTCATGAGTGATCTGATAACAACACGACCATTGCACACATTTTTCTTTCCTTTTTCTCTTTTGGCTCCTTTCCCGCCCTTCACCATCATCATCATCCATGTACTTACTCATAATAGAAAGCGCATCCAATACTCGTGCGTCTGCATTTGCACTGATTACATCTGTTTCGCCCAATCCCAGGTGACGTAGCTACATGAGCATAAAAAAGGGCATGAGACAAATGCGGGATTGAACAAAAAAGACCAATCTCCCGCGCTATTGCATCACGCGGTGGCGCGCGCGCAAACGCAAAACTTACCGTTTGTCCCAAAAGCTTCTCAATAGTCGGGAATTGTTTACGATTGTTGTACAAATACTCAATGACTGTGGATTGCGACAAGATGCCCTACGTTAACATTGTCAGCTGTTACTACTACTACTACTACCACCACCACCACCACTGGCCAATGCCCCCAACCGAAATTCCCATTTCAGACCACACGTTTCCCACACCCAAATGACATACCTTGACTTCACCCGATGGCTCCAATACACAAACTATTTAACCGGGATACTCAATAAAAGTATACATGCGGGGTGTGAGAACATGCTTCGTTATACCTCTGTGTGTGCCACATGCAAATTCCTCGATCGCTGATAATAGAGTTGATTCTGGAAGGATCGAATAAAAAGGATTCTTTCGTGACAAGTCTAAATCATCCAGAGTGAGTCCACGTGCCCATTCTCTTTTCCATTCTCTTTCCTTACCACTGGCCAATCTCACGGGGACTGCTTGTCCTTCAACAGCACGTCGAATAAGATCCGTCACCTCGGATAAATCGTCATCGCCAGAAGGTTCTTGCATATGAGGCGGCATTTGGTCCATCAACACCAACAAGATATAGGCAATAACATCACCATAGTCGAACATGCCCACATACTCAGTGACCTTGCCATTGTGATTATTTCGGCTGTCGTATACGGGTGCAGATGAAATGTTGTTCTTGATCAAGATCTTACATGCTTCTTCAACTGGTAACGAGCCATCACTTTGATATAGGTAAGCCCATGTGTATCCATACGCTTTGCTCCATGTTGACCTACATTGTAATGACATGCTGTTGCTTCATGAGGTTGCCGGCAGGGATCATACACCAATCGTGTGGTTTAGACGAGATGCCTTCACGATGCTCCATAGTTGTAGAAAGGATAAAAGAGGTTTCAATAAAATGGAAAAAGGGAAAAAAGAAAACCGTGTGATAAAGTGATGCACTTTCCACCCTGTATACACGCGCCGCTACGCGCCCTTTCAAAATTCAAGCGGCATGAATGTTCCATTCTTTTCCATGCAAATGGCAACATCCTTATCCTTTCTTGTCATCTACCACTTTATTGATGTATTTCGAACAACGTGCTTGACCTTTTTAACAATGGATGGTTGATGTCGAGCTATCTTTGTCGCATTTTCAAATACTATTTTATCGGAAAGGGATTGGAATACTCGACTTTTCAATGATCTATTACTACTAGAATACCCTTGTATTAGCTTCCTTATCCCGATCATCCACGCACGTGTTCTAGTCCTTACCGCGTATTCGATATCATATTAGAGGGTGCGGGTGAAGGAGGAAGGGCTTTGTTGTTGTTACATGGAGCTGCAGCGGATTGTGATGTCGTTTTGAAGGCTACTCTTTTATGCTGGTGACGACTACTACTATCATTGATGATGCTCTTTTTGCGTTCGATTGAATAAGAGGAACAAGATGACGACGACGAGGATGAAGCTGAGGAGGATGAATAAGCGGATGGTCTTCTATTCTTTGGTGGTGTATGCTTGGTTGAATTAAGATCAATGTAAGGTTCCGGACCAAGCAATCGAATGGATATCGGTGCACCCAAGCTGTCAGTACTCCCACCATAGCCATGTAAAGTGGGTCGAGATGACCGTGGTGATGGTGGCTGATGACTTTTAGCACTGATTGTGGATCTACGCTGGGCAGTAGGACGACATGGATATGATGCATGGGTTAAAGACAATGACCGTTGTGGTGCTTTGCGGTATATTGCTGCGGTTTCACGTTGCTTGGATACTACAATATCCTCATGGTCTGGTGATGGTGGGTCGGTTGGAATGACAATCTTGGGTATTGGTGGCTCTTTGTCTGCTAAAAAGGATCATTGTTATACAACAAAGGACTTTTTGTTATGATCCCAAACGGACTTACCCAAGTTTTTGTTGGATAAAGAAGATGATGGTGGTGGCGATGCTTGAGTGGAAAGCTTCCTCGCTCGAAGAATAAAGTCCACTACATCAACAAGATGGAGATGGCCATTGTGGCTCTTTTTTGCTAGTACTATTTATGCCCACGTTACGTTTTAGCCATGAATCTGATGGATGTTTCTATCAATAACACAATACCAACCATATTCAACGCTATTGGGTTTCTGCGTGTTGGATTCAGGGGATGGTGGTGGTGGCGGCGGCTTCATGTCATCGACACGCAATATTGAATTCATCCGCAAAAGCATGTTCTTTATGTAAAGATAAAGGGGTAAAGAAGAGTGTAATCAGGAAAAAGGCACAATATTGTTTAATCCTAATCGCTTTTATATCATCAAAGGTCTATGTACAATAGTAAGCAGCAACTTTTGAGACAAGCGTGATGAAACAACAACAAACATGATAACAACAACAGAACAATCATCACGAAAGCCAATGTAATTTGCTTGTAAAAGTCATCCGCCATGTGGTGGTATTCATTGTATATCTGACACGTATTTGGGGTAGCATCAGCTGACACATTAAAGGAAAATAGAATGGCCAGTGGATATCCCTTTTGGAAGCTTCTTTTCTTCTATCACTCACGATCCTCGTATAAACCATCAATGCGGATGCAGGGGTTCTTGCTGGAAGGGATATACACCACACTCAACTTTGGAATATTCTTCACAGCCGTTGAATACGTAAAGGTCTACATAGCCGATATGCTTGGCACCCTCTACATCTATACTAAAAGCTTCCCAGCGGAGTTTTTGCATCTGCATGAAGTGTATTATTATAGCACAACATCGATCATGCTCTAAAGAGATACCAAATAGCACTAAAATCTTATCCCATAGTCATAGATTCAAGAGATTTACAACGTCTGTGTTTATGGGAAGAATGAAATCAAATTTTACATTATCATTGAATATGGGGATTTGCCATGTCGTGTTTTCCTTTTGCGGGCTCGTTCTAAACAATGTAGTGGAGGACTTGGACCATACTGGAAAAAGAGACCTTTTCGGTAACAGAGCTCTTGGGATATGGTGAACCAGCCAAGAAGCGCACAGAGGTGCTTGTCAAGTGGAGGTGGATCCGTGTAACAAGACTGATGTCATCTGCATAATACTGGAAGTGGCGGTGTCAGCACTGGTTACCTCTTTACGCATCGCAAGGTAAGACTACCCCCCAATCGTGAACTTACATGACAATAACTCTTAGCTATTCATTCAGTGTATAGCAAGACGCGATCTTGGAGCATGTCAACCCAACCATCGTTGGCCAATGGTTTCCTTCCTCATCCACGAACAAGGGGCAACTACGATCCATGAACCTCGTTGATCCACAGCATGTATGTAAAAAACCTACCCTCTTCCCTTGCTCAAGTTAACTGTTTTCTATGTTAGCATGTTGCACTTTCTTCAACTTGTCCACAAACGCAAGGCACATCTTCACCATGGTTTACTTTGGTATGCTGAAAAGGAAAGGGAATGGCTTTGTTTCAACTTGTACCTAACAATGATGGGGTACAGTGGTGGTTCGAACGCCTTCGATGACGCCCATGAAGTCGATCTTTTACAACGTGTATTCTGACCCCAGAGGCAATCATCCAACCAAGTTCAATTTCAAAGCAGCATCAGGATGTGGATGGTGAAAGGTACAAAGAAAAAAATAGGCATTGATGCAGTGTATTCATCATGTGTTATTGTTTATGGGCAAGGCATGGTTGTGGTGGATCACGTTTTTGCGATGGTTGGTACCAGCGGCGGCAGCACAACATGGCACGTGAAATATAGCTCTTCGTGGATATAGCGGTGGATTGGATCAATGAACAAGAGGACCAAGCAAAGCTGGAGACAATCACCGCAGGAATACGCAAGCACAATGAACATCGCCGCAGACCATTGTAAAGAAAGGATCATCAACTGGGAAGGAACATGTATGCAAGGCTGGATCAAGGGATGGGCCATTCATCATTCGGCGGTCTTCACGGCGGGCACAAGTGGTGTCGACAAAAAGGCCTGATCTACTATCAAGATGTTGGTTTATTCCAAGAGGTACCCAGCAGGTACAGTATTCCTTTTGGAAAATGGACCTTCCAGGAGCATTGATGGGAAAGATACAGTGATAGCTCTTTGTCTTTGTAGTTTTTGCTCAAGGATCGTTTCAAGAACAAAGGTATTGGCTCAAAAGGTACAGTGTTCACGTTGTAAACTTACTCCAAAGTCATTCATGCGAGCGCATTCAGGAATACAAGGAGACCATCAGAGTGGATTTGGAATGGGACGTTGGATATTACCAATACGCATGTACAAGAGGGCCATGAGGTTGCATTACGAGGGCTAAGTATCCATGAACATGCTAGTACCACGCCCACCAATAACTAAAGAGATATTGCCATTGCTCAATAAACGTGGATGACCCCAATCCATTGACTCATGCTTCCATTATTGCCTACTCTGGATGTTGTTACACTATGCTCTCACGCATCAATTACCAAAGCAATCCCGTGTTTACCATAAAGAAAACGTGGACCTGGAACTATAAACTACTTGATGACAACCTATTTGTACAGGCACAAGATGTCGATGTTGCACATTGAAGGATTGAGGGAAAACCCAAGCTTCCAAGCATGTAGGCTATGTATGTATCCATGGATTTGATCTTTCATCGTGCCAGAGATCTATACATTTGTTGAGTGAGGCGTTGACATATGAATGTTCAGCGTGCATTGTGGCGCTGACCCTATTGCCATGATGGCTTGCCCTCAAATAGCGTGCTCGTTTAGGAAGCAGTATCCTCGGTGAATTGCCATATTGGATCGCTTCACCTATTATCCGCTGTTTTGTGTATGTGAAAAATAAAAGCCCAAGCCAACGACCATCATGTTGTGTGGATTGAGACGGGAGAGCAAATTCCCCGCATCCCATGTCTCATAATGGTGGTACGAGTATATCGATGAGCGCTCTTTTTTCTTTTGGGGGAGGGGAAACTGTTTGTTTTTACATTACACGAGAGCTTTAACATTCACCCATCATCATCATTATGCTTATTTCCTTCCCCCATCAAATAATACTATGTACACACGTGGATGGCCTGTCACGATGTATATTTCATCCCATTACCGGTAGTAGAATCTACCATGTTTACGAAGACATTGCAAGCCCCCTTACTATTATTGCAGCATTTAAAAGTTCATCCTGAGAAGAATGATGGGAAGCGGGTAGTACTTGTCGTAATGGGATGATTGCATTTTAGATCCGATCCATATCTTGCATGTCGAAGCTCATTAATAGACCGCACATGATGTGTGTATTTTTGTCAGCAAAGCATCATTGATGAAGGATGGTGGTGCTGATCCATTGCTGACATCATTTGTAATGAGGCATCTCGTGTCATACGTCTACTAGTGGTAAGTCAAGCCGTCACCAACACAACGATTGTTTGAGATACGTTGTATGTAATCCATGTAGCTGTTCTTATTCTTTAAAGCAAAAGGTAAGAGGATATGGATGCTTGCATATTTGGTCGATCCTTGCACTCTATTCTTATTGGACGACGTGGATATCGCATTATCTTTCAACACACCATGCACTAGGCCAATTGTGTCGTAACGATGTTACATTGGGGCTTGCCTCTCTCAGAATAGAACAAAGCTATGAAGGACATCCCCGACTTTTTTGTGTGAGGATGAATACACAAATAGGAAGACCCACGAACCGCGCTCTCGGACCTATGTACAACGGGTTAGCTAAGCGCCCTACCGCGGTACAGTATATGCACCGGAAATGTGCCCTGAACTCGTCTCGTTTGTTTCAGCAAAAATGGCTTACCACATCCATATTCGGTTGCCATGACGACGGCATCTTTTTGTTGATAATAATCCATCAACGCATGTATGTATACATATAAACATTACAAAACAAAAGACAAAGGTATAGGAAATAAAGTGTTGAATTAAGGGTCAATGGCAACCCTCGGGTTTAGTCATAATGGAAGGTAGTACAAAGGGAAATGGGGAGGTCAACATCCTCATTGGTTGCAGGTTCTCTCTCTTGTGCCTCTCTTTTTTTCCCATCTTGCTTTGTGGTTTCTATTCTTTCGCTCTTTTCACTCTTCTTTGACTTGAAAGGATTAGATTACTATGAAGAATGTTGAAGCTCTCTCAGTCACTGATTCATCTGGTCGTCAAGTCAGCCTGCTGAATAATGAAGCAACTACTACTCCTGATCACCACCACCACCACCAACAACAACACCACCTACAAAAAAGAGGAACGCCGACACCACCACACGTCGTGCAACAACACCATGTTACAGGTCCTTCACCACCCATTGCCAACACGCATCAGCCTGTAATGTACAATCAAGCTCTACCAGCAACTCCCATCCCAACCTCTTCGACTACGCAATGGACGTCGTATCGTCAACAACGATCAGCAGCAAGTGGTAGCAACGACACCACCACTACAAGTCGACGCAAGTATCACTGCACCGAGCCTGGTTGTAACAAGAGCTTTACTACAAGGTATATGGTGGATCAAGTGTATTGTTAACCATGTATGCTTATATGGTATATCTTGTTCAGTGGACATTTGGCACGGCATAATCGTATTCATACCGGGGAAAAGAACTTTCCATGCCTATTCCCAGGTTGTCAATCACGATTCTCTCGTCAAGACAACATGATGCAACATTATCGTACTCACATGTCACCCAAATCACGACGATCTCATAAACGAAGCAATGCTGGCCTTGCTACCAATGTGATGGATGAGGATGCTGCCAATCGACGTCCTAGATTACATGCACATCATCGTATCCGATCCGATCCTTTTGGTGTAGAACGACCTTTAACCATTGATCAACATCTCAACAACTATCGTCTATCACGTCGTTCATCACCACCACCGCAACCATCATTATCCACTGCTTCTCCAGATCACTCCATGGGTCGTTCACAATCACCTTCATCCCCTGCAGCAGCTGCAGGCCAGCATCAGCAGCATCAGCAGCAGCATGATTTGTCGGCATTATCAGCATCATTGCAGCAGCAATCGCTGTCAGATCATCCCCATTCACAATTACCAAATTCAAAATTACATCCGTTGTCATCGATACCATCTCCACAGCAACAGCAACAGCAACAACAACCGATAACTAAAATGAATCATCATCATCATCATCATACAACCACTGCTACGTTTTATCAACATCGTCCTTTGACATTTTCATTGGAGGAAGCAACCAATACAAATCAGGTACCTGCTCCCACTACACTCCTTGGACCATCAATTAATGAACAGCCCATGGGGATGGCTTTGCAACAACAACAAAGAGATAGTAGGACTCCTTCTCCTTCAACGCAGCAGCATCAAAACAACCAGCCTTCCACATCACCATCTTCGTCACCATCTTCTTCTTCTTCTTCGGATGGCTTATTGCAATTAGCCCATGTCGTGAGCACCTTTGGATAGAAATGTTACACATTCCCGACGCCATTCCCTTTTTTCATCATCTTGTATCTACGTATATTCCTTCTCTCTCTCTCTTTCATGGCGACAGGCCCGTACAATGAGCACCGCATACATTCATTTTTATACCCTTAGTTTATTAGCATTGTATACATTTTCAATGAACAAGCAAAGATTTACTTTCAATAGGGGTCCCGTTGTTGGATGACTCAGCCTGCGTTTCTGTTGTCATATGGCATTAACTATTTTTATCATATGCTTGCCTTTGCCTCAACCTTCATCGTTCTATTACGTTTGTTGCTGCGGAGCGTGTAACTCATTGAAACGAAAGTGTGTATCGGTTCATGCAAGCACACAAAAAGGTAATGGATCATCATCATCCATACCCAGTGTTGTGTTGTAGGACATGAGATTTCCGATCCTCGGTCAAGTACATGCCGTTTCCGAGGAACATCATATCACTTGACAGGTTGTAAATCTGTACCACACCTCACCGCCAATTCTCAAGTAGTATGCAATACGTGGATCAATTCTAGATCACACAAGGCGCTTTTAAGGCTGCCATACTTCAAAGAGCCACAGTGATGATGCTCCCATGTCTCTTCCGTCATAATAAGTTGTACACGTTTAATAATAAAATGATCCTATTTCTTCTAACAAAGGTTGACTGATTGACAGCACGTCGTAAAAAGTCTATATATGGTTACATGCATATGGATGCTTGAATTGTCGTTCTTGTCATGTGGATCAAGAAATGACCTTCTCTTGTTGTAGGCTTGCTCGTTGTTCATCAGCAACAGCACATTTCTTCACAACAGCAAACGAGACACATTCCTGCTAATCTGCATATGGAATTAGAATCTTAATGCAATCCATATGTATAATTCACTGCTTACAAGCCAATACAGCATCCTTCGGGATGATCCAAGCAGCCTGGTTGTGTTTGTTGTGGATACCCGTAGACGGTGGGTAGTGGTGCCGCCGCTGGTGGTGGCGGATAGTAAGGCGTTCCACCACCCATTGCTGGTTGTACTCCCATCATTGAAGGCACTAGTAAATGGTATCCATATTAGAAAAGGTTATCATAGATGCATCAACGCCAGACACATACTTGATGAATAAGGCATTCCTGCTCCCGGGTAATAAGGAGCCATGCCTGATGCAGGTGTGAGCATGTTGGGTGGTAAAGCGCCCATTTGTGTTGCATAAGCTGGATGGATTGGAGAGATAGTGGACATGGTCTATTTCCAACATGATGGATTATTAGTTGATGTTTATAATTCATGCACACACAAAAAGGCTTACCTACTTGGGGTGGAATGGATATTGAAAGAGGAAAAGAAAGAGACACAACAACTGTTTTTCTTTGTTGCTCTGCTTACACTCTCAAATGATGCTTTGTTTTGATTTTTGGATACCTCTATCTTCTCATTCGATGGTCTCGTGGTGGCACCAAAGTAGGCAATTCATTGTTGTGTGGTGGTCAAGTAGTCTTGTGCCGCGCTTAATCTCCAATGGGCCGACACGGGACTTGTTTACTACTGCTTTGCACTTTTACTCAGCATCATCACCATTTTCCATGAATTCTGATCCACGTGAAATCTGTTTATTTTAACAATGATTGATAACATGGGTGTATGGCATCATCACTTGAAAAGAAGAAGATGAGGATGAGGATGAGGATAAAGGGAGGGGGATGTTGGCTAATTGATGATGGCGAGTAAAAGCAAGGATCAATCACAATGACACAAAAGGCGTCGGAGTGTAATCGATCTCAGCTTGCAAGAGATTAGAACACACACCCAAGATCTACTTTTGGATTTATCTCTCTTCTTTATCATCAATCAATCAACCCATTCGACGCGATGGATACTGTTTACAACTTTGGTGCTGGTCCAGCTAAGATGTAAGTCTTTATTATGAACAAATGGGTGAGAAGATGTGTACGTTGCTTATTCTATTCGCATGGGGGTGGTAGTCCCGAGGAGGTGCTTGCAAGAGCTCAAAAGGAGCTTCTCAACTACAACAACACCGGCATGTCTGTAATGGAGTTGTCGCATCGTTCCAAGCCATTTGCCGAGATCCTTGAACGCACCAAGTCCAATTTGCGCAAGCTGATGGGTATCCCTGACAATTACGAGATTCTGTTTATGCAAGGTGGTGCCACGTCCCAGTTTTCGGCGTTGGTGTATAACCTGTTGGCTGTCAAGCAGGCAGCATTACGCGCAGAGGGCAAATCAGTTGACAATATCACAGCCGATTACTTTGTTACGGGTGCTTGGTCCAATAAGGCTGTTCAAGAAGCTGAGCGATTGGCGCCCCATGTGGGACTCAAGCACGTGAATCGCGTTGTTGATGCAAAGAAGCAAACGGGCTATTTTGGCAGCATCCCTTCCGAGCAACACTTTTCTCCAGATCCTAGCAACACTGCATACGTTTATTATTGTGACAATGAGACGATCCATGGTGTTGAGTTCCAGGAGCCACCCAAAGTACCAGAAGGTGTCCCATTGGTAGCAGACATGAGCAGCAACTTTTTGAGTCGACCCGTGGATGTGTCAAAGTATGGTGTCATTTATGGTGGTGCACAAAAGAACCTTGGTCCTGCAGGTGTTACTCTTGTCATCATTCGCAAGGATCTCATTCCAGCAAGTCTCAATGATCCTCCCGTGCGCCCTCTCATGTTGGATTATCGCACATTGGCTGATAATGACTCCCTCTACAACACACCACCCACCTTCGCTATCTACATGGTCAGCCTCACTCTCGAATGGATCCTTCAAAATGGTGGTCTAGAAGGCATGCAAAAGCGTAACAAGGCCAAAGCTGACAAGCTGTACGAAGCCATTGACTCCTTGTCCCTCTTCAAGAGCCCCGTGGATAAACAATGCCGCAGCCGCATGAATGTCGTGTTTACCATGAATACTCCAGAGCTTGAAAAGGAATTCTTAAAGGGTGCTGAAGAACGCAACATGGTTCAGCTTAAAGGTCACCGTTCTACTGGTAAGTTAATCCTGGACATGGGAAAGGATATGGATGGATATTGATTGGTGTCTTTAGGTGGTATTCGCTCGTCTATCTACAATGCTATGCCCCAAGAGCACGTTGAAAAGCTGATCGAGTACATGAAACAATTCCAACAAGAGCATTCGAATTAAAATTGCATTCCATCCATCATGTATCAATAGAATCTTGTTTTTAAAAAGTACAAGGGTCACATTCATCCATCACTGTTTGTAATAAAAAAGAATATTACGTCTTCTTTATTCATTCAATAGGTACTTTTTATTAAGCTGTTGTGGATCTTTGAGTATTTACAAGCCATACATGAACCGAGAGATGGGCCGATACACGATGAATAAGGGAAAGGGAGAGCACACACATATACATAATAGGAGTCTCAACCTTGGCATAACGTAACTTACATTATGCAGCTGCTTCACGTAACATGGGCAACATGCCATCTGGTATATGGCCATACGCATTTTCAAAGTATACTAAGGCACTGCGAGCAAGATCCACCAATTGCTGACTACGTGTTGTGGTGGCACCACCACCTGTTGTCGATGATGATGAGGAGGAGATGAGGGATGAAGGAGTAACACGAGGAGATGCGGTCATGGGTGATTTACGCCTTTGTTGATACCGTCTTTTGGAGGATTTGATGTATTTGCGACGTTGAGTTGGAGGAATGGGATATTGCTGCCGATACTGTTTCATAGCCATTTCATGCTTATGCCATGCATCAGCCAACTGTGGACTCAGCTCTTGTACGACCTGCGTAATAACCGAGCTTTGGGATTCTGGTGGCCATGACCTTGTTGGTGCGGGATCAAAATCCAATTGCTTGTCAAAATGCGTAGCAACGCCGCCCTCACCACCATATAAGCTTGAAGGCGATGTTAGCTCACAGCCACTATCATGTTCGCTAAGCTCATCTTCAACAGTGCTAATGCTTGAATGGGTTGATATTGTGGATGTGGAAAACGACGAATACGCAGATGATGGTGACATGACGTCATCCTCTTCCTCTGTCGTCTCTGGAAAAGGATGGCATGATGGATCTTGATATTGCCTCATCCAATTAATCGGTTGACGGATCCAGCTAAAAAGGCCCACATGTGATGATACCAAATGAACACTGCTTGCGATACGTGTGGTAGGTGGCGAGTAGATCTCCTTTTTGTCGATATTGCTCTTTTGAACAAGACCACGGCGATAGAGTGATGCCCACCAGGGACCTTGGATGAATTGCCGCGTCATGCTTGGGCATTCGTGTCGTTGTGATAATGTCTCCTTCGTCATGGTGCCGCTGTTTTGCACCGAAAAGGAAGATGGGGATAATGAGTTGTTTCCAAAAGGTATAATCATTGAAATAACATCGAGGATTTGTAAAGAGAGAGGGAACATAAAAAACGTGCACAATGAGTTTTTATGTAAACAGATTATTGGATAAGGTCATGATCATGGTCCATTGTTGAGGTGGCTACCCTTACAAAAGGAAAGGAGATTCTTCATGGGGTGCCTGCTGTGGCCATCTACTCTATCGAATACACTTTCTCCTCATTTTTTTTAAACATTCCCCTATCATTGGTTGGATACCCTCCCTCTTCCTCTCTATCATGTCAGACTCCCTTTGAGTCAGTGTTGTCGCCCGTATGTGTGTAGGGTGTTGTTTGCTATTGCCCAATGCGGCCACAACGCTGGTCTTGGCCGATACCTTGAGGAGAAAAGAAAAAGCCAAGAACCAAAGAACCCAGGGAGTCAACGTGTGTGTGTGTGTGCGTGTTCCTGAGATCAAGGGACTCGACATAGGCGATACCTAATCTCGCATACACACGCTCACATGCATAGAGATAGAGTGTGCGCATGAGCTTTTTTGAGAACAATGGTGATAATCCTGCAGCTAGCAAAAGCATAAACGATCAGCAATGTATGATAGACTTTGAGTTTTTTCTTAAATGACAGCATTAATATTGGAGCATAACATCACGAACGTCAATCCACCCGTCAAAAATGAGTCATATGGGGATCATGATTGGAATGGAATAGAAGAGTGTTGATCATCATCATCAACATCATCATCATCCCTAAATCCATCTCCTTTCTTTCCCTGTTGCTGATAATGACCAAGCAATGATACAAAAAAGAGGATTGGTGCCGTTGACACATACGTAAGGAAAGGAGAAAAAAGCGTGCGTAAGTGTATGTTGTGTTGTGTTTCCATGGCTTTAAGGAGCATAATGGAGCTGATGACAGTATATCGACAAAGCCAAATTTCGGCAGGCAGCCAAATGAAGAAAGTTGGGCCGTACTTTTGATGATACGAGAGAAGGAGATGATGGATCAAAGAGGGAAAAAACAATGAACCAGGAAAGAAAGGCATTTACCGAAAAGAGATCCACCATCAAGCTGCAGAAGAAACAAAGAGACATGTTGATTGCTGTTGTGCAACGCATACGTGCAGTCTCGGCTTCGCTATCTCTATGGATTTAGTATAATGTGGAAATACATGATTCACAAAGTCCCTTTTCCTAATTTAGGTGATTACCTGCATCTCTTTGCTTTCCTCACCACTACAAACCCTCTCCCCCCTTAACCGATTCCTAGGATTTGTTTTCGGTGATGATCTCGTTATTACATCAAAGTAGATTAATGAGCATCGGCAATCGAGATATAATCGTCAATGATGATGTGTGTGGTAAAGAAGCTTTGTCATTGGTCTTTTACAAATTAACAGGGAGGCTAAAGGGTAGTACAGAAAGCATTATGGGTGGATGATGAATTGTTGCTTGCTGGGCACAGGCCAATCGATAAGTAATCAACAACATTGACAGCATCACAAGCTGTATTGAGCCTTTATTTCGCTCTTGTCCGTGCTCGTTCCCATACTCGTAAGGTTGTGAAACTAGCCATGCTCATCATGTTCTCCTCGAGGCTGAGTCTCGATCATCATGTCCATTGACTGACACGCGGTTGCCATACACACACACACGACATCGGCAATCATCCGTCGATGATCAAGTTAATCACGATCATGGTTCTAAAAGAATTAAAGTTCAAGGTTATGGATACACATGGTGCTACTACCATCCTCAGCTTAGGGATAAGCAAGGAGGATGAGGAAGGAGAGTACAGCATGATATGATACACATACACAGCACACACATACACACATACCAATAATTCAGGCTCCCCTCATTTTTTTTGCCTTTATATTTGAATCCCCAGGTTCAACAATCGGAAGAGAAATTGGAAACCGGTTTCTTTTTCTTTTGCACTACTACCACCCACAATCTCTTTTTTTCCTCCTCCTTGCCTATCATCGCATTTTACAACCATCATCTATCCCCTTTTTGCTCGAAAATGAAAACTGTTATTATTAAACTTGGAGGTGCAGCTATCACTAACAAGAAGGGTTCTTGCCAACTTGCGGAAGAATCGGCATTGGATGCGTTGATGCTTCAAATCCAACATGCGTATGAGAGCCTTACAGCTTCCGGATACCAAGTGATTCTCATTCATGGCGCTGGCAGTTTTGGTCATCCACAAGCACGTCAATACAATCTCAAGGAAGGATGGAATTCAGGATTGTCGACCCCACCCTTGACAGCAGCCGATGCTCAAGTAGCAGCCGTTGATGGTGGTGATGATGATGAAAAGGTGCCTACATCTACAAGGAAGCATCAAAAAGCTGGGTTTGCCCATACACGCAAGTGCCTGCTGCAGTTGCATCTTCAACTTCTTGGCCGATTGCAGCAACGAGGATTACCCGTATTAAGCCTTTCACCCTTCGATCATGTGGAAACCGATAATGGTGACCGTAGCTCGACAATGTGTTTTGAATCATTAGCGCAACGTGCTGATCAACTCCTGAAACTCGGCTTTATTCCATTGTTACACGGTGATGCTGTGCTCGACCGCACTCTTGGTTGCACGATTCTCTCTGGTGATGTTGTCATGCATAAGCTCGTCATGTTGCTACCCAACGTCACTCGTTGTGTCTTTGTTACCGATGTCGAAGGTATCTTTGACATGGATCCTAAAGCCGCTCTTAATCAACGTGATCATCGTCGACCCAAGTTATTCAAACACATGCTTATTGATCCCATCGCTATGAACAATGTGACAAGTGGTGGTGGTGGCGAACCTTTGCATAAACATGGCAGTACGGCAAAGACATTGGCTGCACGTAAACAACGCCGTCGACAAGCTCATCCAACCATGGTTGAGGCTGGCAATGGTGTGGTTGATGTCACTGGTGGCATGGGCGGCAAGAACAAGTGGGCTCGTCAAATCATCTTGGATGCTGCTACGCAACTTGATCGCAAGGATGTTGAGATTGTTATTTGCAAATCGGGATCACCCGAAGCTACACGAGCCATGGCGCTTGATCCAGTGTTGAAAGATGGTGCACCTCTTCCGGAACAGCGGATGACCGTGTTTTCCTTGGCCAATGCATAAACACAACATACATGCACCCAAACCTTGTTTTTTCGCCGCGAAAAAGACGTAACATTATACAACAAGATATCCCTTGATCCCCCTTGCATCACCTTCTAGTTATACCCAGAATGTTCTCTTTTTCTGTACACTATACTACTTTTCATTGAATATAAAGGAATTGCTTTTCACATCATTTACATGCTGAGATAATCCTGTACTAGTTTACGGGTAGATTCGGATCCATTCTTGTAGACGGCAAGTAGGCGTTCAGTGGCCAAAGCATGAAGATCAGTAGCATGGTCGACATTGGATAGCTTTGTTGCACACTACGTATAAAAGAAAATGCGTGTTTTAGAGTGGCAAAAACAAGATTTGGCCAACTTTCCAGGTCACAACCGCCAACTTACCAGATGAAGTCCATACAAGGCACGCACATGATCGGTGCATAATTCAAGTACTTTGCAATAATGCTTGAGCGCCAATGCCAATTGACCCATGGTGTAAAGAATCTCGGCGTATTTCAAGTACCAAATGTGGTTGGCAGGTTGCTGCACGATCAATTCCTCACAACAGAATGCAGCTTGCTCGTAAAGATGCTGATCCAGGTACATGTTGCACAATTCACTCCATGCTTCTTGGTCATCATAATAGGTATCCAAATATTTGACAAGGGCTTCAATCGCTTCCTCGTTCAGGTTCCTTTCTTTCAAAAGTACGATTTGTCGCTTCGATGTAAGCTATGCATATACACGTACCATGATGGATCAATACATTGATGATTTGGTAACCCTTTGAAAGAACAACTTACCATATGGGTTGGATCCCTTTCTAAGATCTTGTCGTATACTGCTTGGGCTTCACTCAATTTGCCTTGTGCTTCCAATCGCATCCCCTTTAACCGTTGAAGTCGCATGGAGTTATCACCAAATCGTGCTTCAAGTTGGCCAAGACAATGCTATCAAGAAGTATACCAGTTTCGTTGAATACATACGTACACGCATAGCTTTCCCCCCTTCCTTTTGATACATACATCGGCTAGTTCGAAATCGTTGACATCGAGTGCTGCGATAGTGATTTGCTCATACAAAGGCCATACTAAAACACAAGCGTCAGATTGGGCAACGTCGCGTTTATAGGAAATGGGGTTGTACCTTGATCGTTGAGTTTGGCCATGTGTTTTTCGCGAATGAGCCTTGCTCCCAAAGCAGCGACATGTTCTGAACGACGTTCGTTGGTGGTGCGTAATGTCTGCAATTCCTCAATGGCGGCGGTGTAGTCGAAGCGGGGCATGGTTGAAGAGGTGAAAGAGCAGAGCTCCACTTTTGGTAACCCAGCTTTAAATTGCTCCACACATGCCATTCAATAAAGCCCAATGTCTTTATCGATTACTATCATGGACCATATCTTTCCATTGACTACATGCCATAGTCAACCGCTATGATGATCACTACCACTTGTCTCCCAGCACATGGGTATGGGTATGTGAAGAACCAGTGCAATGTTTTAAGGGGATGGTCTTTTTACGACATACCAACGTTGACAGAATGCTAGAGGAAATAATAATGTTATCGAGACAACTTCTTGTTCGATAGAGTAGGGGATTGGCAATCATAGAGCATTGTAGAATAGATATTTATTGGGGATACATACAATAAATGCCAATTCAATGCTTAACCACCAGCACCAAACATGCATGTATGTATTACTTGCATCATTGGTTTCTGCTCTCTTGAATTGTGTATGCATCCACAATTGGCAAAGATGATCAACATGTATATGGCGATGGCTAGCTCCACACACACACACACGCACACACTCTTATTCCTTTACTACACCGCTTCATCAAATGCCAATGATGCATCGTTCAATAGAATCTGAAGCAACATCATGTCACCATCCCCACCAGCGGTACACCCATATTCCTCATACAAGTATTCCCAATCCACCCTTGGTTGCCATACAACATGATCATTCATGGGTCATATAAAGACAAAAAGAGCAAATGTATGCATAGGTATATGTGAAAATGGCTACTACATGATTGATTGTGTACATAAATGTGTCGAAGCCTCGCGTTTATCCACAGCCTTCATAATGCTCCAGCGGTAATCCTTCCTTTCTCCTTTGTCGTGCGATGTTCCTTGCCTTGTCCTTTAATTGAACATTCGTTCTGTTGCGAAGGGTATCGGGAAACCTTGCTTTGATTGCAACCCATCGTCTGCTGTACGTTCTGAGACCTTCATCGAGCGCTGCAACCTCCTCATCCGTCCAATATTCATTCAATTTTCGTAGTCGATCACCATTTTGCTGTTGTGGAACAGGAGCAGTGGCGTTATCTATCTCAATATCAGGCAATTCACGACGATGGTGACGACGACGGGGTTGAATTGGAAGAGTTGCAGTAACACTGGCGCTTGGTTGGTTGTTGATTTGATCATCCTGCTGTTGAGCATTGCTGGTATGCGATATCAGTAGAGGATTGTGAGCTCGCGTAGTTCCACTTCTAGCGATATCACCTCGTTCTTCAATTCGACTTCTATAAGAGGCAAGATTGCTTGTCGTGGGATGATCATCAGATGATTGAATAGCTGATTGAGTAGTTGATTGGATAGGTGGTCGAGTAGTTGATTGAATAGCTGATTGAGTAGATGATTGATTAGGTGGTCGAGTAGGTGATTGGATAGCTGATTGAGTAGGTGATGGAGTAGATGACCGATTAGGTGATGGAGTAGACGGTGGAATAGGCGACACAGCTCCAAGATTGATTGTACTAAGATAATTACGTTAACGATGAGTAGATAGCCAACATGAGAAAGCTCTTACTTTGCTAGACCATGGGGTAATCTTTCTGCTTGACTAAGCATTCCAAGGTAAGATTCCTCAAAGACACGCAAAGATAGTAAACCAAAACCTTACCTTGATCCATTTTCATTCTCCATCCTATTGTCGCTATGGTTACTGGTTTCTTCTCCATTGAAGTGTGGGTCGGGATCAACAAGGGAAGAGGATGCATTCTCATGAAAGCGAGGCACGCTGCTAATCGAGCTGTGACTAGTGCTGCGTCGTGCATAACCTGGTGCTCGTACGGAATAACCTCCGGATAGTGGTGCTCCATCCCTGTAATCATCCTCAATATTGGATCCACTGTCCTCGCCCCATGCACCAGAAATGTCATCGTTCTCGCCTTCACGATTGCTATAAGATTCTTGACTTGGTTCAACCGCCGACCATTCTGATATGACAACGGGCTCACGTCGTTTACGTTTGTCAACAGGGCCAACATCATCTTCCTCTTGATTGTGTGAACGCTTCATTCCAGTATGTGATTCATCTGGTGTCTCGTGCTCGTCTTCCAACTCATCAAATTCATCATCTATCGATTCAAACTTGTAGTCTTCTCGGTCGCCATCGTTGCCAAAATAAGTTGGTGCATCATAAAAGTCATCCTCCTGGCCATCTTCTTTTTCTGCGTTGGAATCGTTATCATCGTCGCTAATCTCAATAGCATTGCCGCTTCCATTTCCCTTGGCTTGCTGAAGATCAACCTGATAAAGAGGGACATGAATATCACTTGTCACATGATACCACCTCTCATCCCATATACATACCTTGTTCTCAATGGCACCCAATACGATTGGTAATAGTTTGAACCATGTCTCTTTCATGCGTTGGGGATGGGTCATATGCTCCAGATCATCCCATGGCATCGTATCCACCTAACAAGCAGTATTATGAAAAACACTCCATTTGGATCCCTGTCATAGCAACATACATGTCCATATCTTTTGTTGAAGGCATTCAATACCCTTTCACGCAACGACTGGTCTTCATCTTCCATATCATTCTCGATGTCCTCCTTCATCTTGTTGACAACTTCTTGCATTGTATACTCATCAGTCGGCCAACCTTTCTCGCCAAGTTTCCGCCTCGTCACCAGATCCAAGAACATATCAATAACCTCGTCTCGATCATGAAGGTGTTCAGGGACAAGCAGCTGGAAAAAAACGGATATTGCTTCATCGTATGACCCGCTGTTAGACCACACGACAGAGGTAAAGAAGGATAGATTCAAACGATCAACAACTGGCCAAACCCAATCGATGTCCCTGCTGCCCTCGCGAAGAATGAAGCCACCAACGGCAATGGGATCGAGATAGCTACTGGTTCCTCTATTCAACTTGTTGCAAGAATCTTGGAAGAAAAGAGGGCATGTCAAAAAGGACAAAGTCAAGAAAAGCACATTGCACCCCTCATTTACCTTCAACGGCGTCGAAATTCTCCCACAAAACATCGCCATCAATGTCTTCAATAGCATTCACGTTGAATAAAGAAAGGGTAGAATGTGAAGTTTTGTCTGCCTCTTGGAGAGCTGCAGTGTAGGACATGGGTTGAAAGAATGAAAGAGAGACAATACCGAAATTTGGGGGCGCGCATAATTTGCGTCAATGCTGGTGCTTTTTGTTGCTTGTGCATTGTCCTCCTCTATCACGTTGCCAAGTGCCCATCATCTATAAATGATTCAGTGCGGTTTAGCAACCTGGTCTTGTAACATTCCAATGGCTTCAATGCTAGTTCTTTCATAAGCTTTATTATCACAAAGATCATACAATGATTGTTATTCTTCGCAGATCTCTTTCACCCAAAACATTATCTTCAAAGACAAAAACGGATACATAAGCAATCAACAAGCTATTCTTTTGTTGAGTTCTATATCCAAGTTGGATATCACATTATATCAAAATTAACACTTGCAGCTCCATTCAGCTGCATAGTGTCTGCTGGATGAGAACAAATATTATGCTTTAAACCTGCTACCAAGTATTGTTGATACGTAGTACAGTAGCAAGATCACTTGTATTAGCCATCACGATGTTCGTGTTATTACCGCCGTATATTATTGACAAGATCAAATCACAAAACAAAGGGAGGTGTGTTATACTATCGAATACAATCTTTGTTCAAGACGCATGAATCAGTCAGGTGCTTGCTCTTTTTCCTTCATCACTGCATTTACCATATATACCCATCCATCATCCTATGATACAATGCACCATACGCCCACACACGAAGAGGCCCTACATTGTAGACACTTCGAAATGGTTGGACAATGCAATCTCGTATCCGCTACAGGAAAGCAGCTCTTTAATAATCCAACATCATTCACAAGAGATAAATTGAGAGGTACAATGCATTGCTCTAATAGAAGATAGATGCATAGATACGAGAGGTTTCTATCCTTTTGGAGGTGCAGCCTTGCAAAGGTGAATGGATGGATGTGAGGTGGTTCTTGATGCGTGGTGACCAATTATGCACAAAACATGGAGTTGGATGATGGTGGTTGACACGTTTCACAAAGGATGATGATTGTAACTGCCATGGATACCCCCAATCGTTCAGGACGATAGCATCAAGACCAAGTTGACAATGGGTACCCTCTTTTCCCACGCGTTGTATATATGCAATTCCTTTCATCCCATGTATCAAACCAATTCCTTATCCATATCCATATCCATAAGAAGATGTATGTATTGAAGCAAGTCGCTATGTGTAAATAAAGCTGCTTCTATATGACGACTATCTGCTGCTCATGTAGCAAAGGCTGTAGGCAACTTGCTGAAAGTAAATCGAGACAACGAAGTGAAGACCTTGCTGATATCAGCTGCTGGAAGGAATGCCAAGTCGTGGTAGAGAAGCGTACGAGAGTGTGTGTAGTATCAAGGAAGGCACGTGCTGTAGTGCGGTGTACATGCGATGGACTTGTCATTCAGTCATAGGGAATCGGATCAAGGCCATTGCAGGATTGACATGATGGGTTGAACAGGACAATCGTTTGCAGGTAGTAGTTGTATACTTGAATGGGGCAAGAGTTGAGAATGGGGAGTGGAAGAAGTGGAAGAAGTGGAAATCAAAAATGGTTGAGCTGATGTTGAATGATACTTCTTTGTTTGAGCGTTGTTCGATCACATCCTATTGGATCAAGAAAGTTAAATGATGGAGATGATGGGCTGGAGCAGGACAATCGTTCACATGCATCGGTTTGGGCAACAAAGGTGAATGGGAAGACTGGGTATTTTAGGAGCTATTCCGTAGATAATCCATAAATAAATTATACATTGACCCTTCCATTCATGCAAACGTAGCTGTGTTAAACAACACGACCTTCTGCATCTTTTGCTCTGCCAGGGTCCAGCGACTTGACATTGAACGATGACCACTCTACATATCGCATCACGCTTACAAACATAAAGACGCCTGTATCTCCAAACTTTACAATCAAACGTGGGGTTTTTATTAGAGCAACCTGTTCGTCGGGGTCAAAGGAATTCTTGTGTGCCAGTTTCACCTTCATCGTGGCCAATCCCAGATTTCGCAATGCCGCCACCAGCCAAAGTGGATCTGGGGGTCGACCTCTTCGACGACGACGACCAAAAAATATTTTTTGGGCTGTTTGCGACATTGAACGCGAAACTTTCACACAAGGTGCTGTTGGCCAAGCCGAGCACATTGCTCTAATAAAAACCACACGTTTCATTGTAAAGTTTGGAGATACAGGCGTCTTTATGTTTTACCTATGCTGTAAGCGTGATGGAGTTGCTTTCTCCTAGTGGATGGTGTCGGCTGCATTAACGGAAAGATGAAGAGCTGAGTGAAACCGCACGTGGTGGTTACACAAACGCGTCCTTGACAGGTTGCTACACAAATGGATGATGACGATGATTGCCTTTTGTGAAGGTACGTAAGTAAAACAGCATCCAACCATGAAGGTGTGTCAAGGTATGTATCACATTTGCATGTAGGAGAAGGTCGAGCTGCATAAACCAATTTGTATATGTAAAAAGATACGTATACATATTGAATGGGTCACTCATCCTGAAACTCAATGGAGGGATCTCTTCACTTTTTCTCTTCTCAAGCTCATCCCACTTCCCACTCCTCCTTATTGTGTCACAAAAGCCATGTACTTCTTAACCGGACCACCTTTATTATTCCATCTTGGAAGCAATAGTATGTAATCCACAAGCTAGTAACCCTCCAACAAGCGTGTAATAAATAAACAATGCTTTATTTCATCTAGCTATCTTGCTATGTACTGTACATTGCCACCACCATCCTCGTAGTCGTCCTCCGTCATCATTCCTACTCGTACTCGTCACCAGTCGTCAATCTCATCCGTCACACCAAACATCCAAAAATGCACAAGTTGAAAAGAATGGGATCTTGCAGGCTTCCTTTTGAATCTCGTTGTCGTCAACATTGTCATTGTTGTAGATGGGGTGATCATCGTAATCGTCATTGTTGTGAATTTGGTAATCATCGTAATCGTCGTCTCTATAAATAAGAAAGCAAGCAAGTTAGACCATATGATGCCGGGAATGATAACGATTTGGTATACCGTTAGGCGATCCTCTCCAAGGAAGAAAGCAAATCAGAAGGAATTCACAAACCAAATCACCACCATACAAGCAACGTCGGGCGCTCCCTTGTTCTTGAGAAGGCACTGCACGAACCACGCAAGGCCAGTTCGATCCATGGCAAGGAAGGACATCACTTACGTAGAGTCCAGGCTCATAGTTGTTCTCATTCATCCTCTCCAAAGAAAGAATGATCCCCAATCCTTCCAATCATTTCCCACCTCATGAAAAGGATCCTCAAGGGAAAGAACGAGCCTATCACCAGAAGAGCGTGTTGGATAAACACATTCACAAGCTGTTGCAAATCCCGTTTTACCTCAACACGGTGACCATGCTCTTCCAAAAACCCATCGTCATCGACCCATCCTCATCTCAACGCAGGCCTATAGAGCCCTGGACGCGTTCCAAGAAGCTTTTCCAGCACACTTGGCTAGTGCAGAGCGACGCAGCGACCACTTGATACAGGCTGGGACTTGAACCCAAAGCGATGATGATGATGCCCGAGTTGCATTGCCTGACCAAAGAAACCTATTCAATTCATTATTAGTACACACATACAATAATAAACGCCCTTTTCATTGTTGTTTCATTCCACTTGCCTTCTCCATATTCATAAAGACGCGTTGTTGGTGGTTACTGGAAACCGAAAGCCATGGTGTAGTATAGTTGAGCCGCAACAAAACGCCAAACCAGCCAACGGCTTGAAGCCAAGCTTGCCCTCTATACAAACTAACACGTCAATGGAACTAGTTCGACTGCAACATCGGACTCTGAATGTACCTGTTGACACCAAGCGTAGAGCGGGAATAGCAACGAGCAAAAGGAAGCAACAATATCGCCATGGCAACCACCAACCACCAACCACGCTCATTCCTCGGCACTTTGGACACACTCACTCCCTGACAATGCATGTTCAGAACTATGTTAATGCCTCACAAACAACAAGAGCACTCTTTTATAATACATTACCTTGATCGAGATGTCGTGAATGGAATAAGGAAAGGTGGGAGAAAAACAAGAGAAGCGTTGTCTCAAGTCGTGGAGCTGCTGTCCCCCAAGTTTAAATCCCCCTACTGCTATTACACTGAGGCCACTCAATTACCCCACACACACACCCATCCACCCATCGTCATCATCACCCTCACGATAGACAGTAGGTACACGTAAATAAAAGCTATGATCCTCACGAAGGGTGTGTGCCATTTTACACTTTATATGATAATGATGATCCAACAACAGCCATTGCCTTTACTACCAGGTTACCTCGAATCAAGAAAGTTAAATGATGGGAATGATGGGCTGGAGCAGGGCAATCGATCGTATGTATTGGTTTGGGCAACAAAGGTGAATGGGAGGAATGGGCTATTAGCCGGCAGGTTTACAAATAACTTACCAATTTGATTCTTCTCATATTGGATGATGTTTCTGTGTTTGAGCGTTTTTCAGTCAAATCTCATCGGATCAAGAATGGTGGATGATGGGGATGATGGGCTGAAGCAGGACAATCGTTCGTATGCATTGGGTTGGGTAACAAGGATGAATTGGGAAAAAGACACGATAAGCTGACAGTGGAAAAACTCAAAATCAAATAGGTTGAGTTGTTCGTTAACTGATGTTTTCGCTACATACCAGCTTATTACAAAGGTAGTCTTTCTTTGTGAATATGGATGGCAAAGAGAGTTGTAGGTTCCTGTAAAGATGAATACTACGAGCTTGTAGTGTGATATCATAAATAAGGTGTGAGCTTATTTTAAGATCATCACTCCAAAGGTACATAGTGTTAAGCCATTAAACCTTGCCCACCCTATCATCATTCGACAGAGCTTACATCGTTGAAAAGGTCTTTTTTCCAGCACACGTTGCCTAATGGCGTATAAAAAAGGTATCCATCCCATCACAATTTCATCATGTACTTTATTACCAGTGATCATACACCACTATTGAAAGGATGTTGTGTTATTGACCATGCCATTAGGATTGATCTATGTGTGATTTGGGTAGGTGGTATGTGGTACACGGCGGACTGTCCAATGACAGAGCCTGTCATGCAAAAAACAAAGATTTCCTTCTTTCTCTTCCACGTGCAGTATGAGCCGACCTCAACAAAGAAAGCTTCCCAAAACAAAGACACCAAAGAAGAAACAAAAAGACCCCGAGACATTCGACGAATTCCTGTCAGGTAGAGCATCGATCACAGCCGTGACCTTGACCTTGCCTTGATTGACCAATCTACTTTCATTAGAGGGAATCACATGTGAAGAGCAAGGTGAACGTTACGCCACTGGAGAACGTGCTCAACGCAACTACGAAAAGGCAGCTACAATGTACAGCAAAGCTTCTGCATTGAATGATAAGGATGCTGATTGTGTTTATAACTGGTAAGTGAAGGAGTGGTGGTGACATCAAAGTGTGTAAGAAGCTCATTGTGTATGGGTTTGTTAGGGGACGTGTCTTGTATATCTTGGTTGGCTTTTATCCAGCACATGCGACACCAGAGGAGAAGCTCAAGACCTTGGATCAATCGATTGAAAAGTTTCGACGTGCACTTTCACTTGATCCTACAAAGACGGATGCCCACTTCAACCTTGGTCAAGCCTTGCATATGAGATCAGAGCTTCTTCAAGATACAACGGAGATTGCAAATTCTTATACACAATCTGCTACAGGTAAAGTGATCATTTTATGCAATGCATATTGAAAGTAAGGGTGCTCATTCAATCAAATAGCATTACAGGAAGCTATTTCTATTTTCGAATCAGTCTATGCAGTGCAAGAAAAGGAATACAATGATCAACATGCAGCTCCTCCCAAGGACAACGACGACAATGTACAATCGACATCTTCCTCCGACAATGAGCCGAACAACAAGGATGACAACAAGGATGAATATACCACTGTGACCGAAGTAGAACCGACAACCGCCTATTCATTGATCGATACGCTTGTATCATTGGCAGACGCTATGACGACAATGGCATCTATGCTTGCATCTTATCAATCGGCTGTGGATCTCTATAGTCGGGCACGCAAGAACCTTAGTCAAGCTGAGAAGTGGCTCATGGTGGGAACGTCTACTGAGGATAAGGAGCATAAGCAAGCGAGGATACAAATCAGCCTGAAGGAAGCACAAAACCTTTCATCACAAGCTGAGAGATCATTCTTGGCGACCAACAAGGTGGATCATCGTCTTTTCAATCAAGCTGTGGATCAATTGGATATGGTGCTTGAGCATGTGGATTCTCAACATGTGGAGACGCACTGTGATCGTGGCGATATCTTGAGCACGTTTGGTGATCATCTATGCAAGGAAGCCAAGGCCCATCATCAATCATTGGATCCTGAAACCACTGGGAAGAGTGTATGGCACATTTATTCACAAGCAGACAAGTCATTCAAGGCCGCATTGGAGAAGGAGCCCAAGAACATGAGCATCCTCAACAAATTGGGTGATCTTAGCATGTCACGTGCACGACTCGATATCCCTGTCGCTGAACGCAATCGATCCCAATTGATCAAAAACGCCGAGTTCTATTTCAAGCGTGCGGTCGAGACCGATCGTCAGGTGTTGACTACTGGATGGATTGGTTGGGCTTATAGCACTTGGGCTTTGGAACAATGGACGAAGGCACAAGGTCAAAAGAATGAAGCGAGTCGCATTATGAAAACATGGATCAAGCGTGGTGGTTGCAGTGATCTCTTTGCTGAATTGACCGAGGATACCGATGCTATCGATCAAGATTTCCTAGAATGGGTCAACGAGTCCTTTTTCGATGATGAAGAAGAGGAAGAGACTAGCGATGAAGAATAAAAACAATGTTCCCTTGTAAATATTATCCAATGCTATTGCGTACAGAGTAGAAAGTATATTTTGGATGCAAAAATATATATAAAAAAGACATGCAAGAAGGATGATATGAATACAACAAATGAATGGGAATATGAGTGGATTGGGGGTACTAATGCAACTAAGGACTATTTACTCAATCTTTTCGGTTAAGATAGACTGCCAATAGGGAGTTGGAAGAAGGAGGATTGCTTGGTTAATAAACCTGAAAAGGCGTTGTACCATGCAACAAAGGAGGTGACAACACCAACGCAACCAGATGCCGTGCGAATGCTGACACTGGAATTGTATTCGGCAGCGGCTGTAAGGACATACAACAGGAACAGGCAAAAGAACAATAAGACCATGCCGATCGATGAGCGATGAGAAGCGATCAACATGAAACCAGAAAAGATAGCCCAAGCAATCATGTAAATAGTCAAAGAGCCTGCTAATTGAGAAGGATCGGCAGCTGAATAGGCTCCAGGGATGCCTGACCATGGCATGGAAATAACAGAATAAGAGAGCCAATAGGCCCCATAGCTAGCGAATGCCGTAGCACCAAAAGTATTGCCAGTCTTGAACTCCCACATGCCACAAAGAACCTGGTGGTCGCGATGATGATGATTATTATTAGGTGGATATTCAAGTATGCGTAATGTATATCTATGCATGATCATCATACCTGAATCATTCCACCATAGAATAGTGCAAGGCCAGTGACAACATTATTAGGTCCTGTGGAGGAAACACCAGCACCAGCATTGTGGAGCGATAATACAAAGCACGTCAAAGCGAGACCACAAAGACCAAGAGGACCAGGGTTAGCAATCACATCGCTAGTGGCAATGATAGGTGGAGGAGGTGGGGGATGATGAAAATTCATGGGTGGATCATGACACGTTTTATGATAGGTGATAGGTTGCTCATGACAGGTTTTGGCTTCAATGTCATCGGGCGACATGTATTGAATTTCGTGCGACATCTGCGACTGTTGGTCGTGGCAGGTCTTAGTCTCAATGTCATCGGGCGACATGTAGGCACGTATTAATGTAGATAGTGGTAATGATGATGGGTAACAAAGGGGTAAAAAAACTCAACGATTTTTTTTGGTGGGGGAGCACGGCCTTTTATAAACGTTTTGATCTGGTTTACCACCCACCGTTACGCTTATAGTCTCAAACACCGCAGGGTGGAAAAAAAACGAGTCGGCTGTATACGTGGTCCAACCGACAATATTAATCCCAATGTAAAAGTGGATAACATCATATGCTCAAAGATGAACCTTGTTCTTAGGTACTTGCTTTTGCATGAAATCAACGACGCATGATCATTGCTCGTTTCGAATGCGGGGTGATTGATGTTCTCCTCCTTTGCTTCTCCACATCGGGTGTTGATTTTATCTTTTAACACACACACGCACAAGCGTTGCACAAGCCAAACTTCCCCAAGAAGTACATGGAGGAACATTATAGATGAATTGATAGGTCCCAGCTGAGAAAAAAAATAATGCAGGGCTTTTACGTTACGCACAAGCTAAACCTAGAGTTTGCTGACTGGGGATCTACAATGGTGTACTCACAACATATACACACACACACTTACACACTCACACACACCTCTTGAAAGTGCATTGACCAGGAGGTACAGAAAGAACTCATGACTTTTACACGTTGTTGCTATATCCAGGTAATTAGTTATTTAGAGCACATGTATACGTGCACTAGTACAATTAGTCTCGGAAAGAGTAGGAGGCTGGTTTGTGGTGGTGATGAATTTAACGGAAGCTGGTTCGAGCTTAATAAGCGGTAGCCCGAGGAAAGGGAGGGCTAGGCACATAACAGCCAAACACTTCTTGGAATGGAAACACTCTCCGCTGTTTCGAACAGGGAGCGGTACTTGAGCTTTGGTGTATATTTATCTTCACGTGAGGCCTATCCGCGCCACCACCATTGCCATGCACACGTTCCTTGTTATCGTGTGGGAGATCAGACATACGCACATAGGCACACACACACGCAACTCATTACATGCATTCATTGCATAAAGATAAAACATGGGAGATTGCTCTTGTAGCAGCATTGGATACACAGATGTAGGTGCTACGCATACCATGTACGAGGCAAAAATATAAAAGTACTAGTAGGATTGGTTTCATCTTTTGGTATGAATCATCCTCAGCTCACCAATGAAAAAGCAAGCTGCTGCAAGAAGTATAGGGTAAAGTACTTCTTCCACAATGGGATGTCACACAAGAAAAACGATATAATTCGTCACAACTAAGGGTATTGTTGTCAGCATCGCACTAAGAGTGTATATTTTCCAACGGGACGATCACCATGCTGGGAATGGAAACCACGAGCGAAATTTCTCTCTTTTTCCATCCGAGCAACACTTTTTTCTCTCTCCATGGAAGAAATGCCTTTTTCTTCCATCAACATCTTTGATCTCTTGTTTTGTTTATTATAGTGATACCACCTCATCTACCATCATCACGCTTCTGGTTACTCTTGGCAGCGATTTAATAATTCCTTTTTGATGAACGCACTAGTAGCTTTATAGTGATAGTACAAAGGACATGGATGACTATTCTCAGCTGCTGCTGTGCATTGTATTCCTCATATTTTGTAACGAAGATGTGGGAGAAACAAGCAATGATGATAATTTTTTATCGATAAATGAGCGATTGTGTACACAAAAACACATGCACAACCGGTTACACGGAGTCTAAAGTTACACAAATGAAAACTGACACCTGACTATTTTGGAAAGAATATCCCCACGATATGGTTACATATAGCCGGAGAGCATCCAAAGTTAAAGAAGTGTGTGGAAAGAGTGAAAATCAATCCCGACTTGCATCTCGACCACCCCCTCCATCCATGTGAAACAGATTAGATCTCGTGACCACGTACACCATCTCGCCGCTTTGATTCTTCATCTCGCATACGTAGCAACAATGCATGCATGCATGTATATTTACCAATGATTTACATAGTACAGAAATGAGAGGACTGGGGTAAAAAAAGTTGACCTTACTACCAGCAGAGGCCACCTCCGAATTCGATGCATTGAAGACCCATGTCCCAGATATCCAGATGGAGCATAGCCCATTTTCCTTCCTCATTGACGTATTGTTTTTCTTTACGCTGGATTTCAACTGCATGGATTCCTTGATTGGGTGTCATACGTTCAGGATTCTTTTCCCAGACATTGTCGTGCTCTTGATGGCATGTAAAACCTTGTTCGCTGTACACCACCGGAATATCAAACGTCCAAGCAGCCGTCTCAATGAATTCAATGTCGACCCTTGATCCATGTAAAACAACAATTCAATGACATCATTCTCAATTTCCCCCTCTTCTCCCATTTGGAACTACTACTACTTACCATGCAACGCCACCTGTTTCCCTGTAACCCCTGACCTTTTTCCAAGTATCTCGATGTGCCATGGTATAGTCACCAGCTTGATCACCATAATGCAAATAATTGTCGGGTGTAAGGTTGACTGGCTCAGGTAATTGAAAGTTGCCCCAATCTTGATCATTGAGATGACAAGCATTGTACAGGGTGTCGTCATCAGGCATAGCAGGCAAGTTGACAATGGATGGAGGAAGATTATCGTGACTATAAAAGATTTTGTTGTCAGTAACACGCTCATTGCATGTGTACTACCACTGCCATCATTACTACTTGCATATTGTGTCGATCTTGGTGCTGAAGATAAATAACGTTCTTTTGGAATGCCCGGGACTTGATTGCATTGTGGAAATTGTGGGACCAAATGTCATCTAGATATCATTGTTGTTAGCCCTCCTGTCAAAAGATGCATTTGTGGCATTGCTCTTACCTTGATTGGTGCATGCTACAAACTCTCCTCGTGCAAAACGAATACCAACATTCTTTCCTTCGAATTCATGCAATGGCGCGTTGCCGATGTTGGGTAATGCTTGATGAATGTTTTCAGGCACCGTAATGATGCGATATGTCAAGTAGTCGGATCGGCGGAAGCGCTTTTGAAATCGAACCATACCACATTTTGTTAGACCAGGCACGTCCTGAGATATCACCATGTAACACATAAAATAAACTCTACCATGTACTTACAAAAGTATCAATGATACGCCGCCTATCCTTGGGTGGATTCCATTCAACCATCAGCAATTCCATCTTGGTTTGTGTATGTTCAGCAAGGATGTATGCGCTGTCAATGAAGTTTTGAAGACGATGATGTTGGTTCCTGAATACAACAACAATGCCATCATCATTAGAGTTCTTCTTGTTGTACTTTCAAGTATCCCGTTTTACCCTGCATAGTCATCTATCCTTGTAACGATCACAATTGATAAATACAAGCTGGCCTCTTGTCCTGGTTCGAGGCATTGTTCCCACTGCTCTTTGGAAAGCGTAATGTTGGATGCTGTGTTGGCCAGGCAACCATACTTTGGCTCAAAGTCCTTGGTGGTCGTTGTTTTTGTTGACAATGGAGACGATGCGCGATCGATGCCAGTGTAAGAGGAAGGAGAGAGGTGGAAACTGGAGACTGAAAATAAAAAGACAAGTGATAAGGCAACTGCCAACATGACAGCAATGACAGCCGACCGCTTTGACATGTTGCCAATCATTGCGCGCAATGCAAGGTTGTGATGCGACAATAGAGAGAGAGAGTGAGTGAGTGAGTGTGTATGAGAGGGAGGAGAGAGAAACCGGTTGGGGCAAAGAAACAACAGAGAAAGAGTTGATAATCTTGTCTCCTTGTATTCCTAATTCAGGTAGATACACGCACAAAAAAACAACGATGGATCACACAATACACACACGCACGCAAGAGCACGCACCACAATGCGCCTTGTTCTCTAGTTTCACTCGGAAAAACGGCATAATAAAAAGTTTAAAAGATGCATTTCAGTATACAAACTATATGACGGTATGGGGTCTATGTTGGATTTCGATACAAGTTATCCTCAAGAGCGGCTTGCATGACGTCTGTGTTGTAAGGCGTGGAAACATTATCATTGTACTCGGCTACTTTTAGCGGAGGTACATTACCCAACATCACCGAAGGTACACATCCCCCTTCAATATGGTCACATGTGCAACTACCACCAAGAAATCGGGGCAAGTTTTCCGGCGCAATGTACTTTAAAAGCACTTTGGGCGTCTCGGCATGATTCAGAATGAATACTTTGTCTGCAGTCTGTTGTAGTGTCAATATCATCATTCCCATTGAACATCCCCCCGCATCCTTCTTCTTTCTCTTACCCTTTGTTCAAGCCATGGTTTCACTATTCTCCAAATCGTATGTAGAATCCCTGGTGCATTCACAATAAATAGCCTATGCAATGTCTCTGGATAATAATTTTGAATGGTGTCGATCACGGACTTCAAGTAATGTAATGCTGTCATTTGGAATTCTGTGCCATCGGGTTGTTATTTTTAGTCATTGTCTATTTCAGGAGTACCATCAAAGTCGACACAATGACGGATATCACTTACGTCGTATACCCATATGGGTGCAATCAAATATCACCGTCTCCTTGAAAATGATCCTCCCTGCCTTTTGTGAGCATTCAGGCATAATGACTCGATTGAGAAACTCGTTGCTGGCAGTCTGGAAAATGGAAATCTCGTCAATGGACACCTCGTGACACAGCTTCTTGGCGTCATGATAGCCCTTATTTATGCATACGTATGAGTCATTGACATGCCTAATAATCATCATCATCATCGACTTGCAGACACTCACTGTTCGATCAATCATGATAGGATGGCCTTCTCGGTCCACCTTGTGAAAACAATCCCCACCCATACAATTGGCAATGCGAATAGCGGTTTGAGAAAGGCCCGGCTTGGATTCCACATTGCCATCATCAATGGCATCATATCCACGCACGTTGACCAGCAACGGTAATTTGTTTTGACGTGTTGCGCATGGTAGTCGATCAATGTGGTTGTCTTTACGCCAATTGTAGCTCATGACGAATTGCTTCTTGGCTGCGTCCTAGTCATCAATCATGATGATAAGTAAAACGTAAAGAGATACCTCTTCAAGAGTACTTACCACATCCCAACTACGACCTACGAGGAATTGTAATAGCAACTTGTTCAAAATGAATAACAGCGGATAATTTCATGCTAATGACGATGTTGATGATCACGTACTGTGTCTGTAAAACGATGTGAATCTGGGACATCTTCCAAGGATTGACGAAAGGTGTGTAAGAGCTCTTTCTTTTTTTCATCAGTGAGTACGGGATGTTGATCATGCATAATTGGAAAGAGAGCAAAAGTGAATGTTTTATTCCCTTGTAATTTGGACTCAATCCATAAACAACCACAACCCCCTTGCAAGGGTGTCTCTTGGGTTTCCGCGGGTGATGGATGTTGATAGCCTTCAACAAATAGCCATGTGTCATGTTACTCCGCATGTTCTGGAAAGAAACATTTACATTCAAAGCATACATCACGACAACGACCCACTGAAAGGATTCAAAAATGAATGATAGTAACATTGTTGCCATGGGAACAGAAATGGGTGGATGGGGTGGGAAACAAGGTTTATGCAGCACTCGCTCATTGTGCCTCGATGCTATGCGTCAAAGCATCCTATCATATTTGATTCTCACACAACCTGAGCTTTAATCACCTGCTCTCTTTCCATTTTCCACTCTTACTCATGTCCGAGTTTGTTGTCTATGAAGATACCCCCTTTGCAGAATACTTGTCATGTACGTCCATTCACACTGTCGACTCCATTCAACTCATTCCTCTCTCTCGCATTAGCTATCGAAAGCCAAGAATCCACCGTGAGACTCCCGACATTACAGCTTGACAGCAACCCATTAGACCTCGATGCATCGTCAACGTGGATACCACAATCACTCCAGATGCCTCGGTGGACAAACACGCTATATCATTATTGGCGTAGATCACTCTTCCATGTATGTATTTCTTCTTTTGTATTGTATACTATATAAGCGTATTGACCCGTGTGTCTATGTGTCTATGTATTTGCAGGACACCTTCTCCATTAGTCTACCGATAGCTGAGGAGAACGAGTTTGAGGAAAAGTTCAAGTATCTCATCGCTACATCACCCTTGCTCAGTGAAGTCTTATCTGTACACAATGCAAACAAGAGCAACAAGCAACGCACAACACAGCATATGACAACCACGACTGATTATTCAACAATGGCAACAAAGGCATCACGCGCAGGGGTCGTTGGCACGGTCACCACTATGACGGGTTGCATGATGGCTTTGGGCATAGAAGCATTCAAGTTACGCCATCAATTGAGACAACAATCACAACCTGCCAAACTCTTCCTCGGCACACCCGTTGTATCAATGACAATGATGTTGACAAGCAGCATGTCCGCTTTCTTTGGTTATCGACACATGGTAAGGGATATACTATATGGGAGGAATACAAGGTTGATTGATTGGCATGCTATCATGATAGCGACGCTCTGGTATTCGACACTTGTATCGTACAGCACTCAATACATTACAGACATTGATGGAACAATGCGAGATGCTCGACAACAAAGTACATCGTGCGCTCATCACTATCCAAGAAATCGAATTGGTATCACGTGGATATCGTTTATCATTACCACTATCACCCATCTCACGTATTGAACAATCGAGCCGTTCTCGCCGTTGCGTCGTTTTGAGGAATCGTTTGGGTGCCGTGCTTCGACGTGCTTTTATTATATATGAGGAAGCTATCATTGATCTGATCGACCACGTGAATAAGAGCAACTTATCGCGGCTGTATGACATGTACAATATTCGCTCGATCGCATCGTTATCGGCTCTGGATCGGATGGATGATGATAATAGTGAAGAAGGCGGCATTTGTCTTGATCGATTACGCGCCCTTGCACAGCTTATGCACGCCAAACGACGAGAATGCATGATGCAGCTATTGGCCTTGGATATTGTTACCGATGAGCATGATTCTTTGCGTTTGGATTATGAACGTGGATGGCGTGGTGTCAATGCTGTTCTGGCCAAAGTGACGGAGGATACAAAGCAATTCGTAAATGATATTACGCATGCATTGGAGAATGAATTATGTAAGTAAAGGCGTGTATGTATTAGGATGGAATGTTATTCACATTGGATATAGATAAACCAACAGCCAAGGATAATCGGCAACAGCTAGTGAATAGCAATACGGTGCAAGATGGAAGATTACGACCTTTTGTGCATCGATTGGCGTCTTTGGATCAGCAGATGCGTACCGTTGAAGCCAAGTTTTATCTCTGCAATGATGATATTCGACAACTCACACAACAAGGTAAGATACCATATGCTTTCTTTATTGAATACTAATGAATCAATAGGGGATTCGACATCTTTGGAAGAGCTACGTGAACGACTGAAGCGGGAATACCTTTCAATCGAACAAGATTTCAATCAAATGGTTGTCGAATGGGAGGCTGGAAGAGATGCTTTGGTGAATTTCCTTGATCCACCCGACCTTGATCCTTCACCGTCATCTTCTGTATCATCACCAACAACATCCCAGAAAGAAGACGACTCATTATCGGTCACCTCTCCTTCAACCAATCCACAAAAGGTGGTCGATTCTGAGGACAATGGATTACTTGAACTCCCACTTCCAGCACGAGCATCAGTATTCGAAGCCGTCGCCGAGACCATTGAACGCAATACCACTGAAAGACCCAAAAAGAGTCGCGCACAAAGAATCGCCGAGATGAAAGCCAAGCGTGAACAGGAGGTAGGAGGATCGATTATCTCAAATGAATGGATGGATGAGAACAATAAGCCTAACATGATGATCCTATCTAGGCACGTGACAAAGCTTCCAAGATGGATCCAAAGACGATGGTACATGAACTCAAAGACGTGCTTGACAGAAGAGTCAACGAGTTTGGGCTGGAACCGGAAACCAAGCCTGAACCTCCTGCCGACATGTAGAAGACATTAGCAATAATACACGATACCCCCTTCCTCTTACTTGTGTTCATTGATGGATTGATTGGATCATTAATAGTAATTTATGTTCTTGCTGGTTTGAAGGTTAACATGGATGATGTGTGATGGTTTTCTATGGGGGATGTATATGCTGTGAAAGATATAAGTTGCAAAGGTGTCAAAAACAAGGTGGGAGTTTATTTACCCATGGGAAATCATGATGTGCGGTGGTGGTATTAAAGCACACGGACAAACATTAGCGTATCCTATCTCGGGAAATTATGGTATACGTTCTACCGTTGTCAAGCAAAAGAACTAATGATATCAGTACATAACCACCGAGATTCCCACGACGCGTAATGGGCAAAGGACGTGTGACCATGGCAACCATCGCCTTATTTCAACGAGGGGTATCCATGTTTCCACGTACGTGTTTCTTTCTTTTTACCACTGTATTTTGGATACATACAAAATGGTCATTTATAAGCCCACCATCTATGACTGGATCAAGTTGCCGGATCAAGACATTTGCTCGTTTCTTTTTTCTCCAAGTGAATACAACCAGCGACTACCCCTGGATCGCACAGCGGTGATTGATGGATTGACAGGAAGAAGCCTAACGTATGCACAAGTCAAACAACGTGCCGAACACCTTGCAGCAGCTTGGCAAGATGAAGTGGGTCTGAAGCAAGGGGACATTGTTGCTGTGTTTGCTCCCAATCAGTATGACACGGTGGTCTTGTATCTTTCATTGCTCGGGGCAAAATGCACAATCACGCCTGGGTACGTGGGTGTTGCATTACAAAAAACATGCATGATAATAGCTAACAATGATGATGTGGGTGCCTCTTTTTCAGAAATCCATACTATACTGAGAACGAGTTTTTGCATCAAATCAACAACTCTGGTGCTCGAGCATTGGTCACGGTGCGTGAGTTACTCCCCACACTTTTAAAAGTGTGCGCAAAGGCAGGCACTATTCCAAAAGAACGTATCTTTGTTTTTGGTGAAACCGATGGCGAGGATGGTATACCATCACTCGATTCGCTGATAAAAAGCAGTACACGGCACGTACAGTTTCCTCTCAAGGATGCGTATCGCATTGACCCCAAAAATGATGTCGCCTTTATCAATTACTCAAGTGGTACCACAGGGCTGGCCAAAGGTGTGATGTTGACCCATCACAATATCATCTCCCAAGTGTTTGTGCAGCTTGCCAAAGATCGTGAGATTGACAAGGATACAGACATTGGTATTGGTTTCTTACCACTCTATCATATCTATGGAGGTAGGTGTGATGCATAGCATATCATCATCATGCGAAGCGAAATCATGATAACACCTTTTAAAAGTGACGGTGTTATGCTTTAATGCGTTCTACAAAATGCTGCCCTTGGTCATTATTCCACGCTTTGAACTCAAGCTGTTCTTGGATCTGGTCACAAGATACAAAATCACCATTGCAAGCATAGTTCCACCCGTTGGTAATTATAAATGCGCGATCAACTTTTATTGCGTATCACTCAACACACGCTTTTATAGCTGTGCAGCTAGCCAAGGATCCTTTGGTACTCAAATACGACCTCTCAGTGGTACGCCATATCAATTCGGGAGCTGCGCCATTGGGTAAAGAGCATGTTGACGCCTTGATAAAAAGGATGCCTTGTGCCATTCTCACAAACCTGTAAGTACATTATCGGGATCATTGATTAAGAAAAAGTTTGACTCTTACAAAGTATGATCTTAGATATGGGTCGACCGAATCCACTGGAGGTAGCTGATTGGATCCGCTGTATGCTTGATTCATCTTATTGACAACAGCATTATAGGGGTTATCACACAAAGACCATCTGGGGGTCATCCGGGTAGGTATCTATATAGCTTTTCTTGGCATCAATCACACTCATTGGCTCTATTTACAGGATCGGTGGGAATTCTTGGTCCCAATACTGAATGCATGATTGTGGATGAACAAGGCAATGGTAAGCGAACACGACACCATATTGTTAAACGTACAATGAAGATTAACATGGGATGGAGAATTGGGACCTGACAAGGAAGGTGAAATTTTATTGCGTGGTACTTCCATCATGAAAGGGTATCTCAACAATCCCGAAGCCAATGCCAAAGTGTTTACGTCGGATGGATGGATGCGTACAGGCGATGTGGGTCGCTATGACAGCAAGACTAAAGAATTTTACATTGTGGATCGGTTAAAGGAGTTGATAAAGTACAATGGGTTCCCTGTGGCACCTGCAGGTAAGGAAAAAAAGACATGTACGGTATTGTGGATGATCCTATTGATGCTATTATCATAATAGAGCTTGAGTCGTTATTATCCAACATCCCTGAAGTGATTGATTGTGCTGTCATTGGCGTGTACAGTAATAGCCAAGCGACCGAATTGCCACTTGCATTTGTGGTTGTCAGACCTGGGGTGGATGCAAATAAGGCTTTGGAAGACAAAATCAAGGCGTATGTTGCAACTCACGTTGCTGGTTACAAGCGTTTGAGAGGTGGTGTACGTTTTATCGACCAGATCCCAAAGAGTCCGAGCGGCAAGATCTTGAGGCGGTTGTTGAGAGATACTATTAAAAGAGAGGCTATGGCATCTAAGCTATAATAAAATGTGTTAAAGTAGCGGCCATACAAAGGCAGCCCTGTGATACCTGTTGGATGCGTTGCTATGATACAAAACCGGCAGCGATTTTTGGCACCTGCATCTTTGTTGAAATGTTTCGCAGCAATGAATGCACTATCGGGGTTTCTTCAATAGTGCTATAAAGAGGGTGCCCATGTGGTCCTGACGATCCATTCTTCTTACCCCTTTTTTTCACTTACAAAGAAATTGCAAGCACCATGGCGTTAATAATGAACCCTTTGAGATCCCATGTCGACAATCATTTTGACGCCATGCAAACTACTACAACATCTTATCCTGAACATTTGGCGCATAACAATGGCACCAGTACTATCGCTATCGATAACAAAGACGCCTCTTCCCCTGATAGCAGCATCCCATCCACCAAGCCAAAAAGGTCAAAAAAACGTTATTGGTACCCACAACGTGATTCACTTGCACGGCGTAATCGACTTCAGATGGGCAAAGAGGGTAGTCGTCGGCGACAGCGTTGGGATAACAGTGAGTTTCTTATCGTTGGTCATGTTGCCGCAGCTACCGCAGCAACGAACATTTTCCTTTTCTGACATGACCATTTGTCCCCTGAATTTTTTGTACTTTCCTGGTGCACCGATACACACATAGATCATTTCCATGATCATCCATTAGCGAGCCTTGTAGTGCCTGACGATGATGATCGCTTGTTTATGCACACCCAGCCACCCTTCCGGTGGGTGACAGATGACGAGCAAGTAATGTCGATCCTTCTCGACGAGGATATGGATAGCATGGTTTATCATCATCACCACCACCATGAATATGAGTCATATAGCAAGCACATCCACCAACCAGCACCGTTGACTAGGAGCATGAGGCATGACCTGAAGAAGACTAATATCCCTGAACGGCTCGTGTACCATTATGAAGACCAAATCATTGCCTATCTTGATGAGCAAGACCAAGATTTGGTTATGGTGTTGGATATAGCTGATAGCTTCACACGCTGGGTTGTGCATATCATGTGTAGCTATTACAACCTCGTTTCATTCAGTAAGTGTTGTTGCGCACATGTTGGGGCTACTATCATCGTCATGCTCACACGCAAAATGTGGTTTTACCAGCCGACCACGACTACCTCGGTCAACAAGGACAACTGCTATACATCCAGCAACACGCATCCAACCCGCTCGTTGTCCCCGATCGCTTGTTTTCGGATTTTCTATTTTGTCGATAATGCTGAAAAGCGATAAAGATCTATGCCTTCGCCGTAGTAGACTCATAGACGGCTCTGTACCGATCAAAAAAGTATGCATGGTGCTCATATTAGTGGATTGGTGTAATGTGTATAACTTGCTGAGGATCAAAAATGGTATGGTTGTCTTCCATTACAATGAACCAAGCTTCTGCAACAACAATCACGATTGTTGGGCATCATCACCCTGGGGGTATTAACTTTGTACGTAAATCAAGCGTTTATTAAGTATCCACCAATGCAACGCAACGAAAGCGACAACACCTCCATACGACGATGTAAATGGTTCAATCCCCTCAAATTCCAATTCCCCTTTCAATCCAACACCATCCTTATCCTCATCCATACTAAAACCAAACACGTGATCTACATCCTGTACATACGAGCTATAGTACATGTTGAATTCAATTTTCATTCAATGAAGTCGAAGAAACGCACATGGTAGTGTGGATGTTTATCAAGTGAATATGATAAGGGAAGAGCATTGCAAAATAAATAAGATATGGATGATATCACATAGAGTAAACGGGGAGTGTCATCATGTCATTGTATCGTAGGTTGCTGCCGTCATGATCACCCTTCATCCATGATTGCAAAATAGCTGCTGTATGCATTGAATCGAGTACTCCAATATTATCCATCCATGGCTATAAACACCGTTCGTCAAAGAGATAAGCCCTCTCGCCAATGCCATTCCAATCCATCATCATCCTCAGCCGTATTCAGATAGTATGATCCCTGCCGATACTGAAAGATGCTATAGATCTCGCTGCTTGATGCTGCTGGTATGATTCACCTATAAAAGATACATGGCACACCATCTTCAAAGCAATACAACGATACTTATCAATGATAGCTGCAATCCATGAAAAGTCCAAAGCATGAGAAGAGAAGTAACTCGCTGAATATCCCGCATACTATAATAAAAGCGGGTGTTGGCAGGCGTTGTAGAAACGAACGGATCATCAATTACCTATGGTAGCCATATGAATGAATCCCTGTCAACATCCAATGATAAGCACCCATCAAGAATCCAAAGGGCACAAGACAAGTAGTTCGCTGAATAGTCCACATAATCGAGGAGGTTAGTAGGCATTGTAAAAAAGAATGGATCGTTACTCACCAATGACAGCTGCATCCATGAATATTCCAAAGGACCAAAATACAAGTAGTTTGCTGAATGGCACACATACTATAATAAAAGAGGGGGTTGGTTGGGATTGGAGCCAAAAAACGGGTCATCCACTATTTACCAATGATACCCATGTATGCACGAAAACATGTCGACATCCAATGTTAGCTGCATCCATCAAGAATCCAAAGGGAACAAAACAAGTAGCTCGCTGAATAGCCCAGATAATACAGCAGATTAGTAGGCGTTGAAAGAAAGAATGGATCTCTATTTACCAATGACAGCTTCATCCATGAGAATTCCAAAGGACCAGAAGACAAGTAGCTTGCTGAATAGCCCACATACTATAATAAAAGAGGAGGTTAGCAGGCGTTGTTGAAGAGAACGGATCACCATTTACCAATGATAGCCATACGTACGAAAACATGTCGACATCCAATGACAGCTGCATCCACGATAACCCAAAGAACCAGAAGACAAGTGGCTTACTGAGTAGACCACATACTATAATAAACGAAGAGGTTGGCGGGCGTTGTAGAAACGAATGGATCACTATTTACCAATAATACCCATGTATGCACAAAATCCTGCTGATATCCAAATCAAGTCGATTCTTGCAATCATCCTCTTGTAGATACGACCCGCTACGTTGGCACTTGGCTTGTACGCAATCGAGCGATACTTAGTGATGATACGCTGTGAGAAGCTTGGTAATGTTGGTAACACCAATGCGAGTGTATTACATGATGCCGAAGAGCCCTTACAAGGAGCGAGAACGAACCAATGTGCTACCCATGACCACATGCAAATCGAAAATCATCAATCGAAAAGCCCAAACCAGCATCCTAGCTGCGGAAGGGAGTACACTCAGTGATATAGCCGATATGAATGAGATACCAATCCTTTTTCATTGGGTATGGAATGCAGCTTGACGATGGAGTCCTTGACGAGATGCATGAATGACCTTGGTAACACAAAAAATTCAAACGCGGGCCTTCACTGCTTGTTGATGACATGATCCATCCGCAAGACACGTATAGTTGTAGAGATCCATCAAAGAGATTGCCGATACCCAGAACCACCAGAAGAACGAAAGGTTGCTGATATCAAAGATATACAAGTTGTTCCTTGCTGCTGATGTGATCAATCGAAAAGAGAACTCCATTTCAGGATGCCCACCGAATTGCCGATAACGAGAAAACCAGATGACGGGATAAAGCTTGATGTGGAACCAACGATATGGCTGCTGTTGCTAGTTGCTGATACAATCCACTCATAAAAGACGTTAATTGGCTGACATTCTCCAGAGAAATCGCCCGTTGCTTGGTAACCAACCACCCGAGACGCAATAAAGGTTGACACCACCAAAAGACATAAACGCTTCCCCATGGCTGACATGATTCACCTATAAAAGATGCACCATAAACAATTGTCCAAACTCATCCAACAATACTTAGCAATCATAGCTGTGATCTTGTAAACTCCAAAGCACCAAAAGACAAGTAGCTCTCTGCAATGGTCCCTCTAAATAATAATGGTACGCGTTTCAGCAAAGGTCTCCAAAAAGCATGAGAGTCATACGTACCTGAATCACGCAATCATTACCCGCATACTTGGAACCAAATAGGCCATCAGGATGTAAAATAATAATCAAAGCGCACAGCCAAAGAAACGTCATAGTACCGGTACTCTCCTGTGGATCGACGCGATGAAGTGCATCAATAGAGATACCATCTTCTCTCTAAAGGCAAGGAGATCAATAGCCGTAAAACGATGGAGCCGTGCGAACAGAGGATGCATTGTTAAATCCATGAGGCCGCAACATGAGTCGCACTGTCCCCGGGCACAACATGTAGAGCTCCACAGGAAAGTACAGTACAATGACGTCCTTGACGTGCAGCCGTGATAATAATAGCATCGCCGAAAGAGGATCTGCCACTGTATGGCGTTTGGTAAGTCCACTTGAATCCAACCAATCCCATCATAATGAATACTCTTACCTTGTGGTATTTCTCAATAGCATCTTTGCCTCCAATGAAAACCGTATATCCATGCCATCCAGTAGGTGCCGCTGCTGTTTCATTGCAAGGCTCGTTAATTAACATGTTTTGCTTTGTAGATCCAATACCACGCATACCATTGAGCCAACCATACCGTATTCTTGCTTTGAGATCCGTATCTTGTTGCTGCCACAGGTACCATCATCCAACATGTTCACCTACCATAAACGCAATGTGAGATAACATGTAAAACCAACCCACACGCTTTTGTTGTCACCATACCCAAAAGAGGCAATGTGACAACGTCTTGAGAACTCTCATTATGGACAACTCGGTAAGGAAGGCACACGACGCCGTGAACCATGGTGATCACAAGGAATTGCAACCAAATACACCATCCGAAGGCAATACAATAATCAACCTGCAGCGCCAAGGTATGCCATCATATGTACCATACTCTCATTGGATCCTGAAATTGGCATCATAAGAGATATCCACCTTCTCTCTGTAGGCAAGGAAATCAATAGCCGTACTTGGATGGAGGCCGTGTGCACAGCGGATGCATTTTTAAATCCCTGAGGCCGCATCTTGAGTCACACTGTTTCCGGGCCAAAATTCCCCAGGAGAGCACAGTACTATACAATGACATCCTCGACGTGCTGATTGATCAAAATAATCGCCCAACCAGAGCCTGACCTAATATTTCTTTCGTAAGCACACTTGAAGGGACAAATTCCATAATGGACACTTTACCTTGTGGTATTCCTCAATAACATCAATGCCTCAAATAAAGCCGTATCTCCATGTCATCCACATTGTCTTGCTGCTGTTTCACTGTAAGTCTCGTTAATTCACAGGTTTCGCTTTGTAGATCCAATACCACGCATACCATTGAGCCAACCATACAGCATTCTTGCTTTGAGATCCGTATCCTGTTGCTGCCACAGGTACCATAATCCAACGTGTCCAAGCTACAGTAAGTGAAGTGTAAGGTAACAATAACATTCGCTTTTCATGTCGACATACCCATAGTAACAATAGGTTGCGACCCTCCCTGACGACAACCATGGAAAGCATACACACGACACACGACGCCCCCTTTGGATCTCGTATAAACGCGAGAACAGCAAGCTACACGTGAACTTTAGTATCTCAATGTCCAACTTGAACAATAAAGTAAGGCAGCGATTGAACGTACATGTTGTATTGCAATGGAAGCTTGAGTCATGGGCCGATCGCGCGCGTACTTGTTGTTGAATGTCTGCAACTGGAAAGTGTCGCCATTGACCACATGTTCACACCAATGGACGCTGTACATTGAATGGAATGCCAGCTGTTGATGCGTTGTAGTTTGTAAATGGAGACAAGCTTACCTTTTTTGTGATGTGGAAGTGAAGAAGAGTTCCTCCTGTTCGCTCCAATTCGTGCACCCCATGCCACCCCGCTTGCTACAGCCATTACTGTTTATACGTACCCTCAACAATATTCTATGCTCTTAGCTCCATAAGAATGATCACTGCTCAAGACTTCAATTGAGAACGGCCCTCGTAATTAAGCTATTAGGTCTGTGCGCATCACATCAATCCATGAGTTATTATGCAACTCCACTCTTGAACCACCTTGTGCAACCTATTGTGTAACCCCCACCAAATATATGGTATCTCGCTTTCCACCTTTCACGTTTGCAGTTCCCCTTTCAATGCAGAAAACAACCAAGTGATCCGCCTCTTGCACATCTAAGCTGATCGTACGATACCCAAAGTATTATGCTGAATCCAATTTTCATTCAATAAAAAGTCGAAGAACACGTAGACACGGTATTGTGGACGATGTTTATCAAGTAGATATATGATACATAAGGGAACAATATAGCCAAATTGAATAGGGTATGTACATATGGGCGAAACATATAGAGTCATTAGGGATAATTGTGTCATCCTATACTTGATTGCTGTCGTTATGATCACCCTTCATCCATGATTGCAAAATAGGTGTTGTATGCTTTGGCTCGAGTATTCCAATAACATCCATAGCTATGAAACACCTCCTTTCGTCAAAGATATAAGCTCTCTCCTCAATTCCATCCCATCCATCCTCCTCCTCAGCCGTATGCATAGGGTATATTCATCGTTCCTACTGATGACGCGCCAAGTAACCAAAGCAACATGCCAAGACTTCTCATCACTGCACTTGATCGCATCCTTCCATCCATAACCATTGTAAACCCAATATTGCAGCTGACATGCTTCCTTTTCCAACCAGCTGTTGGTCAATCCCTTTCTTGGTCATTTTCCATCGCAGCTCAACCAGCTAAAGGTTACTTGTATTGTGGCGTAGTTGATGGCTGATAGCGCGTCATCCAAAATAGACATCACGCTCCAAATGGGCCAAGGGAACCAAACCAGACAACGTATACACTTCCATCCATCCCCATATAGCAAACCAATATTCAGATCCATATTCATATTAACAAGAAGTCGTATGTATTGGACAAAGTTGCTATGCATAAACGAAGCTGCTTCTATATAATGGCTATCTGCTGTTCACGTGACAAGGCCGCAAGACAAGTTGCTGCAAGTAGCTTGAGACAATCGAGGAAGGCCTCGCTAAGCGTAACTGATGCAATGAATGCTGTTACGATTGGTCGTGGTAGAGGAGTGTGCAAGAGAAGGTTTAGTGCCAAAGGACTCGTGTGTTGTAGAAGAGTGACAAGAGGGCTGTGTACACGCCATGGACTTGCCATTCAGTTAAAGACAATCGGATCAATACGATCGTAGCATGATGTGTTGAAGCAGGACAATCGTTTGCAGGTGGTAGTTGTACTTGATTGGGGCAACAGTTGAGAATGGGAGAAAGGGAATAAACTGGGAGTGGAGGAACTGGGAAAAGAAGTTGAGTACATTGTCAAACAAAGGGATCATGGCCAGGGCTCATGCCAACCGCATTGCTGGTTCATGGAAAAGTTTAGCCGAACCCGAGAATGAGCAAGCTACCAAGGCTTATTGTCAAAGGAACTCAAGGTGATTGGCAGCAAAGAACATGGCTCAATGATCATTGTAGCATCTATTGCCTTGCATGGTATCCAAAATCATTTGCCTATGATGGGCTTTTTTGTATCTTGTAGAGAATAAAGCAGCTGTGGCTCGGCACAACTAGATATTTTACACGCTTTGGTGCGAGGTGAATGCCTAATCGGTATCATTGAAACATGCTAAACGGTGAGGCTGCCAGTACATCCGTCTACGCACTGACAGCGACAATCACTAGTGACAAGGTGAATGTTAAGCGGAGGACAATGGGTCAACTTGATGGTAGTACAAAACGACGATAGAAAGGCATCGGGCACCGATAGCCGAAAAGAGGGACGAGAGCGCGCCCTCGCTTAATTCTTGTGTCACTGAGTCTTATATAAGGACCACGTTTATTTTCACTAGAACAAAAGTTTGTTGTCTCTTCTTTTACCCTTTTCTCACCTTATACAATGGCAAAGGACGACACCAAGCCAGCCGTCAACAGTAACGGCGTCCCTCTTTTCAGATCGGATTTCACAAAGCTCGACGTAAAAATCGATAACGAGATCGTCTATGAATTTGGTGGTCCTTTCGGTGTTGTTGGAATGGTATATGACAACGCTTCTAGAGAGTATGCATATATGTATTTACATGTCAATGATAGATGATTGGCTTCCCTATGATGATGTGCTACTTTGCCATGTCGCTTACTTTGCACGAGGGTCACTTTTTCTTCCCAAGTGAGTTCACCGTTGAAGGCATCAAGGAATGGTTTGCCACCGAAATCGTCGAGAAGGGTATCCCTGCGGTGTTGCCCACCATCAAGGCTACCAAGATTTACATGGGCTATGTCTTGTTTTCATTCATCCTCGCTTACATCATGCCTGGTCCTGTTGTTCATGGTCTCCCCATTCCTTCTTTGAAGGGCAAACGCGTAAGTGGAAGAAAGGATATGGTATGGGTACATGAAATCTGACTTGGATGCAGCTTCCTTATGTTTGCAATGGTTTGTCAGCATGGTACCTCACTTTGGTTGTTTCGGCTGTTGTCCATGTCACTGGCATCTTCCGCCTTACCGAAATCGTTGACAACTTCGCACCCATTATGAGTGTAAGTAAAATAAGCATGCGTGAGTGGCACAAAAACACTGACGCACAGACGATATTATAGGTTGCTATCATCTGGGGCTTCACCATGACTACTCTTGTTTACATTTGCAGCATCATCAATGGCACTCAACACCGTATGTCTGGTAACTTTTTCTACGATTACTTTATGGGCGCACCTTTGAACCCCCGTATTGGCCCTGTTGATCTCAAGATGTGGGCTGAAACCCGTGTCCCATGGCCTGTTCTCTTTTACATTTCGGTGTCGTGCCTTTTGAAGCAATATGAGCTCACGGGTCAAATCTCTGCTCCCCAAGCATTTATGGTTCTCGCTCACTTTTTGTATGTCAACGCGTGCCAAAAGGGTGAAGAGTGCATTCCTACCTCGTGGGACATGTTTTACGAAAAGGATGGTGAGTTGATTGTGATGTCTCCGCTAGTAGCAGTGATCTAACCCAAATGGCAAACAGGTTTCATGCTCATTTTCTGGAACATGGCTGGTGTTCCTTTCACCTACTGCTATGCATCCATTTACTTGATCAACTATCAATTTGCTCATGGCACTCCTATCACTCACTCGTTGCCATACACCATCTTTTTGTTCTGCCTCTTGTTGGGTGGCTACTATGTCTTTGACACTGGCAACTCGCAAAAGAACCGTTTCCGTATGGAACAAAATGGCTCCTTCATGACCCGTAACGCCTTCCCTCAATTGCCTTGGGGTCATATTAAGAACCCCTCCTACATCAAGACCGAACATGGCAACTTGCTTTTGACATCAGGCTGGTGGGGTATCGTGCGTAAGCCTCACTACACTGCTGGTAAGTGTGTTAGGATCAGGATAGGAACATGTATTGGAATACTCATTCAATGTGGTTATAGACTTGTGTATGGCCATGTCTTGGGGTTTGATCACTGGTTTTGGCTCGTTCTTGCCTTACTTTTACGTCTGCTTCTTCATCGTTGTCCTTATCCATCGTGTATCTCGTGATATGGAACGCTGTGCTAAGAAGTATGGCAAGGATTGGGATCGCTACTGTGAACGCGTCCCTTACATCTTTATTCCCTATGTCTTTTAATTGTACCTTACTCCTCGCTTATTGTCATCACATTAATCCTCCATCGGGGTGCCTATCCGTCTCGGGTACCACCACCGTGTCCTGTAATAATTCATCCGGGTTGCCAATAAAATTCGAGATTGGTTGCTCCTTGTAATACAAAAGCTATGTTTTTTATGCATTGCTCAATGACATTTTGTGCATCCTTGCATTATTCACGAACATTTTGAAAAACCATACATGTGCATCGATCATGCATGCAATGATAACACGGATGCTAGCGCTGATATTAAAGCACCGATGCACATGGGTGGAATGATTCTAACGGCGACACCTGACACTGACAACTTTTTCTTTGCAGGCAACGTTGATCGTAGCACAATACATGCATTGCTTGGATCGATGTTATTATGCATTTCACCATGTCATGTGTTACCATTAACCTTGTCAATAGACGTTGTTTCCAATGCAGAGCTCAAATTCCTGATACCTTCTTATCAGTACTAGATCTCCTCCTATTGTAAAACCACAGCTTCTTTATACACGCAAGCATTAGACAAGGGAAGGTAGTGATATCAAAGATACTCTTTAATGAACGAACTACTTGAATTTCATTTAAGCGAGCTTCTCGTGCAACCAATCATTCAACATGTCGATGGCATAATCACCACGATCCATAGGAACCATGTGGCCCGAGTCAAAGACACGCAAGAAAGCAAATCGGCCATCCTTGGTGCGACGCAATTCACCACCTTGTTCACCAGCAGTAGTTGAGATCCATTCAGTGTCCTCGGCAGCAGCAAATTCTTCATGGCCACTCCAGGGCAAGGCAATGGTCCATGCCTTGTTGCCCATCCAGTTACAGATATAGTCGGCATCACCAGCGTAGATAAGGATACGAATGCCATCTTCCAAAAGAGGAGCTACTTCATTCACATAGGGACGCATCCAATCACCAGCCATCTACAACAACATATCCCATATCAGCATCTATGCATAGAAAGGCACACACACTATATAGACTCACGTTGAATTGGAAGTTGATAGCCATGTTGCAGCTTTCATACTTGTCAACTTGGGCACCAATAGCCTTCATCACTTCGGGGCGGTTGAGGTATTTTTGGACACTGCCAAGAATGTCATAACACAAATTGCCACCAGTGCATTCCTTGCGAACATCATAGGGATTCATGCCAGTTGCCTGATAAGGTTGGATTTGATCCTTGTTGCACTTCATGGCTGCTGGGAGACACGAAAAGACATTTTGCGAGCTGTAGCAGTTCTCGATCAAGGTCTTGCAAGCAGGGTATTGGCGATCCATGCTGTTGCACGTGGATTGATCAAGCACAGGGCCGTATGAGTTTTCGCATGCCATCTTGGAATAGTACTTGTATTGTATCAAAGGATCGACCAAACCATTACCAATGATCAACGACTTTAGGTTGATCTTGGCGAGCGTGGATGCATATTCAGTCAAGCTTGCAGTGTTGAAGCTGTAGCTGCCCTTGTTGTTGCGGTTCAGCTCACCACCAATGGCTGGGATGTAATGACCAGCATCTGCATATCATTGCGTAAGTTGATGACGTATTTCTTTTGCATAAAAGGAAATTGGTGTGTGTAAACTCACATGATTCACCGGCAATGTGGAAGTCGAGTGTCGAGTATTGTGAGAATTCTTTAAAGAACAATTGAAGGAAGGCATACACATCCTTGGCAGCAGCAATCGAGTTACGAGCACCACCATTGCCATAAGAATAGCCGACATTCAATGGCTATAAATGCAATCATAGTTATGAGTTAATGTACATTCATTATTCATGCAACTCTTATCTATGCATACCTGATCCAAGAAAATGATGCTTGAGTTCTTATTCCAGGAGTACTCATTGAGGATAGTGTCATCACCTGCTTCATTCACCATGCAGGGGCTATGGAAAATGACATGAGTCTTGTGAGAATATAAAACGTGTTTCATGTTTACTCACCCCAATTCCGCAAATAGACCAGTCAATGAAGAGCATCCTGGACCACCATTGAGCCATAGGACGAGAGGATCTTCTTCAGGCTTGTTGCGAGACTCAAAGAACCAAAAGAAGAAATGCTTATCCGAGTCAACATCGAGGTAACCGCTAATCTATATAAAGTGTGAGTAGATGCGATATAGATTTTCCGATTCATGTACACGCACGCACCTGCTTTACACTCGAGTCGCAGAGATCGGGATACTTGTAACGCATCGAATACTCGGGGAAAGCTGGATGAGTGAAAGCCTTGAGGAAGCCATCAGCACGTTCCTCATCTTGTTCTCCAATGGGGAAGGGCCACCAATCCTTGGCGATATCTTCAATAGAGTCTTTGGAGGGAAGCGACCACCAATCCTTGATACCTTCCTCGACAACATCATGGGCCTGACGCCAAGTATCGGTTAAGCCATCGATTTGTTGTTGGATAAAAGCACCAGCAGGCTCTGCATAGGAGGTTCCCGCCAACGCCAAAACAGCCGTTGCTGCTGCAGCTGTTCTGAATAAAGTAGGCATACGTAGTTGAGTGTGTGTGTGTGTGTGAAAAGAGAGAAAAAGAGACACGCAAGTCGTCAAGCAACCAACACCGCTCAGTCATTCTTCCAAGATCCCGCTCTATACGCAAAATAGGAAATTTTTAGCACTCGCGGGATGTTGTATAGAGTCGCCACACCAAACTACCATCACAACAACCTCTCCTCACGCCGTCACCAAGGATACAAATGGGAAATCAGTGCTTACCAAAAGTCACCATCCTATTGAAGGAAAACATGCTGTCGAATACATAACATGGCTTGGCTTGGTCTTATCATCCATCAATCATCCACAACAATCGATCATGCAAAAGCCCCACTTGTAGTACAAGACGACGCCGTATCGATAAAGTTCCGATGGTTGTTGCCAATAGAGTCGCATATATTTGCATCATCCACATCATCCCTAGCTCCTTTTTTTTGCTTGTCCAAAGTGCAGTAGTTGACAGCATCATCGGATGCTCCTGTCATTGTGTATGTAACAAATGTTGTTCATTGTGAGTAATGATATCAGCTGATAGGCTTGCTTACTTTACTCACGTCATGCTTCTGGATCGTCACTCAAGCTGCTTAGTCGATATTGAATACGATGATCACCAGAGGTATTGATCACGTGAACCTCATCACACGTTGTATGCAGCCATCCCTCAAATGAAGTACGAGTTGTTGTTGTTCAAGTCGACCACAAAGCAAGTTGTTGTTGTTGTTGCATCACCAGAACACATACATACGATGGGACGTTGACATGACCAAGACGGCTGTTGTGAGCATTGGTGTTACGATTGGCAGTGTGCTGTCAACGGGTTGCAAAATGACCCAAACAAAGCAACAGGTAGGTCGATCGTGTTCAATGGAGGCTGTTTATTGTTGTTCAAATGACCAATAATAGTGAATGGCAAGCAATGCGTGAATGGGAGTGTTGAACCGACAAAGAAAGTAGAAGCGGACAAAAGGTACAAGATCGGGGTGGGCTACTTCATGCCGTGTATGTTCCCAGCAGCATCCTTTGTATTGTAAACGCTGACGCAATATGGTGTTGAATGTGTTCATATCCACTTAATCCTCCCCCCGCCCCCAAATCATTTGTCCCATCCATAAGTAAGAGATGCAGCATTGTTAATAAAACAACGTCGAGTTAAAGAACAAGCTGTTGTGGTTGTTGTATGGTTGATCTACCGCCTCTCCCCCGATGTTTCCCCGCAACTAGAATGGGATTGGCATTAATATTGGTCAGGAACAAAAGATGGCTTACTTGTTCTGCTGACTTTTTTTTCTTTTTCTCTCTCCTCTCTCCTTTTCACCCACTACTTACTTACTTACTTATCACGGTTGATTGACTACTCTCTATGCGCTATGGTTCATGACCACACCTCCTCAAAAGGCGCTTACCTTTCATCCATGGTGGCTGCCATTGGAGGCTTTCTTTGTGGATTTGATACTGGTGCTACAGGAGGTGTGCTCACTATGGCACCTTTTCGGCAACGTTTCTTTACAAATGAACACCCACCATCCTCCTCCTCATCGGAATACCTTGAAGGAAGTTTCTTGGCAACCTATCTCATGATGGCAGCTATAGGCTCCTTTTCATCCGGTTACTTTTGTGGTATAGTGCCTATCATCATTATGGGTGTTAATAAGGGGGTAAAGGTTGATTGTTGTTGTAGATCGTTGGGGTCGTAAATATACCATCATCCACGCCAGCTGGCTTTTTTGCATGGGTAATTTGTGCATTGCCGTGGGATCCAATTTGTCACTTGTATTGGTGGGTCGTATGCTTGCAGGAGGAGCAGCGGGTCTCATGTCAAAGTAAGTCAACCATAATAATGAAAAGTGGATGATTGATTTGGTGGATTTGAATACATAGTGCCATTCCGATCTATCAAGTGGAGATTGCACCACCCCAAGTCCGCGGACGACTCATGAGCTTCTTTACGTTGATGAGCATCATGGGACAAGTTGCCGGTTACTTTGTCACGTTTGGAACCAGCTATCTGATGACGAGCACTGATTGGTGTTGGCGTACGCCATACCTGTTGCAATGTTTTGTTAGCCTTGTGTTTATCTCTTGCATGTTGCCTATGCCCCTATCGCCTCGATTCTTGATTACCCAAGGGCGTATCCAACAAGCTCTTGCAACGCTAAAAGACCTCCATGGCTCAATCGCGGAATACGACTCGATCCAAAAAGAAATCAGCATGATCGACTCTACAGAAAAGGCAACTCTGACGGATTTGATGTGGGGGCCCGTGCATCGTTATCAATTTTGGATCAGCGTGTTTATTGTCACTGCCACTTCCATGACAGGCACAGCTGCAGTATGGTAAAGTGTTGTGTTGTTGTATATATGCAAGGCATGCTTGATCTCTCTCTCTCACACAAAGCACACAATAGGTATTATGCACCTCAAATTTTTATTGCAGCGGGATTGACGAATGTATCATCATCGATTGCAGCTACAGCTGGCAGTGGGATAGTATCACTGATAGCCACGGCGATATCCTTAGGATGGTGGATTGATCATTTGGGTCGACGACGATTATTCCTTTGGGGAAGTGCCGTGATGAGCATTAGCTTATTTACCGTGGGGGTTGTATTTGCACATGGTGGTGGTGATGATCCTCCATCCACAGCAGCTCTTTGGATAATTATCTTTTCAATCTACGTTTTCATCGCCGCCTTTGCAGCCACGTGGGGTGTTGGCACGTTTGTCTATCCAGCAGAAATCTTTAGTACACGATGCCGAGCACTCGGCCTAGCGGTGGTTTATGGCTTAAGCTGGGTGTATTCAACTCTCATTGGTTATGGTGTCCCCATATTTCTATCACGCTCAGTGGCAGGTGTCTTTTTCTTTTTTGCTGCATGTACAGCAACATCCATCATTGGTGTTTGCTTTATACCCGAAACCAAAGGCGTTGCCCTGGAAGAATTACAACCCCTCTTTCATTCTCTTTAGAGATTGTTGTAAATAGCATCATGCATGTACATAAATGACATTGTTTCATTGTGAGACACATCATTTTACCCCTAGATTGATTGATTGACAACATTACTAAAGGGATGTATGTATGTGGCTGGGCAAAGGAGAAACATCCTTATTCAGAATGATCTCCCATGCATGATTTGTTTGTTTGTTGTTTATTACAGGCTACTGTCTCTGATTGTATTTATACAGATGGACGATGAAAAAGGTACATAACAAGACATAATAGTACATGCATAAGGAGAAAAAAAAGAAAGCTAGATGATGAGAGGGTGGTAGTAATAGTATTAGGCTTTCTCCTTGAGAATGTTGATTGAGACAGGTTTTTGTTGGGTGGCAAACCGGTGCCATTCACTCACTCATTTCAAAATGAGAGTGAAGGATGCAAATGAAAAGGTTGGTGGTTGTCAAGTGCTTGGGTATAATCGATGCTGTTTGTTGATTTTGTCACAGGGCGTAGATTGTATGTCATTTTGTGTGTTGAAAGGAAAGGAATGAAGGATAAAAAAAAGCACCAGACATTGTTTACGAAGATCGTTTTCGTTTCCACTCGAGCACAGGTGGTGGAGGACGTGTCATTACTGGCAAAGATGCAACGGATCGGTCATCTTCAATATCGTTAGCTTGGCCCACAACAATGCGGAAGCGACCTTTTTTGATAACATTGGGTACTGGCAAATGCTTGGCATCCTCATCATCCTCATCATGAGCCTCCTGTTGTTGTTGTTGTTGGCAACACCAAAAATCAGAATCCCATATACGAGGTTGTTGTTGCCGAGAATCAGATGAAAGTGAAGTACAAGTGGTGGATTGATTGTTGACGGACATCAAGGGAGGGGGTGCAGTTGCTGTGGTGATAGTCGATAACATGTTGTCTTCATTCTCATCCTTGATCTTGATACCTGCCAACTGCGCAAACTCACGTGCCGTTAAATCTTCACACTTTACGTCAGGAGGTCTACTCCAAACCACCTTTTCTGTTGCTGCAGCCATAGCCATTCGTGAGCAGTGTGCTGTTGATGTAGGGCCATGGTTACGAAAACGACGAGCAAAAACGGCAAGACCTTTGCGCCACCGCCTTCCAGTGTCGACCGTAGTTTGTGCAGGGACGTGTTGTAGTGCAGCTAAAGGCATTTCTTTAAAGTGCGTATGAGAGAGATAGAGAGGGGAGATGATCTGCGTAGTTGTGTGTATGCTGTTGTTGTTGCGTTGGTTATATGCTGAGGTCGAGTATTACGTCGTGTATGGAATTCATAGAATGTGTGAAACGGTAGGTATAATAAAGAAGGGAGGAAAGGGGTTGATGAATTAAGTGTAGAAAAGGATTATATATCAAAGAGAAAAAAGGGGAGGGGGATCGAGAAAACACACCCCGTATTATAGTGAGAAGAAAAAAAAAGCTCGTGAGGCGGCGACTGGAATTGCAAGTACGGGATGGACCGCGTGAAGAGGAAAAAGAACAAGGCTGAGGTTTTGGTTGGCTTCTGACAATCAAGCCACTCTTTCAGCACCAGCTGAACCCAGCCTACGCCTCACTTGGAACATGCATCACCATATTTTCTCTCCTATCAATTTCTCCGTCAACCCTATAGGATCGACAATAGAGACTACTTTGTAATAAGCTATACCAGGAGAGAGCGTGTGTGTGTGTGTGTGTGTGTGTGTGCGTCTCAGAGGAAGTAAAAAACAAACATGTGAGAATAGGACAAACACGGCTCGGGTGAGTGGTAGCAAATAACAACGATGATGTTGATCATCTGCTACTGCAAGTGACCTCTTTTTTATACAATGGACCCAGCGTTCGATAATATACATACGGCGGAAAGGAATATCAATGTGTGTCCCTTTTTTGTCCATCAAAAAGAGTTTTGCATTTTTGGTTGGCTAACGTCTTATTCATTCATCCCACAGCAGCAGCAGCAGCCAAACCAAGTATTCCCGAAAAACCCACTTGTGGTGGTGGTGGTGATGTTTGTGTTTACTTGGGCCCCATACACTTTGATGGTAATAGTAATAGTAGCCACATGCAATATCCCCCATTCTGGCATGTTACTTGGACCGGGCGCCCCCCTGCTGTCACTCATCTATAGCGGCTTCAGATTTTTTAACATGACCTAACTATGGGGGACGAATACGTTGGGGGAAAAGTCCATCAAGGGAAATAAGACTCGATTCACGTCATGGATTCGTAGCATCTGTTTCATTTGTACAACATCACAAGATGATAAAAAAGGAATCCACGTTTTCAGAGTGGTGGTGATTAAAGTACTAGATACTAAGCAAGGTGACGAATACTACTACTACTACTATTACTACTCTATTGTCTAAGAAGTGGAATGAGGAGGAGCATTTGTCAGGTGTTGGTGGTGATGATGAGAGGATGAAATCAGCCATACCCATTCAGCTGCACGATCTTCGCCTTGTTCTTCATTTTCCATCTCGTCATCATTTACTGCTGCTGCAGGTGCTGTAGTCCCCGCCGCTTTCGTGTTTGGTTGCCATAGCCATACTTGAGCGGTTGTTGGGTCCTGGGGTTGCTGTTGTCGTTGTTCAGAAGTATTTGTGGATGGTTGTACCATTGTGGTGCTGCTACTCGTGTTTGATACTGAATCTTGTTTCCATTGATGAAGCGAGGCACCAGTGATGGGGTCTTTGGTAGGTGTTGTTGGTGCGCTTGTGTCACTGTCATGATCACTTGTACTACAAGCTTCTTCCAATTGACTCGCATCTTCTTCATCCTCCTCCTCATCATCTTCAAACGAGCCGGTATCATCGTTTTCCTCTTCTTCGTCATCCTCATCGCATATCATATCTCCTTGTTCGCTCAACAATAATTGCTGGTATTCAATTTCGGCATATTCCCACCAATCACTTTTGTGATCATTTAATGAGCATAAATGTGTCATCTTCTTCACCGATGCCTACACTCTTACCTTATCATGAAAAATCCCAAGCTATCATCAAAGATGGGCAATAAAGATTCCTCGATTAATTCACCATCATGGATGCGTTGACGTCGTTCCATTTCCTCCTTTCGCTTGGCTCGAATGGATCCTTGGTAAGACTCATGAATCTGAAACCGATCAAAGTTGAGAAAGGTGTCAAAGAACCTTTCTGCCAAGAAACCATTGCGTTTAAGATCTTGTAGTCGGAATTGGCCTCGCACTCGTGGTTGGATTAAATCGTTCCTGGAAAGAAGAAAGAATAGATCATTGAGTCTTTTTCTCTCGAGCGAACATGGAGCATCATAGCACATACACAACAACCTACATTTGACACAATATGTTTTGGAATTGGATTTGGTCATCCTCAGGTACCCCAAAGAAGCGTTGTCTACATGCATAAACGATTTTGGCATTATTAACATGCCCCCTTTGTATCCAATGTTTACAATGTATACACTAACCTTGCTTCCTGTTCCCTCCAGAATTGCTCCAATTCATATGCAGAAAGTATACCATCCCCATCTGTATCCAAGCATCGAAACCTGACATGATCACAAATAAGTCCATCAAGATCACCCTTGGTCACCAATCCCAATGATCCTTACCAATATTCAATAGCCATAGGTGTTGCTTTGTCAACTTCTGACAGCAAGAACCCTGAATGATAAAACAAGGTCAGCCATCATGTTTATCAACACGTGATTCATGCAACATCAATACTTACATATATAGTCGAGATAAGTCAAGGTGATGGTAGTAGATTGTTGTTGTACTTGATCTTCCTCCATGGTGGCCTCACATGATAGGGTTGCTGGAGATGATGATGATGATGTCGATGCACCGGGATCTCGAGCAAAAGCTGCAATCCTTCCACATTGCATGATACGCTGTATGGCACTTGGAGCCAATGCACCTTGATTGTATTTTGCTAGATCCTCCTCAGAGATGATCAAATCATGGTCATCGTCCAATGTCCAAAACTTGCAATAAAGGACGTAGAAATGCTTGTAAGAGAAACAATCTCGAGTCTAGAAGAGATATGGATCGTATCATGTCGTCGTGTGAGTATCATAAAAAGAGTCGTAGTAGAAAACAAAAGGATGATGCTACTTACGCTATTCAAGTCGACATTGGGACCAAGTGAATGGATCATCTGCACGAAATTGCTACGGCGGAATTGGACCATGGTCATCTTGCCACTGGGGCAGCGTGCTTCGTAGTACAAGCGACAAATGACGGTTTCAACTAGCACACGAAACAACAATAAAATGAGTGTCTCAGGATGGGCCTGCGGGATGATGAATCACATGTCACACAAGACTCACTGTAACGCTCTTGAAACATGGGGTTATCAGCTAAAAAGCGTAAGCCTGGATGATGTAATACAATGTCTGTGTGAAAGTAGGTAGCATCATCAGTTGCATGATTTTTCTTTTCTCCACCACCACCACCCTCCTCGTTTTACCTTCAAGTACAGGTAGAAAGTCTTCAGGTAATAGCCAGGCACAGCCAGGTTTTCGTAGAATATTAAAGAACAATGATACATCGTCGAATCGATCTTGTGATAGTTGGGACCAGCCGCTATTATTGTATCATTGGGATTGTTAAGTGTGATGCAGGTTGTTGCATTCAAAGACGACGTTACCTTACAAAATGATCAAAGGAGATACGTTCTTCTCGTTGATGTAAGGAATCAATACGACGAAAAAGAGCAATGTTCATATATCGAGGAAGTCCACATGCTCGAGTGATGGATACAAATTGGGATTCGAGTATATAGGGTTGCTGACCAAAGAGGTGATTTGCAATGATCTGAGTAGTGAGAGAAAGAGAGAGTGATGAATATACAATGCTGCTGTGTCAAATGAATCATCCACTTACGACCACCTTGCGTAGCTTGCGTTCTTGTTCGGCGACTGGAAGAGGTTTTCCATGTGGAAAGAAGAACTTGGGTATGCTGTTGTTGCTGTTACGGCTGGCATTGATGTCATGCGGAGCATTTGTAGGTGGGCTGGCTGTGGAACTTGAAGCATAAAAGAGTTGACATTGGCGACCCCCATCCAAGACAATGAGTCCCATGGTGGTGAATGAATGTGGTGACAAGTCGCTTACCGTAACATTGTGCCTGACATTGGGAGTTGATTCGTTACACGTGGTGGGTGGGTGGGTGATAATAGTAGTGGTGGTAGTGGTAGTAATGGGCGTGGAATGAGACGTTGACAATAAAAGGTGTTCTCCTTGGGATATAATTTTGCAAAGGAAAGACAATGGTTGATATGAGAGATGTGTGTTCAAAGGAAACAGGAAAAGGGGAAGAAGGAAAGAAAAGCTAAATTGGCGGCTACTTACACAATCCCCCTTTCTCATATTGTATTTGTTGTTGGCAAAAAAAAAGGTACGACGACAATCAACTCTACTCTATCAATATCACCAGCACCTACATACGTACATACATACCACGTTATATTTCTCCCTCTTTATTCTTGCCCTTGGGATGACTGATGATTGAAGATAACTGTATCAATGGCAGCGTATGATTCCGTATGGCGCTTTTTCTCTCTCTCTCTTTCTCCTTAATGACAGATCTTCCCTGTGCGTGTCTCTCTCTCTTTTGTAAACCCCCTTATTTTCCTGCATTGTCCCCGTTTCTCTCCCGATTCTTTCTCCTCTTTCGACCACAACAACGCAATCACACATAGCTTCGTAGTTGTCCTACTTTGCTCTCCTTTGACAATGAACGCGACAAGAAGAATGAATGAATTAGAGCAATATTGGATCAATAGATTGGGTATCGTGATGATAGCCTGATACGGTACCATGCATTCAACAAATCATCTCGGCTGATATTTTTAATCTGCATGCATATCATCCCAATGCAGGATTTTACTCACTTTTGAAATTTCCCGAATGGCCACATTTCTTATGTACTTGATTGACGTGGAAAATAATGAAGCTACCATGGGTGATTGCATTGTCAACATCATTCATGCCCTTTGTGATGTCAATAAGATCAAGCAGACAACAAATAATGTGTAACCTTTATCATTGGTAGTAATTTAATAATGGGGAAAGTGATAAACGATCTTCATTTCAATGGTATGACCAATAATCCATTTACGTAAGGGGTGGATTGTCATTCGATGATTGTAGATTTACGCCACCACGGGTCTTTTATCCACATGCCACAATTTCAACTTTACTCTTGCATGATCCTTTGATTCTGTGGCACCACCATAGGTTACACACACGATAATGATTCCTTCAGCACGTGATCCCTGCAATCAAATACACTCGAGCTAATTTATCAATGGAAGAGAGCACATATATAAAGATCCAAGGCTCATTAAAGTATAGTACCACCCACTTGTATAGTCATTGATGTATGGCTTTTCTCAAAGAAAGATGCACGTGATTCATGCACATGGCAAAGACTCGGGATGTCAAAATTGAACTCGCCCACCAGCTGAGAACCGCATTGATCTCTTCCCGGCTTCATGTCAAACACGAGAATGCTCCACGACACCGATAAGGCTGCAAGAGAAACTATACGTCTGCTATCCAGCTTGGAATCTGTGTACAAAGACCTCGAATGTAATGCGTTGTGCATCGCCATTGTGCTCTTCTTCATTCTGTCATTTTGACACGTCCCTCTTTTTCGTTATAGCCTGCCCAGGCAAGCGGTCCAGGAACAGCGACTATATTAGTTACAATGCTATGCATGACTCTATTCTCCCTGAGGGCGAGGACCAGAATGATTCGGTGAAGCAAGGCGTTGATTGCGTGAATGTAGCCATCTTTACCAATGCCATGTGGTCTAACAACGGGCAATACGATGAGGGGATCGCTATCTTTTTCTCGCTGCTTGTTCCCAAACAACTTCATGATCGAGACGACGTTATTGATATCTTCTTGGATATGGTGACGATATGGGCATTTGCCGAGACACGTTGGCCTATTGGAGGAAAGGGGATCAAAGAAGTCATCAGCAAGATGAAAGAAAGGATCGAGATTGTTCTCAAAGGCGAAGACTCATTGCTATGTCAAAAGATATGGAAGGCTTTCTATGCAAGATATGAACATGTATGGTTATTATGACAGGGATGGAATGTCTTTTTCCTCACACTGCTTCTTGTTAGCAGGATCCGATGCCATGGGATATTCTTGAAGAGATGGTCAACCCGAAACGTCTGAAATCGGCATGGTTTGAGGTGTTACCCACTGTACTGGATGCCATTGATAACAAGGAGGAGGTATATACACATGTATGTGGCATGGTATCTTCTGACAAGTGTTTATTCATGCATGTTTCTCTTTATCAGGGTGATCATCAACAACAAGCCGAGGAAAATGGAAGCGACAATGATGCTATTGAAAATGGCGATGGCTCAACATGCTCATTTGGCACTACCAACGAAGGATTGTTGAAAGGAGAATACTTGGATGAGGTGGATAATGATGACGATGAGGAGGGGGAAGAAGAAAACACAATCAACAACAATCAACATCATCACGAATCGGATGTTCCAGAATCACGCGAAGGGGAGGGGAATCAACAAGACGAACCACATGTGGAAGGTCAATGTCCAAATGAAGATTCAGGGAATGTAGAATCGGCATCACTTGAGGATACACATGAATTGCAGCATCGAGAGGAGGATTTCCATGTTGAGCGTACACCACCACAAACAACAACCGAGCCAGTGGAACTGCATTTGACGTCACTTGAAAGTGGGCTTCAAGCACACCAAGACGTGGTTTATGATGATGATCAACCCAACGATAGCAACTACAACGACGATGATTCAACAGGATGGGACATACAAGGATCCGATTATGAATACCACGACACCACATCACCAATGAAAGACGACGTTCCTTCAAAAAGATATCATTACGATCATGGACAACGTATATCCTACATGGCCCGCCACGTCAATGCAGCATCATCAGCATCACCTCTCAACTTTAGCATGCACTTGTTATCCCCAATGGATGCTTACACTGTAATCGGCTCAACTCAGGAAGAGGGTGGTCATAGTGTCAATCAACAAGACAATCGTGCGACACCAAATGCATCACATGCTGGAATGAAGCGCCCGCATTATCAAGAAGAAGATGGTGATGGTGATGATCAAGCTGAAACGCGTTATCGACGTGAGCCCTCTTTTGTATCAAAAATCTTTGGGGATGATGATGGCAACGCAAATGCAAATATCGAAGACATCAATCCTATACGACCACCATCTCATTCAAATGCACGACGCAGTACTACTAGTGCTCGCCTGATTGTAAGTGTGCCTCAATTCAATATGTTGGGATCATTATGCAATCACATCAATTCTAATGGTCCTCCACCGTATGATGACAACAACGTGCATACAAAGACAACAACAAGGGAAGATGAAGAATACGAGAGACATGCTTCAGCACCACATCACCATGACAACGATCATCGTATCACCAACTTGGACCCCAACCCGCATACGAGGACAGACGATGATGCCGTTCAGCATAGTGACAATGAGATGGAGAATGGGAATACATCAACAACAAGGTAAGGTTTTGATCTTTTATTATCTATGCGTGCATGTTTTTGAGAGAAATCTTACCCTTGAACATTTAGCCAACAACGACAAACACCACGCCATGGTCTTGCATAGTAGGTACTTTCTTGCTTTGAATGTCTACTCATCGTTAACATGTTTGCCATATAGCACAACCCATTATGGACCTGAATTACCTGATGATGCAACACAAATTGGAGAGCGAGATGATACCGCCAGTGGTGGATGTGGTGAACCTACACGAGATGATGTTACCCAACAACAAGCGGTATCTGGTTTCGGCAACACTACTAGGCAACAGGATGATCATACTGCCAACAACCTATCAAGTACCAATACCAGTGCTACTGCATCTCCTGTATCTCAACGCCGTCGTCGTCGTCTTCGTCGCCGTCTTCAAGACATCGGCCCTACTATTGCTTCAACTCGTCCACGTCGCAACAATGTAGCGTATACTTTTCCACCAATGGGCCAAACGTTTCGCCGTTGGACAACCGAGGAAGTCAATGCCCTGGATGATGGTATCAAGTTGTATGGCAAACAATGGGGGAGAATCATAGCCGAATATTCCATCCTTCGCACAAGCAAAACAAAAGAACAAGCGGCGCGAAAGGCGAGGTACATAGCAAAGCAACGAAAGTTGAAAGGCTTGCCATTGGAGCATTATGAAGGCTGTGGATAATCATTACATCTGTTCACTCTTCTGTCGCTTGATCATCTAGTAGTACTTTAGTTGTCTCTCTCTCACACACACACATTTCTTTTGAAATATAACTTTTTACGTCATTCTTGAAATCAAAGAAGTCTGGTGGATGCATAAGGAAAACGTACATCTGGGGAAAAGTGGCATGTATTTCAAAGGGGTTCTCTATATAGCTATTCTGGTTCTATCAAATGTTTGATGGACCCATGTATTATTATTGGCATTGGATGAAACGATAGCTCGGCTGATCCATAGTGCTCTTTTACACTCCAGCCCCACCACCACTATACCTCTGGCATATTATCAACCCTCTTTCATCTCAGATGGTTACGTGCAGTCAAGCTTACTACCTATGTTAAGCCATGATGTGATGATCGGTTGTACTCGCTCGCTTATTATGATTGGGGGAAGTACGCATACGCATTGCTATCATGGTCCATCATCATCACCACCAACAACAGGTATAGGACTATCACGTGAATGATGACGCTAATATGCAAACGCATTCATTGTTGTTGTTTAACGATAAAGGTTTATTTGTCGAATCAAGCAGCAGCTATACTACCATGAAAGACACCACTCTAGTTAAGAGGGTATTAATAGTCATAGTATTGTAGGTGGCGGGGCTGCTATCTACAATGCTGCACGTGATTCATGCGCATGGCATCTTATCATGTCACTTTTGATCTCCCTCTTGAGTATCTCTTTGCTCTCTCTCTCTCTCGCACCATGACATATGCCACTCTCCTCGACCAAGCCAATGAAACGGCACGGAGAGCACTTGCGATGTATACCAATGGGGACACAATTGTCGACATTCCACATGAGCAGGTCCGCGCCATGGACGACGAATTGCAAGGTAATGGTGCTGTCCAATGTGCCTTCTTCATTGTAGCCTTTGACACGTTCCCCTTTTCATTTAAGCGTTGTCCAACGAGCTGTGTACGTCCAACATCCCTGAAAGTGACCTAGCTCTTTCCAGTCATATCAACGACCTTGATTGGATACAGTCTACAATTGATCACATGAATGCAGCTATCTTTACGACTGCTCTGTGGACCACCACTGATTATGCTGCAACAACAGCCTTCTTCCGGACAGTGATACCAAAGCAGCTTCATCATCGAGATGACATTATCAATGTATACCTTGAATTTGTTGAACAATGGGCCGTTGTCGATACATTACGCCATTCGATTAACCAGCATACGACTCGAGAGATCATCGACAAAATGAAAAGGAGAATTGAGTGTGATTTGGAATATGAAGACCAGCTGCAACTTCAAAGGGTACGCGATGCTTTTATGAAAAAATATGAGCATGTATGTATTCTACCACTACGGCAAAGACAAAAAGTGTAGTGCTTTTACTAATACTGCATTTCCATCTTGATCCGAAGCCGATGTGTGATTTGAAGGCATTGTTCGACCCCAAAAGAGTCCAAAGGTCCTGGGTTCATGTATTGCCTATTGTATTGGAGGCTATTGATAAGAAAGTATGTATGTGGATATGAAGGTACGACATGACACCTGTTATTAATGTATCTTTTTTTCTGTGTATCAGGTCAAAGACCTCCAACATGCCAAGGATCATAAAGGGGACGACCCTATTTTCAGCGATGATGACAGTTTCGATGTTGATACCACCACCAACGGCGACGATGAATCGCTGAAAGAGGAATTGGATGAGTTGATTGATGAGTACGACGATGAGATGGAAGACGCAATCATTGAATACGACCACGGCGAGGAGAAAGACGAAGAATCCCAACATGCAGCGACTCAAAGACGCCCAACAAATGAAGATTTGGAACGGATCGATCTACAAGCATGTTGCGAACTTCAAGTATACCATGACGTGATTTACGATGATGATGATATCACAGGATGGGATATACAAGGTTCTGACAGCACATCACTATTTCCAATGCGAGATGAGGACATTCCATCACCGTACGATTACTCACCACCTGGTCGACCTCACACAGACTTATCCCGCATCAATGAAGAAGGACTTTCCTTTTCTGACAATCTCAGTATGAGTATTTCGCAAATGGATTATACAAACAGCCCTATGATGGAAAATCACGACACAGCAAATGATCCCAGAAGCTCAAGTCGATATAGAGATTGGTCAAGGTATGTTTTGGATTTTCATACATGGGTAGTAAGTAATGATGACCTTGAATGTTTATGTAGTGATGAAGCACATGATCCCCTTTCTACTACTCTGCCGAGGTAGGTACTTTTTCATGTCGAAAACGTACTCATCTTTAACGCATTTATCATAGCACAACCAATTATACCTTGTCAACCAATGTTGCATGTCATACAAGGCAACTTGCAGGACGAGGTGATATCGCTAGAGGTGGAACTACACGAGGTCATCATCCCCAGCAGCTGACATCGAGTACCAGCAACGCTCAACAACAAGAGCAAAAAATCAACAATCCAAGAAGTACCAATGTTACTGTAGTCCCTGGTATCCAACGCCATCGTCGTCGCCACAGGCGAAACACACCTCCCATTCCACCACCACTGGAAGACGTTAGCGGACTACGCAAATTGAATGAGTATTGGACAGACGAAGAGATATCCGCCCTAGATGCTGGTCTACGCATGTACAGCAGACGATGGATTACAATCAAAGCAGAATTCCCGGATATCCTACGCAACAGGACGAATGCTCAATTACGGGAAAAGGCAAGGAATATTGCACGACAAAGAAGAAAGGAAGGGTCACCGCTGGAGCATTATGAAGGTTGCGGGTGATTATTGTGAGCCTTCAATAAATACATCATTCATCATGTACATTTACTTCATAAATCTCTACGAGTGTAATAGTGTTTGTTATAGTAAAGTTGCCTGAAACCAAGGTGTTTAGTAGATGAGGTGCATGTGGAATAGGCACATCGGGGTAAAAGTGACATGACGCCCTCTACATAGTGAGCGATGCATCATTATTATTGACGGTGGATGAAACGATAGCTAAGATGGCCTATGCAAATACTTTTTAAGTCATCACGTGATGATCCTTCACTCGCTTTCATACTTTCATTGGAGGAGTATACACATACATTACCACCATGGTCCACCACCACAAATCACCGAGACTACGCAGTTATAGAAATATCACGTGAGGGATAATGATATGGAAAAGCACGCGTTTATTGTGCTTAATGATAATGATAAAGGAAGCTTTGCTGAATTGGGGCAGTGGATATTCCTTCCTTCGTTTTCTATCCTACTCTTTGTCATGCCAATTGAAACCATATTGCGATCGGCAGATCAGGCCGCCAAAGTTGCACTTGATATTGTATTATTTGATAATGGCAACGTTGCGAATCCCGAACTGCAAAAGGTGTTAGGTAATTCCATTTTGCTTTGACATGCGTTGGTCGTGATCCTGATAGTGACAATGTGTGTGTGTCTTGGACAGTGCTTTGCAAGGACTTGCGACAACGAAGCTACTACCTCGACTACTTTCGACTACGTCGCAAGCTGGAGGGTGTGGATGCTCTTTGGCTACAACGTGCGATCCAGCGCATAAACTTGGCCATCTTCACCGCAGCGGTATGGAACGGTGATGAAGTCGATGATCTCGAAATGGCTACAAAGGATTATTTCACAAAAGTGATCCCTCGTTCCATCGAATGCACGGATAAGATTGTGGACGCTTATCTTGAAGTGAGGATGCAGTTGGCATACCGAGAAATAGTGGCCCGCATGGCAACGAGCGAAGAGGTGGATGCTATGGAGGTGATCAATGTGTATTGCCCCAAGCAATTGATCGACTACAACCTTCCTGCGAACAAAAGTGGAAGAGAACGCGTTTTGATACGAGCTGCAAAGATCATCGACGAGGTAAAACGTGGGTTTGGGTGAGCGTGTATGGAGCTTTACTTGTATGCTGACAATGGCACATGTTGATAGTTTTGTGAAAATATCAACGACATCAACGAGGATATGAATAGACGTTTTCCCAAAATACGTATGCAAGAGGCTTGGCAGACTGCTCTTATTATGGATATTGAGGAAAACTTGGCAAGTTGAATGTGGGATGGGATATGAAAGAGAAACTAGCTGCTGACCTTCATGCAGCATTTAATCTATTCACCTGAGGACGAGCCTACACCATTAGCATCAGTTGCCCCACCACCAGAGCCAATGGATATACCCATGAACACTACATCTACATCAAAGCCAACAGATTCTGTTTCTCAATCATCGCCTAAGGAGGACGCCCATGATGACAGTGATTATCAACCAAAGGACGACGACGACGAAGATGATGATGATCCTTCAACTGCATCCGATTCAGACTATAATGATAACAACAAAAGGCAAGTATCATCACTATTCCATCTCAAGGGGGGAAACACCAACCAATCATGATAGAACGACCATTAGGAAGCGCAACACAGCACAACCACAACGACAAGGAAAGGAGAAGCTGAGAAAGCTTACTGAACGATGGACATCTGAAGAAACAGAAGCTCTAAAGAAGGGATATCAAGAATGTGGTTTTGGACAATGGGGGATGATTAAAATGAAGTACTCGCAGCAGCTACAAAATCGGACCATTCAACAACTCAAGGATAAGGCGCGTAATATTGCCAAGGCTTTTGAGAGAAGTGGACAACCGTTGGGGAAGTGGGAAGCGGCTCTTCGATGAGCATGATATAGTTTATTGTCAAAGTCTTGTTTTTTTTTACTATCAAAGATGTATTTAAGTATGGATTCCACAATGAAAATGTTTGATATTATACAATAACGTAAATGAGCACTTGAATAAATGAGCAACGAATCCCATCCGATCTCAACGATGCAAAGGGGATGTTATTTGTAGTATGGAAAGGTCATAAGAGTGTTTCAGGAAACAGGGATTTATTGTAAGGTGGGATGTATACTACAAGCATGTACGCTACTAAGGGAAAAGGAACGATCGTTCATTGTGTGCTGTAAATCACCCTGTGCAACAATGAAATTCATGCATAATTTCCGTATGCAGCAACTTGTTTTTCTTCACCACTCGATTCGGAAAATGGCGTCGTCTTCTTTCAACCCTCTTCTTTACTATCGCAATGACACCCTCACTCAGCATTCCAAAGACATTTGCAAACAACTTTTGGGTAAGTATGCTCGTGGAATGGCGCCATTGTAGGAGTCAAGTCTAATGGGCTGTCTTGCAATTGACACAGGGCAAGGAAGATGCCGGCTACAATGTCCTCATGCATAAGATGAACATGGCGAAGAAGACGTGTGACGATCTCAAGAGCTTTTACAATACAAAGTAGGGTTGACAAAAAAAAGTTACTTTATGATCGTGCTGGTATTGATTGATTGGGTTTGGTAGGGCGTCGTTGCACGAAGATCTCGCCAAAAAGCTACTCAAGCAAACCAAGACCGAGCTAGGGCGTGAGGAGACTGGTACACTGGGGATGTTGCTAGCATCGACACAAAAGCAAATGGAATCTTCCGCACAAGCACATCAAGAATTGGCTCGTAAAATAAGGGTGGAATTGGAGTTGCCTTTGGATAATTTTATCCTTGAGCAAAAGGATAAGCGCAAACTGGTATGTAAGGAAGGTGTCAAAGTGATCTTGCATTATACTAACCCTTGGATACATAGTATCAGACCAATGTTGATAAGGCGCATCGTAACAAGAACCTGCATGCATCTCACGTGAACAAGGCCAAAGAAAAGTACGAAGCCGAATGCGCCAAAAAGGTCAGCCTTGAACACCAAATTGCATCGGCCACGGGATCCAAAGACATGGATCGACTCCAATTCAAGGTAGAACGGAGCAAGAATGAGATTCGAACGCTAGGCAAGTACATGTTAGGATGCTACTGTGAAAGCCCAATCATCAGCTCATGCTGGATTCTCTTACTACGTAGACAAGGAATACAAGGATGCATGTGCAAAGTTGACGGATGCCACAGCATTATGGAATCATGAATGGAAGATTGCATGTGATGTAAGTGGTGGGCTTTTTATGAAGTAGGAAATAACCAAAAGCTAATGATGGATGCATTGTTGTTATAGCGTTTTCAAGAAATGGAAGAGAAACGTGTCGAGTTTCTTCACCACAGCATGTGTATTTACATCAACATTCTATCGACAACATCAGGGCAAGAACAAGAATCTTACGAGCAATTTTGGAAAGCACTCGATGTATGTGATCCAAAGACCGATGTGGAAAAGTTCATTGATGAGAAGGGAACGGGCAATATGATTCCAGGTAAACAAAGGGATATGGTGGGCATTGTGGGATATGAGATTGATTGATTGTGTGTGTGGATAGAACCACCTGTGTATGTCAATTATTTTGATGATCCTGCAAAGACGCTACCCCGCTATCAAGTTGCTCAGTTTCCTACAGGCCATGATGAGATCCTATCCACTGCCCCTTTACCTCAGACCCCGGCAACTATTTCATCCAAGACGACAACGGCTCGACGAACAGCGAGTTATTGTGAACCACGACGACGATCGAGTCAGCATCAACAAAGACAACAACAACATCCAAAAGAATTACCAAAGGCAGTGGAAGAACGCAAGGTGCATTTGTATGCATCTGGCAGCTGTCGAGGGGAATACAAAAAGCCTGCGCCTGCAAGTCGTAGTCAAGATGTGGATAACGTTGACGATGAATGTATCGATCCACGTGCACAAGTCGTCATGGCGATCGGCAATAATCGATTTGAAGTGGATCATCAACAACCACCAGTATCACAACAACAGCGACCCAAACCACGTCGACGGCGAACAATGAGAACGAGCTTAGACATGGAAGAGGCTTTCAATGATTCGATTCGTGGATTACTGCAAGAGTTGGGTGTGCAACGTAAACAAGCGACTACTACCATTGAACAAGAAGAATACCATCATCATCATCCACCATCACAACAGCAGGAGCAGGAGCAACAAGTGATATGGGCACGTGCACTCTACGACTATCACAGTGATCATCCTGATGACTTGAGCATTAAGCGTGGGACATGGTTAGCCATCGTTCAAAATGACCACAAGGATTGGTGGGTTGCCCACAAATGGGATGAATCGATTAATGCGTTACAAGATACATGTGGATACGTAGCTAGTAGCTTTGTACAAGTGGTGCCTTAATAAAGGGAATGGGTCGACCAATGAGCAACAAAAATTTTCAATTTGTTATCGGCCGAGGATCGGGAAAGAGCATCTTGTATCACGTTCATCCTCGCACCGACCGTCGTTGTCATGACAGTCAGGTTGACTAGATACTGCCGTTTTTGGTGGTTTCCTCCATATACAGAGAACAAGTCGTGGATAGGGTAGTATTGGTTATGATAAAAGTTGGACGGCATGGATGAAACCAAATCCATTATTGACATAACAAACACGATAAAAGAAATTTTTTACGATGAGACAGAGGAGCTATGTTATTGATAATGCGACAATTTACCCGCTCAAAAATGATGCGACAATAAGCCAATGGGAGGTGGCACAACACGCGAGCGGCAATTTATCATGACGCTCTTGGTTTAAAGTTGCAAACAAGCAGTAACCATGACCGTGATTGCCACAAGAAATTTTTGATCGTGATTGGCCAACCAAAGTGGCGGTGAGGACCTTCGAGGTTATGATTTAAGAAATCGTCAATCCCACGTTTTTCCACGGTTTCTTTGTTCCATCCACATAACAAACATACGCGAATCCACACACACACACATTAGCGTGTCGACTCTATTTCTTTTGTGGTTTCTTTTATCTTTATCATTCGCCCATACGACATGCATAGCAACAAAACGTTTCCTCTTTTCGCTCTTTTCTTATTATGGTCATCAGCCCTCGTGTATGCGCAGGGTGAGTTTCATGATCCTATTTCCCGGCCACTTTTTCTAATACATGGCAATAGAAGAAGAATCAGCTCAAGATGAATGTGCAGCTGTTCCAAAAGACGAATACAATCTCGGCCTACGTATCGGTTCAATCTTTATTATCATGGCAGCAACACTCGTCGGTAAGCCATATTGCAAGATACAATGAAACGAATTTGCTGACCTAATAACGACATAGGTGTGTTTACTCCCATCCTCTTGCATCGTATCAGCCCATACTCAAAAAACAGCATCCGGTATTGGGTGTTGACCGTTGCAAAGTTTTGTAAGTGAAAAACAACTTGAGCTGCATTTGAAAAAGTAAAACTCATCATGTGTATATGTGTGTAGTTGGCACCGGTGTCATTTTGTCGGTTGCATTTGTCCATGTAATGCCTGAAGCCACCGAACGTTTCGAAAGTCCATGTATCACATCCGGCAGCTGGCACAATTATGAAGGCTTTGTCGGTGTATTTGCTCTTATTGCTGTATTTTTCGTACAGCTTATTGAGTTGGCGGCCTTTGCTCATCTTGAACGCACCAAAAGCTCTAGCAGCAGCAGCGAAACCACTGCCAAAGAAGCCGATCTTGAAGTCGGAGTTGATCAACATGTGCACACACCACTTGATAAAAACATCAATACGATCGTTCTCGAAATTGGTATCGTGATCCATTCCGTCATTATCGGCCTTACATTGGGATTCAGCAGTTCGGATGGATTTAATGCACTTTTGATTGCTCTTGTATTCCATCAGGTAAAGGATCTCGATATCATCCCACATTCGATCGCTTGTTACTTACGTATGATCTTTTTCTAGTTCTTTGAAGGTATTGCCTTGGGCACACGTATCAATGAGATGGACTTCCGTAGTGCCATCAAGCCATTGCTAATGGGTCTTGTGTTTGCATTCACCACGCCTGTTGGTGTAGCAATTGGTATTGGTGTCAATGTATCCATTAATCCAAACTCGGCACCCTCCATTCTCGCACAAGCCATCCTCGACTCTTTGGCAGCCGGAATTTTGTTGTATAATGCATTCATCTCTCTCATCAGCTCTGAAATGACACACAACCTTGGCTTCCGTAATTCATCCTTTGCCAACAAACTCACCTGCCTCATGTCAATGTACATTGGTGCAGCTCTCATGTCTTTGCTCGGTTACTGGGCATAGATCATGTCGACGTACAACACACACACACGCCACCAACATACCCGAAATGTATTATTATCATCACATCCACGATCCCATGTGTATTATATATTTTGCCACGCCATCCATACCGATGCTTCATATACCCCTTCGTTTCCAAAGACGACAACCCAAAATAAATCATATACCATATATGCATCCATTTTCTAGAACCAGCGTGTATTCATTGTTGGTATCATAAAAGCCGGCTAGCTAATGTTGTTTGTGTCCCGTCATCAAATAGCGGTATTCCACAAGCGATCACCCGAATCGCCAAGACCAGGTCTAATGTATCCATGTTCATCCAAGGTTTGATCAACAGCAGCCATGTAGATATCAACGTCCGGATGTTCATTTCGAATTTGATCGATACCTTGCTGAGACTACACACACGTGATGATGATTAGGGATGCATACATCATGCATAACAAGAACCCAGATCCACTTACTGCAAGTACGCCAACAAACTTTATATTATCACCTGAAAGACCCCATTCCTTCAAAATGTTGATTGTGGCCACAGCGGTGTTGCCTATTTCATAACAAAGTCATTCAACATGCGAGATCCTTTGTGTGGTGTCTCTTGTCCTTTTTATACCTGTAGCAACAATGGGATCCAACACGTAGCAAACATCCACCTGAGGGTTTTGAGGAAGCTTGTTGTAGTATTCAACGGGTTGTAAAGAGACCTATAGAACAAGGATAGGATGAGCGTGAGAATATTAATGTGTACCAGGGGGAGGGGGATAAGACGCATTTCCAACTTTATACCTTTTCACGATATAAGCCGAGATGTAGCACAGGAGCTTCAGGAAAGAGCGAAAGGAAACCTATAATGAGATAAAGGGCGGCGTGTGTGTGCGCTGATAAGCATTCTTGATAGCGTGCGTACGTATCATCCGCGTTATCGTCATCCTTTACGTACCATCCACGAGTCCAAGGCCTGACCGTAAAATGGGCACAAGGGCAACACGTTGCTTGAGTTCGACACCTGTGAATGGCTCATATGGGCTCATCATCTACATAGTACGATGTCAACGCATGCAATACAACATGACCCTACTACACGCATGTAGATACCTTTTTCTCACGTAAGGTGGGCAAAGTAGACGATGCTTCATAACCCAATAAAAGAGCCAAGTCTCGCATTAATTCACGAACCACCTTTGGCGAGTTTGCAGCTTCTCGTAATTGAGACAACTTGATGGCGACAATGGGATGCTCGCTAATGTGTAGTGATGCTGTCATTGTGGAGAGAGAAAGGGCAAAAGAGAATGAAAAGAAAGAGGGAAAAACGGGGGGGGGCGCTGTTTTGTTTCTTTGTTGTGGTTGTTGGTTGTTGATTGTTGTTGTTTTATATACACACAATATTGTAACCAATATGTATCAGGGGGTTGCGTGTGGGTGGGAAAAGATATGATGGAGATTGCGTAGTAGCGTCGATAAAATAGCTCACGAGGGCAGTCTGTGTAGATGGTACACACAGTAAAAAGGTTCTTATCAATGCAAAAAGAACGTCTAATGCAGACGGTTGGTGCGAGATTGGGTATCACATGTCCGATTTCACTGGTGCACGCTGCATGAATAGCTCCCTTTTTCCGCTTCCCCTGATTGGATATGCTTTGCAGCAACAACAGATATACGACCTATATCATTCTCACACAAAAAACTTATTTAAGCATATCCTTTTCCTCTTTCCATTTGACCAAAGCAATCCTTTCTTCCCTTTTCTCTCTTCACTTTTCCCCTTTTTCCTCTCTCTCTTATCCCTGATGACTATGAACGACGAGCAAATATTGCAACAGCTCTTGGCATCAGTGGAAGCAATTCGGACGGACCAACAAGCACTCTCCTCTCAGGTACGTGTGTCTAAGTTTGGACATAATGAAAAAAGGATGCATGAGTGGCGTTTTAAAAAAGAGAATTTGACATTGACGCATGCGTAGGTGGAACAACTGCTTCATCACCCTGAAACATTGAAACATCAATCCTCCTCCTCCGCCTCCTCTTCGCCAACAAGCACAACCCCTTCCAATTCAACAAAGCCAACCACCATTAAGGCGAACGCAACAAGTGGTGCTGCTAGCGGCTCATCATCCGTTGCATCAAAATACCCTCAACGTGTCATTCTCACAAGTAAAGTGACCTATAATACGCTCATCCACCTGGTTTAATTTTACTCACACTCCTCTTATTATAGCTTATCCTCATCAATTGGGAATACAGCCGGTGAATCTTCATTGGGGAGCACAAGATCCAAAGGAGCGTGGCCCTGTAGTTGCTTCTCGTCATCCTGAAAGCATCAAAAAGAGGTATGTATTACACGTCTCTTTTGACATGCTTTCTCATTCAACTCTTTTAGAAACGCCATTGGTGCTTATGGTGGCTCCTATTGTGTCTATCGTGCATTGGCTGTGGCCATTGGTGACTTGCCTGGTGATCATCGTCCCAACTTTGCCATGACCGAACCAGCTTTCAATGTGGGTCCTCATCCATCATGGTATGATCCTCGCAAGATTGTATCATTGGATCCTTGGGGCCATGTATTACCACAAGTCTTTAAGGAAGAATATGAAAATGGATTGGATGTTAGGTAAATGTGTAAAAGGTTCTATACGCAGGAACATGGATACCATATGAACACGTGCATTCTACATATATAGACCTACTATTGCAGTGACCAAGGCACACATGACGATGGCAGAAATGGAGATGCTTGTAAAACAAGGCAAGCTGCAAGTGGATGGAAAAATTGTCGTCAATGATCGTGGCGATCTTGCCGTTAACAAGGCAGCTGTTGAACCGGTTTGGTACTTGCCAGGAGTGGCTGAACGCTTTGGCATCGATGAAGGCTTATTGCGTCGTGCCTTGTTTGAAGACACGGGTGGCATGTATCCCGAATTGATTACTCGACCCGATCTTAAGGTGTATCTTCCTCCTATTGGAGGCATCAGCGTCTATGTTTTCGGCAATCCTGCTTATATTTCTGGTAAAGAGAGCAAAAGAAAAAAAAGGAGCGAGAGGATATGAGCATGAGAAAAAATGACCATTGTACTAACAAGATCACGTTGCTTTTTGTGCATGTGTGCGTGTGCTTCAGACCCTGAGAAAAAATTGACGCTTCGAGTGCATGATGAGTGCAACGGATCCGATGTATTTGGTAAAAAGAGAAAGGGGGTTTTTTGGGGGGTTGTTTGTTCACAACAAACAACATAGCGTGGATGTTTCCCACACTAACCTGCATTTTTTGCATCACATAGGCAGTGATATTTGCACGTGTCGTCCCTATTTGATCTATGGCATCGAAGCATGCGTCAAGCAAGCCCAACAAGGTGGTGTCGGTGTCATTGTCTATTGTAGGTTCATCTGCTACGTGACCTTTTTCTTTATGCATCATCTGACATGGCACTTGAACTACTAGTCCGGAAGGAAGGTCGTGCTCTTGGTGAAGTGACAAAGTATTTGGTTTACAATGCTCGTAAGTAGACGGCCGTCGTTAGGGTCGCCCTTTGTTAACTCAACATGGTGAATAGGGAAACGACAAGCGGGTGGTGATACTGCCGATCATTACTTTTTACGCACAGAATGCATTGCCGGTGTCAAGGACATGCGCTTCCAAGCACTCATGCCCGATGTTTTGCATTGGCTTGGCATCAAAAAGATTGATCGCATGATGGTATGTGTATAAAGAGCATTGTCATTTTACTGCAATTACTCATTGTTTTCCTATCTACTTTTATAGTCAATGTCCAATATGGTAAGGAATCATCATTCTCTTTATTCTTCACAGCACATGCACAAGCTAACGCAAAAGCTTCATTGTTACGTTCCATAGAAACATGATGCAATCGTTGAATCCGGTATCCCCATTGTGGAGCGGGTACCTATTCCCGAAGACATGATCCCAGCTGACTCAAGGTATGCATAGGGCAAAGGCAAAAGCATTCAATCATCATGTTGTATTAATATTACTTTTCTAATTGTAGAGTGGAGATTGATGCCAAAATTGCTTCAGGCTACTTCACAAGTGGAAAGGCAATGACCGAAGAGCAGCTTGCCCAAGTAAAAGGTCGCAATTGGGAAGACATAGAGCATTAGTTATGTGTTGCAACCATTCAGGATAAAGGAAATAAGACTCCACTATTCCCATGCGGTGGTGCTACATGAAAAAGTGGGAGGAAAAGGAGGAGGAGTAAAGAGTTGGTATCCGACAATGCATTAGATCCAGATGAATTGGCGGGTGACATCCTGTGTGTATTTTATTTCATTGATCACATGTTTCCAAACAAAATCTGTGACAAGAAAAAAGGCGAGGGAGGAGGTCTGGACAAAGAAAAATGGGGGATTCTCTATTTCATGAAGGGTAATCATTGGGGCAGATGAATGTATAGTATATAGATGCAAGATGAATGGGAAAAGAGGGAAGAAGGGACACCTTTTTTAAAGCTGCTCAAGGTCAAAGGTAGTCTCACCAGCACGTTTGATCAAGCGGTATCGTTCCAATTGATAAGATTCATACATGGATCCTGCAAGTCTAGCAGCTTCTAGATGTAATGGCTTCTTTGTAGCTTTAAGGGCATAATCTCGATTCACCCAAATACACATAGCCAAGCATTCACGATGTTCATTCAAATCACCATACCAATACTACAAGGAGATTCTATGAGTTTCTTTGTCATCATTTTGTTGCCAAGATGGCTTTTAACGTACCTGTAATAGACCGCCGCTATGGATAGCTTCTCGATGGGCTCTGGCATCAGCGTCATAGAGTGCCTTAGAATCGGCATCTGCTTTCCGCACACTCCGGAATGCAACAATAAACCAATCCCCTTCACTGTCTTTGCCTAACAAGTTAGCTACCTCGTTCCAGTTGAATGCATCTCGAACAGCTACATGGACATAGTCGTTGGTGATGACATGGAAATGGGGTAGGGCCTTCTCCAAGAGTTGACGATCCACAGGGCGTAAGCTTTGTTCAAATGCTTTTCGATCTTCAGGAGTCTCATCGGTCCATCCGGAAGGACCTACAGTGTCATTATAGATGATGGCATTGCCTTGGGCGACAATCTTCTTTTCAATATCGTTTTGAGAGGACATTTGGGAGAGTGGGGAGGGGGAATCACAGGCAACAAGAAGATGATGGAAAGAAAAAAATGAGAAAAGAAACAAAAACTAGTTTCTTTGGCGGATGACTTATATACGCTTTGTTTCAATGCTGAGTTTAGGTCATTGGTAAGATCTCGGATGTATAAAGACAAGCAGCGGATGGCGTGATTGGCACCCCTGAATGATGAACAAAAGAAAAGTTGTGATTCAACAGCAACAGCACACAATATTGTTTGTGTTTTATTGGATGCGATTGCACTAATAAAAGGTGGTGGGACGCTTGGCAATGAACAAACGGCGTTGAGACTTGTCGACACGCTGGATGCGGTGGGGCAAGGGGAAAGCAAGCTTGGGAACCAAGAGCTGCTTGACGTATTGACGACGAATGTCAGCAGACTTGACTTCAGCAACACGCATGATTTGAACAGAGGAGAAGCGAGCACGATGACGAGCAGCCATATCTTGGTCTATAAGCGGTATTGATATTAGTCTATTTGCATTATTGTTCCTGATGTGCTGTGTAACCATGGCAACATTCAACACTTACAGCAGTTCTCGACAGCTTCAACACGGGACATGGAACGGTATTCCTTGTACATGTTGTGGGTACCAGAGCGAGAATCGTAACGGATCCAGATACCAAAGTTCTTGATTTGCTCAGGGTGCTTCTCGAAGATCTATAGCAACAAGAAGCATGTCTTGTAAATCCTCTTTTCACATCCTCCTTCATTCCATCGTTGCTATGGTATCCTACCTCGTTGACAGAGACAATCTCACCAGCAGCCTTCTTGACCTTGCGAAGCTTCTTCAAGTAGTACCAGAAGCGGGACTTGGCAACAACAGTGTTGGGAGCAAACACACGCATGCGGTACAACTTGGGATGGGGCTCCTTCTCCGAAGGGAGCTTGCGACCGACCACCTGTTTTTTATATCACATCATTCAGCATGGAACTGTTCAATGGGGAAGCTGTGCATAATAAAGGTGCTCATGTTGTAGCGCATTTTTACCTGGTATTCGTGGAACTATAAAAGAAAAAGCCAAAATCAGTATTGGGTGACACACCTTCATGTAAATATCCCATCCATCCACACATCCGTTTCATCCATCAATATATCTCATTCATCCATTGATGAATTGTCATTGTCTCCACTGTCATGTTGATATTTACCTTGGACATCGTCGATATAGGGAAAGAGGGGTTGTTCACAATTGGATGTTGGGCATTGCCATAGCCACTCGGCCCGCCCGCACTTAGTATTTTATCTCCCGACAGGATGACACTAACTCATGCACATCTACCACCTCTCTACTTGTCCTTCACAATGTTGCTTGGATACATGGGTTGATTGTGCTATATATATACATGATAGGGCCTTTTATTTGGTGGACAATCTCATAATAAAGCAATGTTGAAGAATACTTTAAGATGTGAACACTTGTATAGTACTGCTCGTGATCCATAGGGAAAAGGAAGATGTACATAATGAACAGGAGCGTTGGCCTTCTTGATAGGGTCGACAATGGATGGATGATGGTGATGCTCCTGCAATAGTGACATGTGTGGGATCAAAGTGACCTTGAGGGGTTGCCATATTGTAAACGTGGATGTTGGAGAGTACTATAAAACGCGTACGTGGATTGATAGCAGATCAACCAGTAAAGATAGACGCACGCACGCAATGAATGAATCAGTGATTGACCATGGGTTACAAGCACAAACCTTGTGAATGGATGCAATAAGGTACATGAGGCACGTGATCAATCCTTTCTTTGTGTCGGCGATATCGTGTACCTTCAACTTTTCTTCCTTTCAAAGCACACAAACCATGACCAAGGACCCCGATCGAATACTTGTACGTGAAGCTCATGCTACTATCAAGAAAGAATGTAAGGCTTGAATGCTGGATCCCTTGCTCAGTGTAAGCTCATGGGTTTGTACAGTGCATCGACGCAAGCAAGACATTCGACAACGTACCGAATTCCTTATCGCTGCTCTGCGAGCTCAATGTATGTCGATGGTAAACGAGTTACCGGCTTCAGTACGAAAAATGACGATGCGTGAGTTTTGTCATATCTACGGTGCCGATACAGCATTGTACCTACGTCAAGAAGCCAAACGAAGAATGCAAAGGGTGATCCAAGAGCAACACCGGCCACGTGAAGAGCATCAAGTAGTGCATGATCATTCATCAAAAGACGAGGTAGTTCATCAGGATGAGCAGGATCAGCTTCGCATGGATCAACAACAACAACAACCTACAAATGATGTACATGATCTACAACAGCATTCACACGATGATATCGACCATCAACCACAACCTCCTCCTACCAACAACAACAACAGTGATCATGATCAGGATCTTAGTTTTCAATTGGGTCCATCACTGCAATATCAAACGACAAGCTACGACGACGATGAACCTCCAATGGGTACCATCTTTTTACATATGGATCGACAAAACCATCCTCGCGTGAGATTTCAATTGGATCCTTTACAAAGCGTTGACCAACTTGGCGAATTCTCTATTGACACGCCCCGTGACATTATACAACAAATGACACATCGACAACGTGTTCGTATTTGCCAGCAAATCGAGGATATCCAAAACAAGCTTGAGAATGCCAAATCCTGCTTCGAGCCTGACAATGAGTAATAGCGCATTGTGTGTATATAAGAATATAGTTGTATATATAAAAAAATTGGGAATGAACAATGACAACAAGCTAGGTTGAATGTGTGTGAGGGGGTTGAGGGGATGGGTGAACTACAAAGGATATGTAAAAGAGAAGAGAGATGTGTGTGTGGTGGGTGTGTGTTTTCTAATCTAGTTGAAGCTTCGGCCATTGGACAAGGTGCTGTACATTTCATCGATTTGGGTTCCATATACCTTGCGTGCAAGTTCACGCTTGAGCTTGAAGGTGGGGGTAAGGAGATCATTCTCAATCGTGAATTCCTCAGCTGTCAAATGAATAGCTCTGATCTGCTCAAAGCCCTTGAGATCATTTTCCTTGCCATATGCATTCAAAACCTTGAGCAATTCCTTCTTCACTTCATCCGACTTGTATGCTTCCTCCTTGGACAAACCAGAAACCTTGCTTTGAGCCCATGGGACAAAAGTTTCAGCATCAGGCACAACAATACCAACGAGGGAGGATTGCTTGGAATCACCATACACAAAGGCTTGTGCAACTAGCTCATGCTTTTGATAAACACCTTCGATCTTTTCGGGTGCAATGTATTCGCCTTGAGACAACTTGAAGATGTTCTTGAGACGATCAATGATTTGAAGACGATTGGCCGAGTCGAATAGACCAATGTCACCCGTATGCAACCAACCATCCTCATCAATAGCTTCAGCGGTCTTATCAGGCACCTTGTAATACTCTCGCATAATGGATGGACCACGCACACAAATCTCACCACGTGGGAAGGGCTTATCAGTGGAACGATAATCCATGTCAGGTACATCCACCAACTTGATCTCAGAGCATGGGAAGGGTGCACCCACCACACCGGATGTGTTATCATCAGTGAGCGTCTATTGTTGTCATGGTTAATCCCCAATATGGTTAGCTTGTCGTAATAACTTTCTTACCAAGCAGCCACCACAAAAGTTTTCGGTTTGACCATAGCCTTCGTATACATTGGCCGAGAAACAAATACGCATGAAATCCATGACATCAGGTGAAACAGGTGCTGAACCACTCAAAATGAATCTCAAACGACCACCAAGCTTTTGACGGATCTAGAATAGATGTGTCAATAAAATAAAGGGTAGACCTATCATATATACACTCCCTTACCTGGCTAAAGACAAGGCGATCCCAAAGCCAATGGTATACAGTGGTATCCAAGTTGGCCTTTTTAGAGCCGAAAGCTCTGTGGAACAAAAAGCTGCTCAAACCACCCTTTGCACGAACACCGGCCAAGACCTTGTCATAGATACGATTGAATAAACGAGGAACAGAGCAAAAAACGGTTGGCTTCAATTCGGCAATGTCATCCAATAATTTAGCCGTATCACCCTGTTTGTTGTTATGCATAATGATGAGTACCTGCATATTCCTGACATCATCATCGTCCTTTTTCTTCTCCTTTTTACCTGGTAGTAACCAATGGAAGCACCTCGGAAGACATGCAATCCTTGAGCCACACGCTCAAACACGTGTGCAAGTGGAAGATAGGAAATGTAGACATCGTTTTCATCCACTCTAGCAAACGAGCCCGAGTCACCAACACAAGCAGCTGAATAAATGGAAGCAACGCAGTTGGCATGTGTAAGCACAGCTCCTTTGGGGACACCGGTCGTGCCACTACACGCATATAAAATAATCTGTCATGAGGAAATCTAAATCCCATGAAATGCCCCAACGCTTTTTGTAATTTACCTGGTATAGCAAATGGTGGCAATATCCTCAGCCTTGGGAAGCTCTGTTTCCTCCTTGATAGAGGCACCCATCTTTTCAACTTGTTGGAAAGTGTATACTTCAACGCCGGCTTCATTGGCGGCCTTCTTATCGGCTTCTTTGAGATTGTCGTGATCCATAATGATGACATTTTTGATGGTTGGCAGACGACTTTTGAGCTGAGTAATGTTGTTTAGCTTATCGGCACTGGCGACAATAAACTCCATCTCGGTTTGGTTGACAATGTATTCAATGGCTTCAGCACCAAGCGTATCGTACAAGGCCACAATCATGAAGCTTTGGCGATAAGATGCGTATTCAGTCATCGTCTATCATAATGGGAATGTTAAAACCCAAAAAAGAGTCTCTTGACCACACCCCCATTCTTTCGTCACTTACCCACTCGGGTCGGTTAATGCTGTATACACCAATCGCTTTTTGACGACCCAAGCCAAGACTCACGAGACCACGGCCATAGCTCTCAATGGATTGGCGCACTTCTTTGTGGGAACGCCACACGTACTCATAAGCAACACCATCGTTTATGCGGCGAGTACCGAGAAATGGAGTATCTAAAAGCAAGGTTGTTATTATCTCCATGGCAACGTTAACCAAAAAGACGTGTGCTCACCACCACCGATCTTGTTGCCCTCCAAGTACATGTCCCACATTGTATAAATGTTGGGAGGATGATCAATGAGCTTGTCGGCAAACTTGAAATGACGCATAGGAGCTGTCTCGCCCTCTTTGACTGGGGCATTAGGTGCCTTTACTGAATATGGTGGGTCAAAAGCTGCAGGCATGGATAATAGTGTATGTATGTGTGTGTGAGTGTGTGAGAATGTGTGTAAGTGAAGTGTGAGAAAGAGAGAAAGGGGAAAGAAAAAGAAAGGGTGAGAGAGAGAGAACAAAGACACTATGTTTGACATGTCGGACTAATCATCTGAGGTTTTCTTCTTGGATAGCTTGACTTTGCCATTCTCCAAACGAGCAGTGAGTCCCATATCCGAAAGATCATCCGTTTGCACAGCTTGGAGAGGTTCCATTTCTGCAATCAGGGTCTGGTTCTCATCATTGCCTTGTAACATATGACGGATGGCAAGCACCGCATGTTCACGAAGATCTAAATATCACAATTTAGCTTTTCCCCAACCAAACGTTCTCAACCCTAAAAAGCCCCGCTTTTTTTCTTTTTGGTTATACTTGCATGGATTCGCGTCATCAATCTTGCACTGTGCAAGTACAAGTGGTATACCACCCGTTTCTCGAATCTAAATAAAACTTGTTAGTCATTACAATCCTTCCACTTTTTTCATTTCATCCTCATTCCCGGTACGCTACCTTGTCCTGCATCCTCCGGTCATGGTAGCACAGCGTCCCCATAAGCCGTACACTGTCGCGTTTCAAATAGTTGAACCCAGGCTGGCTCATCGTCTCACAGCATCTAAGTAGATCTTTGGGGTGGTTACCGGTCTGTGCGTCGTTACACCTTGGGTTTCTTCCTTCCTCCAAAGCTTACTTGTCATGTTGCCCATTGTATCCTTTTCTACAAGCAATTCTCGGAACCGTCCCTGGTCTTGCATTGTTAATAGCGACACCGACAATTGCAATACAAGCACCAATCCAGTATACAATTCCGACACGTTATCCATTTCCACCTTGCCATCCCCGCTCTTGGCCTGCTCAAATGCTTGCACTGCTTCTTTGGAGAAATCATTGACGAGGCTTGCCACACATTCAAGATCCGTATCATGAATAAAGGAAGGCAATGCATGTTGCTGTTGTTGTTGCTCCGAACGATGAACCTTGGAATCGAGCACCTTCAAGAGTCGTGTTTGACGGCTATTCATTTGTCCGCTATCATAATTCAATCAGTTTCAAAAAGATGTAAAGTACCTCTTGCATCACAACGTACTTGGAACCCTTCACACAGTCGTACAATGCTGTAAAGTGACCCTCGTCAATAAGCTGGCTTAGGATGGTATACCTAAGATGCGCGTGAGAAAATAAATACCACTCATCCATTCATTGATTACGATGGACTTACCCGAGTTCGAAATTCTTGCTCTTTTCATCATTATGCAAACGCTCCAAATCATCCAGAATAGCTGCCACCATCTTTTGACCGGGGATTGATTTGATCATGATCTTGCTATGGATCTATATGAGTTCTTTGTATGCGTACGATCTCGATCCTATACAACTTACCATCTCTCGGGGGAATTGCTAATGCAATTTAATATCAACACCATGGTACTCATGACAACGGTATCATCATTGACGGTCAACAAGTCGCTTTTTTTACCAAGAAACGGATGCAAAGCGTGAGAACTTGAGATGCAGAATATCGCCCCTCCTTTCCTCTTTGACTTTTACCTAAAGATGGTACCACGATCTTGTTGTTGCATCCAATCTTCCCATATCGATTCAAGGGCAATCGGGTTGCCTGTGATGAAATTGCAGATGGCTTGTACACCCACTTGGACCACAGTCATGCCTTGAAGATGATAGTAAGCACAATGATGGATCATGCAATGCAATGCAACTTGATACTTACTAAGCACAGGACTATTCCTATCACGATATCGGATAATGTTTTCCGTTTCCACCAAAGCACCTTGAATGCTAATACACAATGAGATTGGAATGAATGATAGGCAAACAAACAAGACATCATACACACACACTTACATGGCCAGCTGTTGGCTCATCTGGTCGCCAGCTGTCACGTTACGTGCTAGTTTGAGTAACGCGATAAGGGATTCTTCTGCGTTGCGATCGAAATAAAGTGCTGTGAGAGCCAAGCAAGTCAATCGCCAAAAGACATTGGAGTGACCAATCTCGGATCTATGGAAAAAGAAAAGGTTACTGATCGTGCACCCAATGGACGATTATGAGAATGCTACCTCAATTCAGGCTCATTGACAGTGCGTTTGACAGCTGCTGTCAAGGCAGCTTCAAGAGTGGGGTGTGAGTTGGCGTCGGCTAGATAGCGGTCGAGATGTTGAAGGATGACAGATAACATGAATGATGATGATGAAAAAGATGCTCATGCACACCACCACCACCACCAGCAAATTTTCGGGCCCTTTGCATGATAGCTGCTGCTGCTGTTGTTTCAGATACAGCTTGTAAACCCCCTTCTTTTGACAACCCCGGCCTATGCGATTGGACTATCAACCAACGCGTGATGACAGGTGGACACCACACCACATGAATGGTAGAAAAAGATGGAATAAACTTCTTTATGATGATAGATCACACATGTCACGGGACCAAGTGCCACTTTGTATCTGATGTTAGAAAAGACTTGCAGATGAAAGCACCACGTGCCAAAAGTTCTACTGGATCAAGATCACAAGACTATTGCTTGGCACACATGTATGAAACAAATAAAAAGAAAATGAGTCTCCATGATATCATCCTACCTTCGTTTGAAAAGAGCGAGATGTTATTATTATGCATAAAGCAGTGGTGGCAGTGATGGCTGTTGACATGGTAGTTGTTGTTGTTGTTGTTGCTATGGTGAGACGCTACACGAAATGAAGGATCAAATATAGCATTGTTGGTTTATTGGCAGCAAGAATGTTCTCGTGACAGGGATAAGACTGATAGAGTTTGGATCGGTCTCACATGTCAGCCATCTTTAGTCTTTTGGGGAAGTGGATTTTTAAGACCGACAAGAGCAGAGCGACACACGACATCACGCTTCTTTTCCTTCTTTTGATATACCACAACCACATACAACACGAACCATGGTCGCCACTTCATCGCAACTGATAGTAAGCTCAACTACCTCTCCCTCCAACTCTCTCCCAAAACCAAAACCGAAAACGAACCACCATGGAATGTCCCCTGCCCGATTAGACAATGTTCCTCGATGCTCCACCGTGCTGGATCTCACGCAAGTGACCCGTTCCCTTTTTCCGCTCATGTTTCCCCCACCTTCTATCGCTACATCAATCGCCTAACATTCCCCCCCCTCCTTTTTAGTATACTTAAAGGGAAGCAACTAGAACAAGCTATCCAATCTTTGGTCTATACCCTATTCCCCGGCTGTAACGTTACCAATGTACGGCGTGTGAGTGGAGCTCTGACAAAGTAAGTATCCTGCTGCTGCTAATACACATCTTGCATGAGACATTTACATATTCACATGGGTATCTATGATAGTGCTGTATACTTTGTGACAGTGGGTAATACAACCACCTTGCTATTACGAGTGTACGGGATTGGCAGCGATGAATTCATTGATAGATCCAACGAGTTGCTTTGGTTGAATCGATTAGCCCATCTCAAGTTGGGTCCTCGTCTTTTGGCTATCTTTGGCAATGGTCGCTTTGAAGAATTCCTACCCTCCACCACCCTCACTCACTCAGACTTACAAGACCCAGTCTTATCAGCTCAAATCGCACGTCGCTTCCGCCAACTCCATAGCCTTATCGATATTTATCCACCAGCATCACCGGATGAGATGGCAATATGGCACAGTGTCGACCGATGGTTCGAAACATTGCAACAAGAATCACATTCTCTCCCATTCATCTTTGACTTTGACCGGCTGGGCCGTGAGATTGATCAATGCAAGGCATTCTTGAAGAATACAAGCCCCATTGTCTTTGCACACAACGATGTAAGTTATCATCACCACCTCTCTCTCTTTGGTATCATAGATCACTGATAGACATCCTTTTTATACATGATGGGTATTCTTGTATATACATCTACATCTACGTTATGCAGGTTCAGTATGGTAATGTGCTTCGACTCAAGGGAACAGCAAATACGTTAGTATTGGTGGATTTTGAATATGCAGGTTACAATCCTCGTGGTTATGACATTGCCAATCACTTTATCGAATGGACGTACAACTATCATGGTGATACCCCTGCACTCATGTGCCCTGATGCCTTCCCAAGCACTGCACAACAAATTCGCTTCTTGAAGGAGTATGCTAATGGTGATGACAATCTTGTGGATTCTCTCCTTGTGGAAACGCGGCAATGGCTCATGGCTGTTCATTTGCATTGGGGTTTGTGGGGTCTTGTTCAAGCATGCCATAGTGAAATTGACTTTGATTATATCTCATACGCTTTGGAACGTATCGGGGCATTCCGTAAAGAGTTGCAGAAAATGACTGTTGATCAATAAACATCACTTTTTATATAAGGATTGTAATACAATGACGCATGTCCATTAGTTTTTATTACACGCATATCCAACCAACCTTTTGCATCAAGTTCTCATCTATACACCCGCTCTCGTACATGCATGATGAGATACAGTATCAGTTCATGCATCAATTTATCAATGCATCATCCCCAACACATAAAAGTACCCACGCCGACAATGCACGATAAAAAGTTGTCATCATACTACTCCCACGCGTCTCTTTCCTCTACCATTCTACTTTGATTGCTTATAAGGTCAAATATCCTAGGTTTTGTTCGTATCCTATTCCTTGCAAGCTTTGTGAATAAGCGCTGATCTTTGATGTGATCTTTCATAGTGCTTTATTTTATCCTACTCTCAATGTCGTTGTATTGCGATATTGTATTCTTGTAACGAGGTAAAGCCTGATCATGTTGCTTGATGGTCACTACTCATACACGCTACCTTGATACTCTCGATATAGCTATCTCTCCGTGAATCATCTGCAAAAGTTGGTTTTGGTGCCATGGTCTACGTCGGGTGCTGAAATTGACATGGTGCATGATTTGACATGATGCAAATAGCAGGGGAACCCACACCAAGTCCCATTGTGTGGTGATCTAACGGCCTCCCTGGAAGCAGTCAGTAGCGCTATCATAGGAACGCCTTTGATGCAGGGTGAAACAAGATTGGAGGCGATTAGCAACAACCGTCAGGGAGCAGATGGAATCTCGAAAATACGAGGTGGTTTCGAGTTACAGTGTTGATCCTAGAGACGTTGGGTGAATATGACAACAGCAAGATTGATCACGTCAAAGACGCTTTTGGTGCTCGAACGATGCTTCGTGCCAACTATAATACGTACTATTACGGTGGACAGGCAGCAACGTGCTTGTCGGTTTACTTTTGTCATGCTAGAGGTTACATAGTAATTACTTTTTCCTTTTACTTTGGCATGGTATGAATTATTTCCATTAGGGAAAAAGCTGCACATTTGGTCATTATCCATGCCAACAAGTGGCATTAATGGTCATGGACAGGATTATCTCTTTAAAGTTGCCAGTGGAGGTGATGGAGCGCGATGTACTACTGGACATGTTGAATCAATTATGGTCATTGAAGGTATACTAGCACTGTCTGATAAGCTCAAGTACTTTCAGTACTAACAGGTGAATGTAGGTGTTGTTATTTCATTCGATCTCAGTGATTAATACATTACGTGAAGAGCACATCAACGTCATGGAGAGACTGGCTTTAGGTGAATACACCGAAATTCCTATTGATCTACGCACAACTATGAATGCCCGATGTACCGAAACCAACAAAGCAAGCTGGAATTGCCGAGTTGCTGCCTGATAGTGATCCGTTTTTGCGAGATGAAGATCAATATCTTGTTGTTCGTAACATTGAAGAAGATGATTAAAGTGACTTCACAAATATATATGTATTCATTGCATCGTATTGTACATGTAATCAGGTATAAGGAATCAAAATACAGGTGATAATATTGCAATGAGCCTATTGTCAGCGCGCTAGTTAATATGATTCAATGCTACTTTTACATACAACCTTACCGCAGCAACCATGCTCTTCCAAAAATCCAACGTCATCGACCCTTCAACTCAAACGCAGGCCTATAGAGCCCTGGACGCGTTCCAAGAAGCTTTTCCAGCACACTTGACTAGTGCAGAGCGACACAGCGGCCACTTGATACAGGCTGGGACTTGAACCCAAAGAGATGATGATGATGCCCCAAGTTGCATTGCCTGACCAAAGAAACCTATTCAATTCATTATTAGCACACACACAATAAACACCCTTTTCATTGTTTGTTTCATTGCACTTGCCTTCTCCATAGACATAAAGATCCTTAGCTGCTGGTTATTAGAGACCGAAAACCATGGTGTAGTGTTGTTGAGCCGAAACAGAACGCCAAACCAGCCAACGTCTTGAAACCAAACTTGCCCCCCTATATAAGCTAACACGTCAATGGAACCAGTTCGGCTGCAACATTGGACTCTCAATGTACCTGTTGACACCAAGCGTAGAGCGGGAATAGCAACGAACAAGAGGAAGCAACGATATCGCCATGGCAACCACCAACCACCAACCACGCTCATTCCTCAGCACTTGGACACACTCACTCCCTGACAATGCATGTTCAGAACTACATTAACATCTCACAGCCAACAATAGCACTCTTCTATAATACATTACCTTGATCGAGATGTCGTGAATGGAATAAAAGCAGAGGAGTGAGAAAGAGAAGAGAAGCGTTGTCTCAAGTCGTGGAGCTGTCCCCCAAGTTTAAATCCCCCTACTGCTATTACACTGAGGCCATTCAATGACCCCACACACACCATCACCCATCGTCATCATCACCCTCACGATAGAAAATAGGTACACGCAAATAAAAGAAATGATGATCCTCACGTATAGCAAAAGGGTGTGTGCCATTTTACACTTTACATGATAATGATGATCCAACAACAGCCATTGCCTTTACTACCAGGTTACCTCGAATCAAGAAAGTTAAATGATGGGAATGATGGGCTGGAGCAGGGCAATCGATCGTATGTATTGGTTTGGGCAACAAAGGTGAATGGGAGGAATGGGCTATTAGCTGGCAGTTTACAAATAACTTTGCAAAATGATTTTTCTCATATTGGGCGATACTTCTGTGTTTGAGCGTTTTTCACTCAAATCTCATCGGATCAAGAAAGTGGAATGATGGGCATGCTGGGCTGAAGCAGTACAATCGTTCACATGCATTGGATTGGACAACAATGGAGAATGGGAGGACTAAGGATACTAGCTGGCATTTTGAACTATTTCCTAAATAGTGTACAAGAATCATGCATCGCCTGTGCTGAATGACTCAAGTTACACAAACACGCCCTCTGCATCTTTTGCTCTATTATAGTCATACTATTTTACATTAAACAAAGACCACTTCTCATATTGCATCACCCTTACAGCATATGTAAAACATAAAGGTGCCTGTATGTCCAAACTTTACAATCAAACGTGGGCTCATCAACGTGCTTGTCGGGGTCAAAGGAATCTTGTGTCAAAGTATGAAGTTCATCGTGGGCGATCCCAGATTTCGCAATGTCGCCACCAGCCAAACTGGATCTGGGGGTCGACCTCTTCGACGACGACGACCAAAAAAATATTTTTTGGGCCAGTTGCGACATTGAACGTGAAACTTTCACACAAGGTGCTGTTGGCCAAGCCGAGCCCATTGCTCTATTCAAAACCCCACGTTTCATTGTAAAGTTTGGAGATACAGGCACCTTTATGTTTGTAAGCGTGATGCTATATGAGAAGTGGTCTTTGTTCATTGTCAAGTAGGTGGACCCTGGCAGAGCAAAAGATGCAGAGAGTCGTGTTGTGTAACACAGCTACGTTTGCATGAATGAAAGGGTCAATGTATAATTACTTTATGGATCATCTAGGAACAGGCATGTATTGCTAGCTAACGGCCACTTTTATCCAATCATCATTGCTCCGAGATCCACTGCATGGGAACGATGCCCCTGCTCTAGACATTCATTTCCATGATCAAAGTAGGTTGATCCGAGCTGATTTGACTGAGCTGCGGTCAAAGAGAGATTGCATCACTCTGCACATAATAAAGCACGCTCGATGTAGCTCAACCGATGTAATCTTGTGTGAGCG